GGAGAAAGCTGTTGTCATGGTAACCCTCGGTCCCTCTGAGCAGGCAGTAGACCCATGCTGAGAGTTTCCTCTATTGGCCGTCTTGTATGAAACCCTAATGATAATTGCCCACAGATGCCACATTGGGCTGGGACACTGAGGAGGCTAGACAGCACCTCAAAAGGGGAAGGGTGGAGAGTGGTTAGGGTGAATACAGAGAAGACAGTATTATTCACCAGTCAAGTCTCGCCGTGGGACAGAGCTGCTATAGAAAAGATAAAATCCATAATAGAAACATTAAAATTCCTCTTTAGTGCTCAATCGGCCATTCAAACAGGCATGGGGGTCAAATTCTACCAAGTGACACAGGAAACATAGGAGATACAACAGATGCAGGATTAGAAATAGGCCTGTCGTGATAATTACAATACTGACTTATCATTCAATATAGGAAAGTACAACAATATATTTGGGGGCTCAATATTTACTGTGGGCACCTTTCCTTTGTGATGATGGAGAGATTTTGCCATTTTTTTATGTAACAACATAAGATTTGAGCTATAGAGGGTTGAATAAGTATATATATATATATATATATATATATATATCGTTGATAAAATTGTAGGTACCCCTCTGGCAATGAAAGAAAAATCAACAATCGTCACTGAAATAACTTGAAACTGAGAAAAGCAATAATAAATAAAAATTTACTGAAAATTTTCCAACAAAAATCAAACATTGCTTTTCACCTGTGGTTCAACAGAATTATTAGAAAAAACAAAATAAAAATTAAACGGGCCTGGACAAAAATGATGGTACCCTTAACTTTATATTTTGTTACACTACCTTTTGATGCAAACTCTGCAATCAAACAATTTCAGTGACTTTCAATGAGACTTCTGCACTGGTCAACTGGTATTTTGACCCACTTCTCATGAGCAAACTGCTCTAGTTGTCTCAGGTTTGAAGGGTTCCTTCTCCAGACAGCATGTGTCAGCTCCTTTCACAGATGTTCAATAGAATTGAGATCTGGGCTCACAGAAGACCACTCCAGAACAGTCCAATGTTTTGTTCTTAGCCATTCTTGGGTGTTTTTCGCTGTGTGTTTTGGGTCATTATCTTGTTGGAAAACCCATGACCTACGATTGAGCCCAAGCTTTCTGACACTAGGTGACACATTTCATTCCAAGATACCTTTAGTAGTAGTAGTAGATACTGTAGTAGATAGTTTTGAGATTTCATTGTATCTTGCATAGATTCAAGACACCCTGTGCCAGATGCAGCAAAACAGCCCCAGAATATAACCAAACCTCCTTCATTCTTCACAGTAGGGACAGTGTTTTTTTCTTGGTCTGCTTCATTGTTGCATCTGTGAACGTAGAGCTGATGTGTCTTGCCAAAGAGCTTCAGTTTTGTCTCATCTGTCCAAAGGACATTGTCCCAGAAGCTTTGTGGCTTGTCAATATGCATTGTGGCAAATTCCGGTCTCACTTTTTTATGATTTGCTTTCAACAGTGGCATGAAGTCCATTTTGGTTCAAAAAGTGATGGATGGTGTTAACATTTGTATGATCAATTTTTTCAATTTTCCTCTTGCAGCCACGTCCAGGGAGGTTGGCTACAGTCCTGTGAACCTTAAACTTCTGAATAACATGTGTAAGTGTTATCACAGGAACTTATTCTTATTGCCTTTATCTTTAACCTGCTTGTCTATCATTTTCTTTCTAGTCTCCTGACACAGTTCTCTTCTTCTCTTTCTCTGGTCCATGTTCAGTGTTGTATCCATCATGTCTCCAAACAGCACAATGACACATGTCCCCCTTCAAACAGGCAGACTGACTGAGGATAAGTTTGAAGACACCTGTGATGCAAATTAGAGGACACACCTAAGTTTAACATGTCCCTATTGTTCAGTTACTTACAATCTTTTCTAGTGATACCATCATTTTTGTCCAGGCCAGTTTTATTAGTTTGTTTTTTAAAATAATTCTCTTGAACAACAAATCAAAAACAGTGTCTAATTTTCAATGGTTATTTTTCAATTTTTTAAAAATTTATTATTACTTTTCTTAGTTTCAAGTTATTTCAGTGACCATAGTTGATTTTTCTTTCATTACCAGAGGGGTACCGACAATTTTGAACACGTCTGAATATATTTGTCTTTTATTTCACATCCAACACTGGCACCTATTCACTGAACACGCACCCTCAGACATTAATGACGCCTATACTCACACCTCATAAGAGTTTTTGTACATAATTCTGATACCTATTCTTAAAATAAACATTACAAATAAATTAAAATGAGTTATTTCTATAACAGTTGGGCTCTAGTACCTATAGAGTTGTCTCAAAAATCAAATACTAATCAAAACAGGTATTGATACAAAAAAAATCACACTCATCGGACAGAAATTAACTTTTCCTGAATAACTTTACAATGATCTTGAGCTGTATCAGAACAATCATATATTGTGGACTACTGAACACCCATGAACCACTATGGAACCTGCCTGAATGACTGAGGGATTACACAGATATAAGGCCACATGGTAATATAAAAGAAAGTACTATGATTTAATGCTGAAAATGACATTCTATTGTTCAAATCATGTGTTTTTTATTTTCACTGTGGTGAGTATTCCTTAGTTGTGAAATAAAGTTTGAAATTTTAATGTGGTGATAATACTAATATGTTGAAGTTGAACAACTTTCCAATTTATCTGTGAGTCATGAATAGGCCTGTCACAATAACAAATTTTGAAACACGATATTTTGCTACAGAGGTATACTGCGATAAATGATAATATTGAAACTACACTATGTTTCTGACACAATAACAATAAAACAGGATTATCCCAGTGAAATACTATTTAAATATGCTGTATCATTAAAAGCCCTGAGCTGCAATAAAAAAAGAGCAGAATTAAGCAATAATTGACCACAGAAGTTATTTTGATATTGTAATTACTGTGCCTAGTGCCGAATTACTGTGTCTAGGACAGGATAGTAGAATTTGAAAATAGGAAAAGTTTTCAGTACGAGTAGGAGTGAGCAACAAATCCATAACTAATATACAATATATTAATCACCCTAAGAAAGGAACCCTAATCTATAATGACATTCTATCAGCACCTATATGCATTTTCACTAGATTTATACCAGCAAGCAGGTCCCGTCTCATTTGTTTGTATTTTGCAAACCTCCTCCCCAAACCTACCACAGCAGCAGAACTTTCGGTCCCCTCAGCCCTGCCATCCTCCACTATGACCAGAGAAATGTTCATTCATCTTAGCAAACAACACTGGACACATTTTAATTTTGTGTACACTTAATGAAGGGATATTATGCAAAATCATTTTTTAGCTTTCTACCATTTTATAACTTATAAGAAAATCATGACAAAAGGGAGGGAAGTAGCTCAGTTAGTGAGCGCGTTTATTCACTGACCCACAGGTTAGCGGTGTGATTCTAGCTCCCACAGATGAATGCTGTCGTTGTGTCCTTGGGCAAGACATTTAACCCACCTTGCCCCTAGTGTCTGCATACACTGGTGTATGAATGTGTGTGTGAATGGGTGAGTGATTCCTTGTTGTAAAGTGCTTTGAGTGCCTTGAAGGTAGAAAAGTGCTATATAAAAATGTGACCATTTACCATTTTACAAAGAGGATTTAAATTTTAAATTCTATTCAAACTGTCTTTGCAGTTCACCCATGCTCCCACACAACAACTCTCTCTCTCTCTCTCAAAGCCATGAGAGAAAACTGTACACAACAACTTGGCAAGCCTGATGCAGTCGTTTCATAAGCAGGATGCACACCAATTGTGTTGTGATGGTGTTCTGAAGGGGGGGTGACTTACCATAGAGAGCACTCGTTTGACTCGTGGCAAAAACAACAGTGAAAATTTCAAAACATGTTCATTAGCATTTTCAAAACAATAAAATGTAACATGGTGATCTAAATATGTTATGTGATAAGAAACAAAAGTGAAATACTCCTTCTTTAATAATAATGAAAGGTAACCAGTGGAAGTGAATGAAGATCAATAAATAGCATGATAAATCAAATGTAATGTGAAAGAGCTGGGGGGTTGCGGTAAAACTAAACCAGTTTTGACTCCAGAGCACAGCTGGGAGAGTAATTATCCTGAAAGAGAATTAGCCTCAGTTTGTATTGGAACCTGTTAGAGCATGTTCAATGTGCCTTTAGCATGAGGAAACACACCTTCCTTATGCTAACATGGCTCACAAACACAAGCATATTTCTGTTTATACTCACATGTTTGTTTAGCATCATAGCTCGCATTAGATTTAGCCTCTTCCAGGATTCTTGAAATGAGGACTATCAGTTGTTTGTGCAAAGTAACATAGGATTTCAAAAGTTGATTTATTCCTACTAGCTTTCAGACTGACTGGAATTAAGTGACTGCATTCCTTAACTATTGTCCATGTTTCATCATGATTAATTATGTAGGATATTTTACATCAAATCAAAGCTTTCATGCTATTTCAAGGTATCTCAAGGTAAAATAAAAGCTGATCTGTTATTTTGAAACTCCTTTTTGAACAACATTTTGCAACCATCTACAAATATAACTGAGAGAAGTGCACGTGAGCCGGCTACTCTCCAGCTGTTGTAGCCTGGTGCAGAAGAATGAATTCAGATCTTATTGTGCAAAGGGTAATTGTTGTAAATTTGTATCTAGCAAAGTATCTTATGCGTTGTATGTCCCAAGTTCAATGCCTGCAATTGAGAAACTGATCGTTGGCTCCTCGTTAGTCGGAGGTTATGAGTTAGAGGAACTGTGAGCTCTGTGCTGTCTGCTGCTGTGTCTGCCATCTGGAACTGCACCCGCATAGGAAACAACCCCAACAACTAACCCTGGGTGAAATGAAGGTGTCAGGAGGCGAGCTGCCAGTCTCTCTGGAGACCCCACCCAAGCTCACGATGAGCGGCGCGACATCTGTGACTGATGCTCAGACATGCCGCTTCAGTGAAGAGAAGACATGTGCTCACTTACCTCTCTGCTCTGCTCTTTCCGGCTCCTGATGCTCCAGCCGCCGGTCACTTCACAAGTTCCCGCTATTTGACACAGTCACGAAGAACGGGGAATTCCATTCGAGCTCGCTCCAGGGACTTAAGCCGCTCTGATCAGCCCTGTATCCACACAAACGCACCGTTTATCTCACAATAGTTGTTCGTCTCCGCTTCTGTCTGCAGAGTGAGTCAGTGACAGCAGCAGGGGGCTGCCGTGCACTGTCTGTGGCACCGCTGGATGACAGGCAGTACACACACGCACCCCGTGTGTCAACTGGAACCGGAGTTGGCCCGCCCTCTAGTGGCTAACCACTGCAACTGCGTGTAAGATCGGTGACATGCTGTAAGCGAGACATTCTGGGCCAAACAGGTGAACGGGACGTGTTCAGAGAAACAGAAACCAACAATGAAAACATTAAAACTTATTTAATGTAGGCACACATAGGCTAGACAACCATAATTCATCTTAATACCTGTTATAAGATATGAGTTTATAATTCTTATAGCCTAAACCCTAAACATCAACAAATAAGGCTATAGCCTGCTATATCTTTCCCACGTTTGCATCATAAAACTTGTATTGAAAGGGCTGTAGAGTAAAGCCGGGGCAAATGAGGAGAAGTTTAAAGTTGTGATCTGTAATGCAGATCCAACTTGGACATCTGTCTGCAGCATCTGTTATCACCATCTCATCTCATCGGCTCTCTGGGTTTTGTGTGAAACCAAAACCTGCTTTCATTTCCTTCACTTCAGATTCAAACATCCCAAGGCCTCTAAGACTAAATAGTCCCTTGGCGCGGACCTATGTTTTGCCTGTGAAGCATGATTTTGCTTTTATTTAAGCAGTTTAAACAGAAAGACGGCGTTAGACTTTATGAAATGCTCACAGAACCTGTGGTTCAGTAAACTGTGCATGGTGCTCCTTTCAGGTGATTAATTACGTGTGACTGAACAGTAAATTAAAATTAATTCAAAGCACTTCATCAAGGAACCATCCACATACATGCAGACACTGATGAAATGCGGAAAGGTAGAAGGAAGAAGGAAGGAAGAAACTAGCATTTTTGTAGTGAGTGTCCCATTTACAGAAAGTTGTAGTCCCATCTATTGTGGGTACAGCCTCGACATGAGGCCTGGTACGTGCTCGAACTCATTGGAATTATTGAGACTTGGCATGGTCAGTCTTGATTACACATTAAGTCTACTTCGAAATGTTTTACGGGAAAACTGCAATTTGCCTGCTAGACTAATTATTTTTCGAGCCTTGTCACTTAAGCGAAGACCTGTGGATTGAAGTTTCACTTTATCAGTCGTGGACTTTGCAACATCGCCCTCTGTTGGACACGCTGGAGTTATTTACATTGTAAGGGATAGGCTATCAAAATATTTTGTGAACCAAATTTTATCTCTCTATCACAATAAAAAAAAAAAGAATAAAATTAAAAAGAATAAATTAGTACAAATAAAAAACAATGTGTGACTATTAAAATGTAGGAAATGTTTGCCATAAGCCTAAAAAAATATATATATATAAGTAGTTCCACTCTCTAGGCTAAATCTAATAAAATTTACAGCTTTTAAAAATGTGTATTTAGGCTCTTTTAATGTGTTTGTCGAATATTGGAAATAAAAAGGTTATTTCAAACGTGTAGCCTATCTGTGAGTAGCCTAGGTCTTACCAGGATACGCTTAGTCATGTTTAGAGTCCCACGTTTCAGCCCAAACATGACGGTGCACTTTTTACCTTTTGCAGAAAAAAACTCTTTGTGCTGAGTCACGTTTCATGTCTGTTGAATGAAAACAGCTGAGGCACGGAGATAAACTGGGGCATCTCCAAGGACGCCTCGTAATGTAAGACAAGGCAACGTTTATAGCCTATTTAATTGAATTTATTCGTAAAAATTATTCCAAAATATTTCTGCAAGAAGTGATTAAATAGCCGACATTATTTAATAGCAATAGCTTACAATATAGGTTACTACAAACTACAATATGTCATAAAAGATAAATAGGTTACAGTAAGAGTTTTATTAGATTTCGATGATGGGGGGAAAAAAACAAAAAACATAGCTAATATAATAAGTAGGCTAAATGTAGACTTGCTATAATATTTAATGTTGTTACCTCATTAAAAACATGAAGTTGTGTTTTGTTTAATTCACATGATTCACACAAATCTTTGTTCTGCTTTGTGATGTCATGAAGTGAACCGGTAGTTTTCACATTAACAGCTACCTTTTACATTTTATTCAGTAAAGATTGACAATTCACTGAAGGTGTGTGAAGTTTAAAAACACAGTAGAGTACTTCCTGTATTACCACATGACATTACAAGATAGAATAGGGTTTGAGAGAAGAACTAATAATTATAACAGAGATCAGAATAGTGTGCTATGAGTCTTTTAATGGTATTTGTTCTTTGTTATGCCATGATAAAGAGCAAAGAGTGAAGAACATGGGACGTAGGTGAGAACTGTGGCAATTTTAACCCTAAAAAATCCAACTCATCTGCAATTTAACAGTCAGTAACCAAAGTATGCATATGACATCATTCCTTCCAGTCTACAGCTAAGATTGTTTAAAAATCCTTTTTCGCTAACTATAAATATGTTGGACAAAAGACTGATTGTGACTGTAAAAACTGTATGCAAGATTTAAATTTTAAATGTGATGAACTTGACCTAACCGTGTCCCCAGATATGATATTTACATGTTCATATCAAATATATAGTTTTAGCTTACTGATAAATATTCTAATGCTGATTTATTCTGTGTTGTAAAAACTAAAAGCATGTTTTGGTTCTCAAGATGATTATCCAATCTGAAAGCAAAAACAGCCTCACATGTATCTCTCATTTGGGTTGACGATTTCAATGTAACTTAAAAGGACCCTCACTCTGATCTGAATGGTCCTTATACTTAAACCCCAGCTCCTACAGCCAGTCATGAATAAGCACTAGTGCAGCCTCTGCAGCTCAGTGAGTGAATTCTGGAGGTTCTGAGCTTTCACATGAGGCCTGTCCATAAACTGTGAAGGAGAAAAACTTGTATGTGTCCTCTATCTGCAAGTTAAGGCTCTGGCAACTCAGGTTCAGTTATGATTGTAATTGTTTTACATTTTTATTGAATCTAGAAACCTGCAGTGTTTAGGTCTAGAGGCAAACAATTTAGACTATACTTCCAGCTTATTTACTGAACATTATTTGTGGTGAGACATGTCGCCAGGCTGGTGCCACCTAGTGCCTCTACTCAATTTCATTTCTCTCCAGCGATTAAGTCAGGAATCAGAATACTGTAAACGGTTTACAAGAACCCCGGAAGTGCGAGTCTGGGCACCAGTCAGTCAGCAAAGAGCTGTACATTATCTGTGGGCAACGATTCCCAAGGTCGAGGGAAGCCGGAAAAAAGAGAATGTTTGGCGAATTTTATCAAGGGGAAAGACGTTATTGCCCTTCTTCCTACGGGATTTGGGAAAAGTTTAAAACACCAGTTAGCCCTGTTAGTGGCACATTATATACGTATTATATAGACTAAATAGCAGTGACTGGTTAAATAAAAAAAGTACCCATCTACTGTCGAGCAAACAAATTCTAATGCTGTGAAATTCTAATTCCGTTCATCAGGGTTACCAGATTTTCAAAATCAGAAACTGGGACACCCCCGGGTTCGTAGTGTTTGTAATAATAAAATAGCGAAACAAGTGCATGATTAAAGAAAATGATTATGCACTTGGCCCATTCATTACTTATTCACTATAACATGTGAGTCAGGAGTCATATTTTCCTTGTGAATTCCATAAATTTACCTAAACAAAAACTTAAAACAAAAAAGCCTAGACAATGTATGCTTCTCTTTACTGTTGGCAAGTATCAAACTGAACAAACATAGAGACACCTGGGACATTTCTTGTATTAAACTGGAACAAACAACTGGTTTTGGATAAATCTGCTGGGACAGGGGACACAGGGCTCAAAACTAGGACTGTTTTGGGTAAATAGGGACGTCTGGTCACCCTACCATAGACAGTGAAATAAATTAGTCCACCCTCACAGCACTGACACATGATATTTTACCATGATTACTGCAACTGTAACTGCAACTTTTTTTTAGAATGCACTTTATACAATTTATGCTTTGTTTGTTGTTGACTACTGTGTGTGTAGATTTAGAAATCTTTGCAATTCACAGATATTTTTTATACATTCAAATATACATTACATCACAAAGTAATTTTATTTTATTAATGTTCTGTATTCATTTATATATGTTGCTAAGCTAAACACTGAAATGCGAGCAGTAGCAAACTAACGCTAATCAACACAAATGACATCACCGGTAGAGATGCTATCAATCTCCAGAGGTGGAACCAAGTCGTTGTTTTGCAAGTCTCAAGTATGTCACAAGTCTTTGACCTCAAGTCCAAGTCAAGTCCTCAAAGACAGGCAAATCAGGTCAAGTCTCGAGTCACCGGCCCATCAGTCCAAGCCAAGTCCAAGTCAACTGCTTTGAGCTTCAAGTTATTTCAAGTCTTTAAACCAAAAAAGTACCAAACATAGCTTAGATTTTTGCCTTTTATATGACTTTTAAACTAAACTGTACTTAAAAATTCATGGTATATTTATATATGAGTATTTATATAAGAGTTGTACAAATAAATATTTCCTTTTTAAATGTCTTGTCAATGTTTTAGTGTGAATCAATATGGTCAGAATAGAAATAATTAAGATTTAAAAGTGCTTAATAATAGTTATTTTATCAGGTAGTCTGCACTGAAATAGAAGGATCATGTTCTATATAGTTCCCTTTGTTTTATTGCATTGTACTGTATATTATTGTAGTACATTTGAGGACACCATCATCACAGTACTTCAGTTACATTCAAGGTAACAAACTGAGAAATGGGATGGACATGTTCCACCTTGTTTCTATAAAATTAAGCAATACATGTTTTAACTGTAAAGAGAAAAGTATTTTCTGGAAACATATATCTTTTAGGAGAATCCCAAGTCAAGTCCCATGTCATTGATGTTGAAGTCCAAGTCGTGTCCCAAGTCTTTCTGTTTTGTCAAGTCAAGTCTCAAATCCAAGGCACAACCTGCAAGTCCCATGTCTGTCAATTTCCCTTTTTTCATTCAACTAATGCAAAATATCCTGTACTATACAAAAAGAAGACATGCTGCTTTTTGATAATAAATAAAGTACAATTAAACTGAACTGTAACTGACAGAGCTAATGCTACTTATTAGCTTGACCATTCTCATGGAGGTATCCCATATGACATATTGTGCAGCAGATATGACCCCCACCCTGCCCTGGGCCCATCCCGATAACATGCAGCGTGCGGGGTGGTCCCTCCCAACCCCCCAACAACACCAGCTGCTAAACTTTTGCATGCATTGTTTACGCTTATAAACAAGTTATGAACCTTTTTATACTTGCTAATGACTTTGATGTTAGCATGTTTACAGGATTACCGATTATTTCTGACAGCTGTTTAACTTTGGAGTGGACTACGAGAAGGCGTCAACAATGCTCTCAGAAAAGGAAAAGAAGATGATTTTAGACTTATGTAATCGTCTCATTCCTATAGCTTCAACCATTGGCTCGGATGCTCTGAACAGGTACACTATTGCAGATATCACACCGTGTAACTTTCCTGGTGGAGGGTATGGTACCTGCTTGTCTCCATGGAGATGTCATGGCTTTCCCTGGCATGTTCAGGATAGTATTAAAGTTGTATATTGTCTACTACAAGTGTTTTTATGGCTCAGGAAATATCTCAATAAGCATTCTTGCCATGAGCAAGCCCACAGTTTCCACAGATCTGACCTGTAACCTGGCTTGGTGACATCATCTGCTTAAAGTTTGAAACTGTACGTAACATCTCCATGGAAACCAGCAGGTGACGAACCCTCAACCAGAAAAAATGCATAGTGTAGCTTTAGATTAAGCAATGCACATAATAGAAATAGTAATAGAAACAATCTGGCAGTGTATTGATACTTTGCAGTGACATCATACTAAGGGTGTCGTGCATGGATGTCTATGGTAGAAAGTTCAGTAATTACCATAGGGACTTGGGGCTTGTTTAACAGCACAAAATCAGTCTTCCTGCTGTGGTTGCATCTAAGTCAATTCTTTATGGTCAGATTTAGTTAAAATGTCAGATTAAAGTCTAACAAAGCCTCAGACAGAGGCTAGCACCACACACCCAGGGAATATTCATGACATCGGCTGCAAAGTATCAATAACAAATTCTACATAGTAATTACAATGTATTAAATATTACTTACATATTGTTTTATTGGTGTTCCTCTATTACTTGACAAATTTTTACTGTGTATTTTATTTGTCCTTTTGGTTGCAGGATGTTTGTGGTCTATCCAGGATCTAAGACATACTTCTCCCACCTGGACATCTCCCCTCGCTCCACCCACCTGCGTTCCCATGGTGAGAAGATCGTCCTGGCCATCGCTGAAGCCGCCCAAGATATAAGCCAGCTGAATGAGACACTAGCTCCACTCCAAACCCTTCACGCTTACACACTCAGGATAGCCCCTGGCAAATTCAAGGTGAAATCTGAACACGTCAGTGACTATAGTTGTCATTGAACTGTCAAAAGTGTATTTAATGTCACTTAGAAAGGTCGTGTGCTTTGTTAAGGCTAATTAAGGTTTAATTACTATAAAGTGACCTGGAATGTTCCCCACAGTATGCCGTAAAATGTATCTGTCTTATGTCAAGTGAATTACAGGCATTTTTATTGCTTAAAAATGCCTTAAATCATGCATTGCCATCATCAGCTCATCGCCTCTCCACAGATCTGACCAGTAACTTGGCCTTGTCACACCGCTTGCTTGCTTCTTTGGAAATGGATGTGTTTAATGCTGTGATGTAGGAAATTCCAGGCAAAACAAAGACATCTCCATTGAAACAAGTAGCTTTTCTGGTGGAGGAGGCACTGTGTGAATGACCTGCTATTAAACAAATTTATCTCTATGGGGACAAGCAGGCATGAAGCTCAATTACAGGTCTGATCTGTGGAGAGGAGGATTAAGTTAATAGTTTTTCAAGGTATTTTTTAAGCAAATAAACAGCTGTCATTGGTGACGGACCCTCCTCCAGAAAAGTTGCACCTTTAGCAAAAGATCCACAAAATGCGCAATGACAGTTTCTAAGAGACATGTTTTTTGTGATTCCTTTAAATGTGTTGATTTATATATGGACTTATGGTAGAAAGTAAACAGTAGTAGTTGCATTGACTCTGATATACACTTCTCTCTGCACACTAAACCCCCTGTGAACTTGCTCCCACAGCTCTTCTCTCACTGTATGCTCGTCAGTCTGGCCTGTTACCTGCAAGATGACTTCACAGAGGTAGTACATGCAGCTATGGATAAGTACCTCTCAGCATTTGTGGCTGTGCTGGCCGAGAAGTACAGATAAAACCTGACCAGGAGTTCAAAGGACAACTATTGTATCTGTGTATAGACTATTATGCAGGGCCATCTCTAGGTATCTATGGGCCCTGGAGATGAGAGATCCATGTTTGTCATTGTATAAAATTTAACACGCAAAAGGCTGTTGACATCAAGTTGTTTTAAGTGAAATTGAAACAAAATTTAGAATTGTTATTGTTATAAGTGTAATAAATGTATACTACTAGTTATGGGAAAGTATGAGAAGTTGTAGGTAGGCCCTCTCATTCTGTAGGTTATGGACTGCAGCTCAATTGCATTCATGTTGACCTGCTATTAAATGTGTATTGTTTGTGTATCAAATTAAATGTGTATTAAATAACTATGTAAATTTTGGTTAATAAAAAACTCAACTAAACACAATTCCTGTTAAGTCTTATGTTAAATTCACAGATTTTAAGAAAATAAACAGATGCAGTATGTTAAAACTTTTGATGATTGGTTAAAAGGAGATGCTCTTTAATCCACAAGAAAATACTGTTTAATAATACAGAATAGTACACACATTTTACTGAATAAAAAGTAATTGATTACCCCCTCAAACACAATTACCAAAGAGGGTCAGAAAATCATTCTCTGATACTCCCTGAGGATGTGGAGCTGTCCATGGTGCTGAAAGAGTTGAACACTGTGTTCTCCTCAGAGAGCACCCTGGAGCATTCATGAACTTTATGGTGGCAATGGCAAGTGATAAATAACACAAGAAAGTGTAAGAATAAGATACAACAACTTATAGTTAATTTAAAGGACCAAAAATAGTTGTGTAGTGAATTACTAGCCCATATTTTACACAGTTCAATTAATTGAGTTTTCTTTAAAAATGACAGTATTTATGAGCTCTATAAATAAATAAATAATATTTCACATCTTTTTTGTGGGGAAAGGCCCAGTCAACAATCACCCCTGAACACAAACATGCTTTGTCTGAGATAGTTCAGAATAGGTGTGGCCCATAGATAACAAGAAAGGATCAACAGCTGGCTCTCCTCTAATCAGCTGTTCTCAGTGCTTTAAACTTTATCAGCTTCTGTGTGTATGGTAGCATGGTGGTAACAGTCTTTAGATCTATTTAATATTTTGTGAACTGGTAAATGAACATGTCTAAATGAGCTTTATTTCACCAAGAAACCTAAAACACATATAAAAGTTATATATTTTAACTAAACTGGACTGGTAATCTTAGCATCATTCAATTTTTCATCATAAAAAGAAACACAATGTCATATGGTGATTTTGCAGAACTTTATTTTTAATTTCATCAGAACAGAGACACTTCTCCAGCCATGGCCCGGAGTTTAGTGGTACTGTCTGCCCAGAGCAGACACAACCACAGACACGAACTTCTGGAGGGCAGCCTGGATTTCCGAGGTGAAGGAGGGACCCATCTTAGCGGCAATCACAATAGCCAAGCAGTCTGCCAGCAGCTAGGAAGAGAACATGCAAATAGTTCAGTCAATGTTAATGATTTTACATGCTAGCCAGTTAAATGTAGTAGTTTTTCAAAAGTATTCTGACACTCTAAACATTTTTTTGATGATGTGATGAATGATGTGAAAAACAGTTTTACATTTACATTTAGTTTCAATCTAGTTTCAATTAGCATTCCATAATAATGAAATATAAAATCTATTGTTGCATGGACATGGTTTAGAAGCTTGAGAAGCCATGATTTTGTGTTTTTGTGTCTTGTGTTCTGAAGTCTATTTTGTTCTGTAATTTTTATTTAGGCTGTTGAACTGTTACCCTGAAGTTGTCAGGATCCACGTGCAGTTTCTCAGAGTGCAGCACACTCAGCTCGGCGTACGTGGCCTTGATGTCGTCCATGTTCTTGATGGCCCTGTCCAATCCGTGGAGCACCTTGATGCCGTGCGCAGCGATTAGCGGATTGGTTTTTATGGCGGTGGCATTGTAGAGGTTACCGTAGCCACCAAAGTACCTCTGAGTCCATGGGTAGACAATGAGACACCTGGAAGAAGATCAAAAAGAACAGCGGTTGAATTTTGGACTACAGGTAAAAAGTAGTATGAGTAGTAGTAATAGTATTAGTAGAAGTAGTACCTGCACAGAGCTTTGGGCCCAATATCATCATAGTCCATTGTGGAGAAGATGCTGGTGATGATGTTACGCTCGGAATCAGTCCACTCAACCATGGTGTCTCTGCTGCTTCGACTGTGTTGAAAACAAAAGACGAATTGTTTGACAGGGGTCCTTGCTCAGAGCTATATATACGTCCGGGCGATGCCCCTCCCTGTGAAAGGAGCCCCCGATTAGCCCCTGATACAAGACAGCAGATAAAGAAGCTTCTAGAAACAGCTGCTCTCGGCCCATTGTTTCAGTCCAGATGTCAGATTAGTGTAATAATTATCAATAGCAAACAGCAAAACAATTCAAGATCAGTAAAATTGAAATCTAAGGTTGAATATTGAATCATTTTAAGAATTCCATTTATACTTTTAGGAATTAAAATTTACTTTGAACATTGTCAGATATGGACACATCATCTGTAACAAAAGGGAGACTTACCTAATAATAAACAGTGAAGATAGCAAAAACATGGAATAGTGTCTTTACTTAGAGTCAATTGAAAAGCTTCAGCACAGATAATATGCTCTCCATTGTGTTATTATCACATGGTTTTGCATTGAATTATACAATACCTCCTCAAATGATTGTGAAGTTTGTTTTTGTGATATCAAGTCAAAGTACTCACATCACACTACTTCCAGTTCAATAGTTGCCGCCAAAAATTTGATGTCTCTATTGCTGGGTTTAAGATCACACCACAACATCTGGGTGGTGAGGACTCACAAACTGGTCCTCAATACCAGTCAGGACCAGTTTGGGAGAGTTTTAGTGAGATTAGTGGTGACTGGTAAGGCTGATGGCTCAAATTGGTCATCATATTTCAGTCAGTCAGCCCCAGGGCGCATGTAACTAAACAAGTATCTTACCAACACTGAGGGAGTCAATGAACAATATCTTACATTACTGCTCAAAGACCCTTGTTGAATTTTAAAAGCATACATCTAAACCAGTGTTTCTCAAACGGATGGTAACTAACCTCCTTTAGGTGGTAATTTAGTGTTAATTTTATCCGTTTGGTTGTTCTTCTTTGGGCCATTTCTTATTTAGAATTACAGTGGAAGTTATGTAGTCCACTTTTACTCCTGGTTTAGCTCTGCATTAGACCTGGAGTAGTCCTGTTATAGACTTGACTTGCCTAATATTTTCTTTCTAGTATCTGGTTTGAAAAATTTGAGAGCCATTGATCTAAACCATTCTTGCTCCATAGTGTAAAGAGATTTCCAAGATACACCAACAATTTTTAAAGGGCCCATATTACATTATTTTCTGATCTTGGTTATAATGTTTTCTCATCAAAAACATACTTGGAGTTGTGTTTTGTTTCATTCACACATGTTTAACACACAAACCCTGCATATTTAGGCTGTGCTCTTCTCTGAAGCTGAAAACACTCTGTTCCACCTTGTGATGTCATGTAATAATACAGCTTTTGAATTGTCAATCTCTATTGAACAAAAAGCAAAAGGTAGCTGTTAACTGGAAAACTACTTTTACCTGACATCACAAGGTGAATTAGGAATATTTTGATCTTTGAAGATCTTTGAAGAAACTAATATAAAACAAAACACTACACTACTACAAATGCATGCTTTCAGACACTGATCAGTCCATAAGATAAAATGGTGAGAAAAATAAAATATAGCGTAAGATCATGAATGGATGAAAAAAAAAGAAAAAGTGTACTGTATTTATTTTACATTTGTGTTTTTGCATGTTAAAAAAATTCAAACGGTACTTAAGGAGTGCATGATTTAAAAAAAATTATAGATAGTATATTTAGTTGTTCAGTAAAACCTGCCAAGAGAACAGTATCAGGCTTTTAATCTGCTTGTTCATTTTACCCCAAGCCTAAGCTCAAAAGACTATATTTCTTAACAATGTGTGTTAGAGAGTTGTCAAAAGTAGTGGAAAACATATACTAATCGATACTACAACTAGTATCGAAACTAGATATTTACTCATATATTTTATACTCATTTGAGCAAGTATCAGTAGCATTCTAAAAAGTCACATTCACAGTACAGATATGAACCTTTCTTGAATAGCTTTAGACTGATCTTGAGCTGTATCAGAAAAAGTATAAGAGCACATAGAGTAGTATACACCCATATATAAATATAAGGTCACACAGTAATATAAAGGAAAGTACTACTCTTCAGTATTGAAAATTACATTCTTTTGTCAAAATAAAGACTGTTTTTGTTATTACAGTGGTATTGGAATCGGTATTGATTATTGACTCTATTCCTTAGTTCCAAAATTGAGTTTGAAATGGTATTACCGTGACAATACGAGTCAGAAAATACATTTTGAACTGTTGAAAAACCTCCTAAAATGTAAGTAAGGTGTTTTATTTTATTCTGCTGGTGGTTCATCTTACCCCAGTCTCCCCTATCGTGTACTACAGATAGCATTTACTACTGCCAAGAACTTGCCTTATCTTTATGGACCGCAAACAAGCTCAACCAAACCCACATTTCTCCACATCCTTCCTCACGGCACTGTCGCCCTCTATTGGCACATGTTAAGAAGCACATATGGAATTGACCTTGGACTACCCCTTGATGTTTGTCTACTGATGCTATGTTAAGGCTATTTCAACCACACCAAAAATTTTACCCTAGTGAAGTAAGGTGAACAGCTGAACATTTTATAAAAACCTAATGGAGTAGTTTATTAAGAAAGACTAAGTACTAGGCTATTAGCTTATACCAGAACTCGAACTCTTAACCCTAACCCCTCTACTAAGTACTTACTAATTTTTTCATGCTTTATTAATGCTGTAAATAGTGTAGTTATTAAAAGTATTACAAAGATACTTGTTCCTAGATGTCTATTTGCAACCCCTGAGTGTAAAAGAAAAACAGCAGTAGTGATCATTTGCTCTAGATGGTTTTATTGACTGTCACAGTTTCACAATCTTGAGGAGTTGATCTAGTGGTACTGCTTGCCCAGAGCAGCCACAACAACAGCCAGGAACTTCTGCCAGGCACACTGTATCTCTGGGCTGAATGCAGTTCCCAACTTGGCAGCCATTACAACAGTCAGACAGTTACCCAGGAGCTGTAACAAAAAGAGGAGTCAATTAATAGCAGCTCATGTGAAAAGAACACAGTTGTCTACTGAAATTATTATTAATTAACTGTGCTAACTTTTTTTTTGTTTGTTTAAGTCAAGTTCAGACTAGCAACATGACAACTCTAATGTTTATTCTGATTCTAGCTAGCCTCTTATTTTTACACTTTAGTAAAACATTTTGTGTTTTGCTAATTAGTCATTTGCTAACTTGGACAAGCCTTTGTGTAATGGTAAGATGAAAGCAGAACATGACATTTTGAAACTTTTACACCTATTTGAATTCTTAACATAGCCCTTGTTTTGCTGATACAATCTAACTTTTCTTGCTAGATCTTTACCCTGAAGTTGTCAGGATCCACGTGCAGTTTCTCAGAGTGCAGCACGCTCAGCTCAGCATAGGTGGCCTTGATGTCGTCCATGTTCTTGACAGCCCTGTCCAGCCCGTGCAGAACCCTCACGCCGTGAGCTGCCACTTTGGGGTTGGACATGATGGCCTCGGCATTGTAGAGGTTACCGAAGGAGCCAAAGTACCTCTGACACCAGGGATAGACAATCAAACACCTGGAATTGATGGTAACATTAACGTTCTTTGCTATTAATTATTAGTTTTATTTTTGTTATGCTTTGCAGTAAAATTGTAGTACCTTTGGAGAGCCTGGGGTCCGATTTCATTGTAGTCCATGTTGGCGAAAAGGTTGGTGATGATACAACGCTCGTTCTCGCTCCACTCAACCATGATGTCTCTTGTTTTTGTTTTGATCAGGCTTCGGTAATTGAAAGGCTGAATGAAAGTGAGAGGGCAAAGCAGGTCTATTTAAACGTCCAGAAGTGACTACCCTGTGATGGCAGTAGCTCCCCATTGGCTGGAGATGGGCAAGCCAAGATAAGGGGGCTTGGCATCTCCAGAACTTTCTTTTTATCAGTATAAGCATTTTATGACATTTTGAATTGGTTCCAACTCTTGAATTAAGACTTTGAAATCATTAAAAAATAAAAATTTAAAAAAGGTCAGAAGTCAAATAAGTTGATCCAGGACTAAATGGAGGCATGGTAAACACTTACAGGTAGTGTATGTGCTAAGGTTAGGCAGAGATGATAGGCTGTGACCTTATTTGACCTTCTTCAGGTCAAACCTCACAGTTATTTCAAAGATAAATAATGTAGGCACAAGAACTAACAGAACTAAATACATAAATACAAGTAAAGATTATTTTTCTCCCAAATATGTTTTTTCTAACATTTTCAGTGTTATTAAAATTCTAAAAAAACGTAAGAAAATATATAAAACTTTTAGTACTTTTGCACAAATTACTTCACTTATAGTATTTATCCTGTGTCTATGGTATATGTCTGAGAACTGGTATGACAAATATTTTTGGTTTTGCTGACCTAACTGTGCCCAGACATGAATGTGCATTTACACTATTGGCCTCAATACCAAAGTTTTATCATAAGGAGCACACCATGTTATCTGCAGCAGCGCCCTCTCCACCCATGCCCACTGCCAAACACATGGGAGATTAAAAATATGTTTGATAAATATTTTAAATCCATTAATTAAGCATCGTCATTGTTAATTCATTTTGCTTTTAATGTTGAGTTGTTTTTTTACATACACCATTTGAATGTGTAAAAGAATGAAAATATACAACAAATTAATGTGCACATAATGTTTAATTGTATGTTACTTCAGAATTATATTACTCAAGTACAAGTACAAAGTAGTGGTCCAAGAAATGACTGACAGTAAATGTTGGGACATAGCATCAGATTTATAATTTGATATTAAAAGTGCACTGCGAAACCTTTCTGGTGGAGGGTCTGTCAAATGCTTTTCTTTGTGCAAATGTTTTTTGTTTTTTTGTTTTTTTTATCTTGAATGTTTCACAGTATGGTATTAAACCTTTCTATCTTCATGGAGACCAAACCAGACCAAGTCACAGGTCAGATCTGTGGAGAGGCGGCCTCACTCACATTCAGAATGCTTGTTTTTCTAGGTATTTTTTGAGCTAAAAAACACCTGTAATTGGATAAATGGAAGGTAGAGCTGTTGGTCATACTGTGGAACAGTCCAAGCAGAGCAATGTCAACTCTACGGAGACAAACAGGTGACGGACGCTCCACCAGAAAAGTTACACAATGCACCTTTAATGTAATTTGAAGGACTATTACAACCTGAAGGAGCGGTGCAAGAAACACAAATGCTCAAATTATTTAATATTGTCAACATAAAGCTTTGGTCACTTCTAGACTTACTCACAGTGGGAACTAACACTTTTATTTAGGTAAGAGTACTGTTACAATAAAGTTAAAATATTACTCAAGTGGGAGTAAAAGTATGCTTCTAGAAAAGTGTCAGAACTACAATTTCTTCTTTTATTGTTTCTTTCTTTTCTACCAACAGAATTTAAGGGAAAATGTCCCAACAGGGTCAGTTCATTCTGAAATCAGCCGTCCTCCCCTATGAACCATCTCAGATTTGGCTCAAAAAATTTCTAAATATTTCTAAAATGACCAAATAAAAGAATCTAAAATTTAAACTCAATCCTTTCAGTCATTCCTGAGTTATGGCCCGTTGAAATTTTGGTGCCAGGCTCACTTTTTCTGAAACCTTAATTTATAAGCATGTTTGAGAGGCCATAACTTCATAGAAAATAGAGCTAGGAAGCTGAACATCTGTATTATTGTAGATTCTCAGTCATTGATTCTGAACCTGTTGTCAAATATTGAGTATCTTTATTAAGGGGGTGCTGTGGGCCCCCAAAATCTCACATTTGGTTGCCGCTCAATATTTTTTATTTTTTTTTTTTTTTGAGGTCCAAGATCTATTTACTCCAAGCAGAGATTTACAAACTAACTATTGAGCCTGAATATTTGAGAGAATGACCATTTCTGACAACAATCTCACACTTTTTTGAGCTTTCATGCAGATGTTGTAGAACCCCAAATATGGTCACAGACCAGATGTGATCTTTTTGGCCCCTTCTTTGAACCCTCAGTTCCCCATGTGGACACAGTTAGTTGTTGATACAATTTTTACCAGAGAAACTTTGTCATATTCTGATTAGTTTAAAGTAATAAACACATCTACTATTAACTTCCTTCATTTCAAACTGAATTTTTGAAAATGAGCTCTCACGGGTCATTTTTGGTGGATCTTAGTTACTTTTCCACCTGCTAGAAAGGTTCAGTTACCTTTAATAGCTTTAAACACTATTTGCTTGTTATAAGGGAAGACAACTGGAGATTAGTTGTGGTACATTGCTTGTGATGGTTTTGGTGGCACAGTAAAACACTCGACTGCAAGGACCAGTCTTCAGACAACTGACAGTAATGAAATATTGACCTCACTCTAGATATTTGAGTGGGCTTCACAAAACATAAAGAATGTGACGGTTTTCTTTATAAGCTCTAAAGACATAACAAACCATGAACTTGCTTCCAAATTTGAAGAGTGCTATAGCAAGGTAAAGAATGTGAATGAGACTAGATCACACCACAGTTTCATTCTGGTTTCAAATGGTAAAGTAGAAATGAGGAGAATATCTCTAGATCATTTATGTACTAATTTATGTATTAAGTGTCAGTTTCAGATATACAAAATGAGACTGTGCCAGATATCTCTCTGTACCAGCCAGGTCAATACATGCATGTATTTATGACATCAGGTGGTTCATTGGGAATATTTCAGAGCTTTCAGATGAACATGGTGATGTCTACGTGAGATTCCTGAATGGAGACAACAGAACCCTCATCTGGCCTCTTGAACATCGGCAGAACCATGTTGGGTCCCATTTGAGCACATAATCTGTTGTATTAATGTACCAGAAGTTCAGAGAAGAAGAGCATGAAATTATCTCCTTGACACTTCAGATTATGACAGGATCCAAGCATTACTTCTGAAGTACATTAGTAATTAGGAACACTTAGTATGCAAGCTACCAATACAGATGATCTACATGTAGGTGGAAAACGAACCAAAATGGTCAGATTTTTCCAGTATGTTGGTATTTTCTGCTGAGGTTGTTTTTCACACTGATTTTTTAAAATGTAATTTTTAGCAGTTGAACAAATAACAGACCAGATGACTGTATTTTGGTAACTTTTGTGTCAGTATCAAATTTTTCCTTGTTAATGTTACCGCCTTCTTCTTGTAATATTTTTGTGCAAAAATTATACACATATGGTGGCACTGAAAGCCATGGTTATAGAATCAAAGACTTTGTGATTTAACAGGCAATGAGTATTCCAATTGTAATTTGTCTTGGATTAGTTTCCATCAATACCATCTTAACTTTTGTTGCTTTACTTATACCCCATGAAAAGCTATGTTTCTGTGTGAGATACAAATAAATTATCTTCCTCAAATAAAAATAGAATAAATAATGCAAACAAACCTTTTTTTATATATATATCATTTTGTACAAAGTTAATAGTTGAATTTTCTCAAAGAATTAATAACACTTTTCCAAGCAATGTACCACAACTAATCTCCAGTTGTCTTCCCTTATAACAAGCAAATAGTGTTTAAAGCTATTAAAGGTAACTGAACCTTTCTAGCAGGTGGAAAAGTAACTAAGCTCCACCAAAAATGACCCGTGAGAGCTCATTTTCAAAAATTCAGTTTGAAATGAAGGAAGTTAATAGTAGATGTTTTTATTACTTTAAATCAGAATATGCCAAAGTTTCTCTGGTAAAAATTTGATCAACATCTAACTGTGTCCACATGGGGAACCAAGGGTCCAAAGAAGGGGCCAAAAAGATCACATTTGGTCTGTCACCATATTTGGGGTTCTACACCATCCACATGAAAGCTCAGAAAACTGTGAGACTGTTATCAGAAATGGTCATTCTCTCAAATATTCAAACTCAACAGTTTGTAAATATCTGCTTGGAGTAAATAGATCTTGGACCTCAAAAATTGAAAACAAAATTGAGCGGCAATCAAATGTGAGATTTTGGGGGCCCACATCACCCCCCTTAATAAAGATACCCAATATTTATACAGATTTAGAATCTATGACCAAGAATCTACAATAATACAAATTTTCAGCTTCCTAGCTCTATTTTTTATGAAGTCTCTCAAACATGCTTATAAATTAAGGTGTCTGAAAAAGTGAGCATGGCCCCAAAATTTCAACAGGATTGACTGAAGAAGGGATTGAGCTTAAATTTTAGATTCTTTTATTTGGTAATTTTAGAATTTTTTATTTATTTATTTTTCAGTCAAATCTGAGATGGCTCATAGGGGAGATTCCTTGAAAATGGCTGATTTCATATGGACTGACGCAACACAAGTTTGAACTTTTTCATTGTTGCCTCATGAACTGTAGGCCATAAAAGGTTAGACTTACATGGAAAACATTATTTATTTTTCTCTCACAAAGAAATCAAGACTTTTTGGGTGCACAAGCTTTCGGGGTTATAACCTCTTGGCACCTATTGCTGTTCCAATCTGTCTGTGCATTGCATTATGACTGGAAACCATATGCTGTTATTGCAATTACCATCCACACATATTGATTTGAAGAAAGGACATTCAGATGTTCCCCCACACACTTCACAATTCCTTCACAGTGTCATCACCAGACCTCATACACTGCAGTCAGGTAGAATTCTCAATGTTCACAAGCTTCTTGCTAGTTCTAATGATTGGCTGCAAGTGCTAGGATTTAGGTAGTGAGGATTGAACTCAGAGAGAAGCATTTTAGGTATGTTAGCTAACTGAATTTCAGCATTGAAACTGGCATCCCTATTGAAAGACTCATTTGAACCTCATTTTGCTTTCTGACTGGATAATTGTCTTCAGAAACAAAACACCAAATTAATAATAATTAATAAATTAGCCATCACGTCTGGTATTTCTGTAACTAAGAAAAAATCTGAATTACATTTTTTTTAATCAGTAAAAGCTATTTGATTTGAACAGGTCTACCTCATATCTGGGAACACAGTTATCTCTCTTATATAAATCTTAAATACATCATTTAATGCTGTTCCAGTCTTTCTCAGCGAGACTGCAGTTATTATCATTTCCTCCATGTCATGGAGTAATTCATAGTAACTGTAATTTTTCAGCAAAAGACTGGAACAGCATTAACTACCAACATATCACAACTTTGCAAGCCAGAAAAAAATCTAGTTATTTTGATTGTGAGGAAATATAACACACAGTCTACATAAATCTATAAAAATGTTACTTTGCATCCAAACTCAGTTCAGAGTGTCACGTTGTGCCAGAGATTGAAACCCGCAGCGGATGTTTAGTCCAGCAGTGTTTAATGAAGCAATGAAATGTCTTTGATGTAGACGTGTTTCCCGTTGGGATAAACCGTTGCTGAAGATGTACCCTGGATCCACGTGCAGTGTCTGAGTTCAGAACTCAACTAATGGGCACTGCCCAGTGCGATCCTAGTTCTACACCTCCCTCTTTCAGTGTGATTAGTCGTTCACTGGCATAGACGACTTGCCTAAACCTTAAGTTGGGGGAAATTATGAAAATGATGTTTTATTTTATTCTGAATTTCCATAGGTTCGTCTTAACTTTCAGTTGAAATCTACCCTAACGCAATCTTTCTTGCAAGTTTTAATAATTAACGCAATTGCCTTGATAATGCTTTGAATGAATCAGTTTAATTATGGCATGGCAGGACATGATGTTTTATGTGAATAGTATATGTGAAGTCAAACTTGTTGTGGGATTTATTTTTTTTAGTATGACTGTGGCATTGCGTGCCAAGTTCTCCATATGCGTAAAATTAACTGATCCCAACCCTAAACCTGGTGCGCGCGTTGATAAGACATGATATCTAGAGTGGCAAACGGGTCCCTGTACGTCATCGGGCGGCACTTGGCATTAGTTTTTGTGGGTGTGACTCTCAGTGAGAGAATTTAAGGAGAGGTCCGGAGAAGAGCTGGGTATCTCACACAATGAGTTTGAACCAAGAAAGACAAATCCGCCGTCAAGGCGCTGTGGAACAAGGTGAACAAATCCGCCGACGTGGTCGGATGTGACACCCTTGGCAGGTGAGTGCACCCGTTGTCTTCGGTAAGCAACGTTTGTTAACGATGAAGATACGAATTTTAATTTAATCATTGCATCTTGTCTCCAGGCTGTTCACCTGCTACCCTCAGACCAAGACATACTTCTCCCACTGGTCCGATCTCACACCGGGCTCTGGGCCCATCAAGGAACACGGCAAAATCATCCTGTCTGGTGTGTGCCTGGCTGTGGAAAACATCGATGACATCACCAAAGGCCTGCTGGATCTGAGTGAGAAGCACGCCTTCCAGCTCAGGGTCGACCCATCCAACTTTAAGGTAAAAAAAACTGACCGCAAATCACAAGAATGGCATAAGGCTACTCAATGATAACACTTTTGTCTTTTACAGTTTATGGCCCACTGCCTCATGGTCGTCATCGCCACCTTGTTCCCGAAAGACTTCACCCCTGAGGTCCATGCCTCTTTTGACAAATTCATGGACTGTGTTGCTCAGGCTCTGTCTGAGAAGTTCCGTTAAAAAAATTTGACTGAAGCATGTAACTACTGCTTAAAGAATGGCTAAATAAAATGCATTCAAACAACTCAACACAATGTTGTAGTTTATTTATCAAAAATCCATATTTATAGACATAAAAAAAAAATAAACTGATATTGTCTTATGGCTGGGTTTCAAATTACATCACAATATTCTATAGATCTATAATATATAAAACAGATGAGGTGCTTGTCACTAATAGAAATCATTAGGTTCAAAATTTGTGAATTTACCTTTTAGATATTTCATATGACAAGACCATGTAATCAATAGGGAAAACTGACTCTTGCCCCCACTCTTGCAAACCACCACATGGTTTGCATAGTGATAATTTACATAACATTTATACTGTTAGAAGTTGAAGTAACTTAAAACAAAACAAATACACAAAACTGGCCACTATGATTTCAAAATAAGACGCACTTTCTCGTCTCCAAGAATGAGCCTGGAAGAGAAATAACATTGTAAACAACGCTCATAACACAACTGGCTTCTACAGTGACATTTCTAACCTGAGTAAGATAGCTGCCAGCAGGCCTCCACTTATAGGTCCCGCCCAGTAGACCCAATGGTACATCCAGTAGTTAGCGATGACTGCAGGTCCAAAAGCTCTGGCTGGGTTCAGACAAGTCCCTGAAATATCACCCCTGTTCCAACAGAAGAGTGAATGTATTTTTAGTTAGAAGCGTACTATACAGAGGAGGCATTTACTATAATAAGTGAAACTTGATGTTATTTTTTTTTCATTTTTGAAAATATGAGATGCAATGACATAAAAGCGTCAAAACACTTCTCCATAAGGTTTTAGCCTTTTTGATTTTTATGAAAGTATCCCATTTATTTACATACAACTTCACATTTTGAGTAGTTGTGGTACTTTTCACCTCTCTCCCTCAAATTTTATGTATTCAAATCAATATCCCATAAAAAGTGTTAAAAACTGATCATTTTTTACACCCTCACACTGGTAAAAAATATCCCATAAAAAGTGCATCTACGCATGTAGTCTAAATATTGAAATGTAGTCTAAATATTGAAATGTCCATGCGGCCTAGTGGACATTGGCAAGACCACAAGAAAACTTAAACAAAGAATAAGTGAACACAAGAGCTCCATCAGAAGAAATGACCGGGACTACCCTGTAGCAGTACATTTTAATGATCAGAGACATGATATTTGCTCTCTACGTTTCTGTGGCATTGAGCATGTCCCCCCCTCCACCCAGAGGAGGGGACCATGACCGCATACTTAAACAAAGAGAAGCATTTTGGATTCACACTCTCCAAACTTTAGCTCCTAAAGGACTCAATGACGATTTTAATCTTAGCATCTTTTTGTAAACATTAGTTTACATCATTAGGACTCTTGCTTTGGGTGGGCTGTTTATGGGCTACAGCTTAACATTCATTGTGTATATATATATATAGATGTGTATATGGCACGACAACATTATTTTATAGTTGGGTGAATGTATACTATGTCTATATGTATCCATATATTCTTCTTACTTTTCTAATATTATTCTATGATTGTTATATGATGATTACTATTTCATTATTATTATTTGTATTATTATTACACTATATGTTGATTGTCTTTGTTTTTTAAATTATGGGGTTTTTGTGTGCACTGTTTCTTTATGACCGGTCACCCTTGGGTGCTTGCCACACCCTATTTAAGATGGCCACCTGAGCTCTCATTCTGTTTGCCTGACGAAGGCCTAGTGCCGAAACGTTGCACGGTTTGTCCTAATAAATTTCACAATTTGCAAGTAAGACGGTGTGCAGGATTTTTCTCCATGTTCTTGGGTTGCTCCCTCTCCTCCAACGCACCCATCTCTAGTAATTGATATACGAGGCTCTCATTCTTTCATGTATTCAAATCAATAAAATCCCTTATAGTGCATATGTCTCATCCACTAACCACTAACTGTGAGTTCAAACTTGCTTGAGTATACTCTGTTACTGTGGGGGCTGTGTCGCTGAGCAAGACACTTTACCAACTCTGGTCAAAATATACAGTTGTATTGAGGGCTGAGAATAAAAAAGGTATAATTCAATGATGTTCTGGTAATAACAGACAAACAAACTTTTAAAAAAAAAGGAATAACCCAAATAGTTGTTCAAGTTCTTCAGTTTTATGAGCACTCTTTTTGCATTGAAAATTCCTTCATTAAGAGGTAGTACTTTTTTATATCATTAGCTCTATTACATTGCCTCTTATATATTAAATAAATAAATTCCATAAGTTAATGACACTTTAAACAAGCCTTTTAAGCATGTTACTTATCTCACCCTGAAAGCACGTTAGCGATGACAGTGCAGCCCACCAGGAACGGAGCCATGGGAGTTTTAGTTTTGTTGTTGACAGCCACAAGCAGCACCACCATAGTGAGCATGCACGTCATGGTCATCTCCCCAAAGAGGGCGCTGTAGAGCTGGCTGTTCGACTCCGGCCTCAGGATGTCGAAGGCTGCTCCTGTGGCATTCATGTACCGCTCGGCTGGAGTCATCACCTGTAAGAATTAACAAAGAGCTTCTTTTTTCATCAGCACACATGATAACTTTAGGAAAATTATTAATGTACGTTCAATTAATTATGGTTTAGGTTAGATTAGTTTTTATAGTGTTAACAAAATTCTAAATAGCCTATTATTGCTTGGATGTATACTGCATAAAATGACTGCAACTCAATGAAATTAAGTAAATAAAATCGAAAGCTGTATGAAATTTTAACCCATCAAATGAAAACAACTTTAAATGCAGATAGTGTTACAATATTAGTATAATATGAGTAATGTCACAATAAAGACATCAATATACACTGAATATTATCTTTGTATTAACAATATAGACAAAAAAACAAACAAAAAACATTTCACCATCATAGGTGGGTCAGCAAGTTTTGTTTAATAAAATAGAAATTTGGGTCTGTTTAGCCACAATAATTAAATTCTGCCTCAAAACTAAAAAAAAAATAATATTCAATACTTCATTATTTGGTGCTTTATCCAACATCAAAAAATAATTACATGAATAAATAAAAAATGTATATAATAAAATAAAATAAAAAGCTGCCATATATCATTCTGATTACTGACCTTTGCCATTCCTGCCCCCAGCACACCTCCAATCAACTGGCTCACAAGGTACGGCCCCACCATTGTGAGTTCAATGCCCCCGCACAGGTAGATGGCGATAGTGAACGTAGGGTTGAAATGGGATCCACTGACAAAGAGATTAGAAATTAAACATAAGCAATCAACCTTAGACAATTTACATACACTTAAAATCTCTTACCTGATATTACCCATGACTGCTACCAGTGTGGCCAGAGCTAGCCCATGTGCCAAAGCAGGCTGCAGTCTCCCAGCAGCTGGGACATTCTCAATGACAGATACACAGCCAACAAAAACAAAAAACATAGTCCCTATCAGCTCTGCTAAACAGGGCTGGAACACTCTTTCATATTTATTTTTGGGTTTAGGAACTGCCTTTTTCTTGTCCTCCATCAGTTCCTCTCCTTCCATTTGCATTTTGTCCACGTCCATGTTGTTCCAGACTTGTGCTTTGTCCAGAGAATGTGATCGGACTGCCACAAGCCTGACAAAGGGGAACTATGGTTACTTATATCCATCTGGAGCAAGCCTACTACAGTTGCGTCAAAGGGGTAATAAAGATCAGAAGTGGTAGACGACTAAGTTGTCTTGAACCCAAGTTAAACCAGCCTTTGTAGTGGTATATCAGGCTGGTCAGACTAAGGCTAAGTCAAGGTTGGAAGCCAGCTTGTTTACATGAATATTATTAGAGATTAAGATCCGTTTTAGGTAGCATTGCATTTGTTGTTATGGGATTGTTCCGCTAAGCTATAGAGAGCATTAACCTGTAAAGATAAGACCTGGGTAGTTGGCATCCATGAGTCCTTGACATTCCATAGTGCAATCTTCATACTATGGCAATTAATACAGATTTGCTATCATAATGATGATTGATAATTATTCCACATTATATTACACTGAACAAACAATAGCTGTGCACATATCTGAAACAGAGGTCAAATGAAAACAACTGTATTTCAATCATGGAAATTGAATTATGGAAAAAAATACCTACTTGATAATCCACATACGGCTATCCTATTTAATGTTTCATGTTTAATTCTCTGTGGTCCTATGGAATAGTTATTAAAGGGCCCATATTATGTTATTTTTTATCTTTGTTATAATGTTGTTTCCTCATCACAAACATACCTGGAGTTGTGTTTTTTTGCATTCACACATTTTTAACCCACAAATCCTGCATATTTAGGCTGTGTTCATCTCGCAAACAGAAAACACTTTGTTCCACCTTGTCATGTGGTAATACAGGAAGTGCTCTACTGTATTTTTAAACTCCATACACCTTCACTAGAATTTTTTGAACATTTCAGCTCTGGAATTCCTATCTCTATAGAATAAACAGTAGCTGTTAACTTGAAAATTACCACTACATGACATCACAAAGTGGAAGAGAGCATTTTCAGCTTTGGAGATATAGACACACTATTAATAAAGGATTAGTCAAATGTGTGTAAATGAAGCAAAATTCCAGGCATGTCTTTGGGGAGGTAACAACATGGCTAAAAGCTCACAAGACTCAATTTTGTATAATATAGGACTTTTAAGCTATTATTACTGTATACAACCAAACAAAATTATTTTTAATGAATGGCGCACAGAGAGTACCATTTTTCTAATAAATTTCATCATGCGTGATTTTGAAATTCAAATCACAATTCAATTAAAAAAACAAAAAGTGCTTATAAATGCTGAAATAAACAACCAGCACAATATCAGATGGAGAATTTTGTTGCTACATTGGGAAGTTAATCCTCATGATAAAAAATGTACATATCCATATTTTTAAATACAGACCTTACATTTATTCAGTTACAGGTGGATTTACTGTTCAAAAATAGTAAAAAAAAAAAAAAAAAAGAGACATTCTGTGAGCGGGGTTGCCTCTCCACAAACATGACCTATAACTTGGTCTGGTTGGTGTCCATGAACATAGAAAGGTTTAATGCCATACTGTGAAACATTTCAAACAAAGCAATGGCATCTCCATGAAGAAAAACATTTGACGGATCCTCCACCAGAAAAGTTACATAATGCACCTTTAAGCATACATTTGATGAGAACCAGATCTATCAGGTGAACGCTGCTGTTAACTGAGGGCAGAGGTTTATGGTCATAATCTGTTTTATTGTAGATTTTAGTACTCTCGCCCTTACAGCAAGTAATAAAATGATCAAACCAAGTTTTTACATTTGAGACTTTGATCCAAACAACTGAATCCAACAAAGATTTCAAAGAAAAGCTAATCCAGTGTGTGAATTATAGGGAACATTGTTTTGTTAATGTAAACACAAAGCTTTTTTATTGCATTATGAAACACAAACATTCATTAAAGAGTTAGAGCTTTAACATTTTATGAGAAGACAAGATATTATAGACCCTTTAAAAGTTTGCAGATATAGATATTTTAGATTAGAGAATAGAGGCAAGTGAAGGCAAAAGTGAAGTGGAATATAATGCGATTTCAATGGAAAAATTGTGATAAGCCTCAGAAAAAAATTGGTTTTGACAAATAAACATTTATGTATTATATAATAATTTTGATTGCAGTGAAGTCTTGATTTTTAGGTTTCACTGTACAACAATGTTCACAAATCATGTCCATACAATCACTTTTTACTGTTTTTAAGTTTTATAACATCCTTCACCACAAAGTATATATTTTTTGTAAAGATGGAATACTAGAAAGTAGTATTTTTCAGTCCCTTCTCCACTGGAAATTCAGAATGATAGCTTATTTTTGTTAGTAATAATAATAATGTCAGTACATCTTCGAAATGTATTAAGATCTACCTAGTTTTCCCTCTGTTCCAGAGTTTTTAACACTCTAATGGAAAGGCGTTCAATTAGGCCCAAGATACAGTATTGGAGTTCTTAAATATACATACAGTATATGAATACATCTTTCACAGTCTGCACCATCTCTCTTTCACTTTCTCAGAATGATTCGAGTCTTCCGGTCTCCAAGAAACAACCTGTAAGAGACACACACTGCTGTTATAAAAAACTGTACTCAAGTAAACATACAGTTACATGGTTAAAAATGTACTCAATTACAAGTAACGTCAAAAATTTGTATTTAAGTAAAAATATAAAGCATGAAAATTACTACTTAAAGTACTAGTTATTAGTTACGTTGTTTTAAAATACAATACAAGTAATTTTGAGGACTTTACACCATTCAAAAGATATAATATTTCTTTTTTAATCGTTAATCACTATGGTAACTATCTTCATTAGTCATCATTCTGAAATCTGTGGGATAGGAAGGAAAGGAGACACCTCTTTATTGTGGCAACTGAGACTTGTGCTGTCCTCAGGAACCCCTAGGTTTGTAAATGTAGTACTTACAATTATATGGCTAGAATTTTATGCAATTACAAGTTTAACAATCTACTAAAAATAGACTCAGTTACAGTAACTTGAGTATTTGTAATTAGTTACTTTCCACTATTTTGACTTTGACCACTAATTATCATAGCAGTTAATGGACAATTCTTGCTTTTTTATGACTTCAAAAAGATCAAACGCACACTCTGATATCAGTATCTGCACATTGTATGATTTGACCATTTTGGCCTTTGACACTGGCTCTACATAAACCCCAGATTCACAGCCAAGGTTATGATAGAAAGTTTCAAAGTTCATTTTTAGGTCTGCATTAATCCTAAATTTTTACACCAATAATATCATTTTAGATAATTATAATTTTCTAAATCATAATCCTCACATATCTAGTTATTCTTATCATCTAAGGATGATAAATGGTTGTTTTTTATATAGTGCTTTTCCACCACTCAATACGCTTTACCTCAAAGAACCACTCACATTCATACACACTACACAGTGTACACAGACAGCAATGGTGAGTCGGGTCTTGCCCAAGGACACAATGACAATATCTGTGGAATCGCACCACCAACCTGTGGGTCAGTGGATCTGACCACTCAATCAGTGATGTTTATGTCGAGAGTGGGATTCAAACCTCAACCTTCGGATTAGTTGACAAACACACACACACAATCATGTTCTTCTCACCTATGAAGCTAGCAGCCATGTGACTCACTTTTACTTACACATACTGTATATGGAATCTTTAAGATGTAAAACATGGTATACATGCAGTTGTCATGACTAATGCATATAATGCAGCATTCCCAATAATTGAAACTAGGGCTGAGGCATAAAAAATAATTATGTTTTTTTTTCATATTGACCAATTTTGATTTTTTATTTCTTTTATTTAGTCTTTAATATTTCAGTGTTCATACTAGGCAATGTGGATGAAGTGTCTTGCTTAAGGAAATTAGCTATTTAGCCAGGCTGCACCCAAGTATTATCCAGGGCCAACATTGCGCAGCATTTGAGGCCAGATGAGATCACTGGAGGTATGGTCAAAATAATATAATAATATGTGTAATGTAAGTAATGTCAAATATATACTTCATAGTAATAGTAATAATTCATAGTTTGCTCAGTCTGGACGAGTACAAATGAAACTTCCCACATTTGTCCATTTAAAGTGCATAATGCATACAGATTTTCATGTCTTTAATTATTATTATTATGATTATGATTATTTGGTGGGATAGTACTTGTAGCAAATATTTGTCATAGTTTTACATCAGGTAAATGTCAGTTTGTGGGAAAAAAAACAAACAAACTTTACTTAGTCTATTTAATTAGTCTAAATATAAATATTATGTACACAATGTTTTCTTGGTTTTCAATGAAGAGATTTATAATTATTCAGCACCATAACTATTAGGTAATTTAGGTTTTTTGTCACCATTATGGTTGCTCAGTTACAGTTATGGTAATTCCTCTACATGTAAAACTGCTGCCCACGTCCAACCAAAAGTAAAATTATAAAAAAAATAAATAAAATTGAAGAAAAAAAGAGGAAACATATTGAATATTATTATGCTAATGATGATATACTTAAATGAGGAATCTAACCTTAGCACTTTTTATATACATACCTGACATGGATAACTGTGCACAGAGCTCCAGCCATAGGTCCCACCCAGTAGATCCAATGGTGGTCCCATTTGTTGGCCACGACAGCAGGTCCAAACGCCCGGGCCGGGTTCATACAGGCTCCAGACAGTCCCCCTCTGTCACAGCACATGTTGACACAGCGGATCATTACAACAGGCACTTCTCAAACAGTTATAACTAGGCTAGCTAAATTAGCAGAGATAAGGCGCATGTTGTGTAAATACAGGGTAGTTAAGGACAATTAATGCAATATTTGTCTTAGGGAATATGTAGACTTGCAGAATATTCATATCTGAATGGGTCTAAAACTTTCCTTAAATGTGTACTATGTTCACTACCTGCTTGTCTTCATGGAGATGTTATTACTTTGCCTGTCATATTCCACAGTATAACATTAACCTTTATTAACATTAACATGAATTTGCATTTATTCAATTACAGGTGTGCATACATACATACATACATAATACATACATATAAAAACATGGATTCTTACTGTGAGCAAGTTACCTCTCCATAGATCTGACCTGCAACTGTGGTGTCACCTGCTTGTCTTTATGATCCATGTAGAAAGACTGGTTTAATGCCATACTGTGCAACATTCCAGCCAAAGCATTAATATCTCCATGGAGACAAGCTGACAAGCCTTCACCTAAAAAGTTCAAGAGTGCACCTTTAAAGTCCTCCCATAGGTCTTACCCTGCTAATATATCGGCGGCAACCGTGAGTCCAATGCCGAAAGGGGCCAACTGAGAGCTCGTCTTCCCATTCACTGCTCCCATGGCAACTGTCGTAGTGAGGAACATGGTCAGAACAAGTTCTGCCAGTGTGATTTTACCAAGGTCATTAGGTATGGCTTCAGGAGTAAAGGCGCCCCCAGTACCAGCCTGGTAATCGAGAGTATTAAACACAGCCTGCAAGGGAAACAATAACTGTCAAATTCTGCAAATAAATGCTTTTTAAAGATGCATTATGTAGCTTTTCTATTTGCAGCACAGTGTACATGTTGCTGCAACAAAACTTGAATTTCCCGTGGGATCAAAAAAGTATGTCTCTCTTTTCTGAGGGTTTGTCTGCTTGTTTCCATGGAGATGTTGTTTGCTTAGTCTGTAATGTTCCACAGTATAGCATTCTATTATATTTATTATCAAGGATACAAGCAGGTGGTGCCGCAAGACCAGATCCGTGGAGAGGCAAGCCCACTCATTTTTTTCAAGGTATTATATAACAGCAATGTAACATCTGTGATTATATAAATGCAAGGCAAATAAAGTTGAATGTTATACTATGTTACAACAAAGCAAAGCAATAACATCACCATGGAGACCAGCAAGTAGCAAATTCTGCACTCAAGAAGTTACACATTGTACCTTTCAATCTTTGAAGATGTACTTACTCTAACCAAGCCAGCCCCTGCTATGCCTCCTAACATCTGAGCCAGGATGTATGGCACCACAAGAGCTAAGGACATCCCTCCACAAAGGTACACACACAGGGTTACTGCTGGGTTGAAGTGTCCGCCACTGAAACAAAAACATTAAGAGCAACAGTAGTAATGGTTACTAGTAAGTTGGTGGTAATGAATCCGTGTATCATTCATTCATCCCTTTTTCAATATAAAACCAAAAATAAGAAAACGAACAAACAATTAGGACTGTAATGCATTTCTTTTTCTCAATTTAATTTTCAAATTATTTATCATTTTAAATTATTTCGATCCATTTTGTTGTCACCAAACTGACAGCCCTTTCTATCAATTTATGCTTGAAATAGTAAAAATGGAGGTAAAAGTAATTTTGTGAAGCTACAGTAATTATTCAAAATATACTACAATCCTCTCATTGTTACCCAATAAAATTTTGATGTTTTATAAATAACATTGTTACCTTAAATTGGATATATTAAGCTCTATAATAAAAAATAATGCATTCAGTCCATTTTGCAAAACAGTAATACAAAAATTATTGTTTTATATTCATGTTATGAAAGTTACGCAATGTATAATGTATTTGTACTTTTTTCACTGTTAGCCAATAGTTGGAGTGGACCCAGAAGTCCTCCCCTTCAAACAATCATTGATCTAATTAATGGTTATACAATTACGAAACTTTGCATTGTTCATGCTTTTATAAATATTACATTGGCCTAAAATGAAATACTTTTTTAAGATAATAAAATATTCCCCCAAAAACTTTTTTTCTTGTTTTGATTGGTTTATAATATTTACTTTAAGAGCAATTGGCTGATGTTTGGACACACACGCTATAAGCACACATGTATGTTCAGCAATACATCTTTGATTATATTTGCGTAGCCTAGTAGCATACAAACTGTTAGATCATTTTCCCCCCCTCCTTGCATTTAAATGCAAAAAATGCTGTATAATTTTTTTCCAACAGTTAAATGCATATTATAACGTGTACATCTATATCTTATCGTTACACCTTCATTAGACACTCTTACCTGATCTGTCCAAAGAGCATGATGACGATTGAAAGCGCCAGTCCATGTGCCAGGGCTGGTTGAATTGCACCAGGCGCAGAATTCCCCACAACACATGCGCACCCCACAAAAATGAACAAAGTCGAACCCAAAAACTCGGCTAGACAGGGCTGCACATACTGCTCATAGATATGCGTGTGCTTGTTCCCTCTGCTCCTGGAACACTCAGCTTCTTCGTTCACCTGTCCCATCTCGGATCCACTGATGGTGAAGACCTCAGGCTCAGTTTTGGTCATGGTTTTGGCTGGGTGAAGATGGTGATGAGTTCTGTTGCCTATAAAGGGCTCTGACAGGAAAATACAATCATACGAGACATACGCAGATCCTCATCTTTGTTGGCCCCACCTTCCTGTAATTGTTTATATTCTCAAGACTGAAGGTGACAGGTCAGAGCAGATCATAAAACGAGTGTTAAAGTGTTGGAAAACATGCGTAGATTAGATTAGAACTGTTGTCTGATTAGTGGACGGTACAAATAGTATTCCAGGATCAATTTGTATAATTACATTTTATTACTATATAAGATGATTTGATATTTTTAGATATTTAATTAATTATCTTATCTCATTACACTAGATTTGTGTACATGTTGTTCATATTTTTCACGTGATGTCAGCATTCCTTATGGGGGTTTAGGTAACTGGAGGCACTGCGCACTCTTAATCTAAATTTGAACACAATTTGACCATAAAGAACTGGCTTAGTTGGATTTGTGAGTTCATTTGTTTGCTAAACAAGAATGGGAACATGGATGCTTGTGTTAATCACAGAAAATGTGTTGTTTAAATCAATTTTGTATTTTTTTCTGACGTAAAATACAGTGTAAGTGGTGTTTCCTAATCTGTGCATTGTTTCACCATGGCAACTGCTGAAGTGTCCTGAACAGACATACAAGTATCGATAGCTGTATGTTAATCTCACTTAATCACATTATCACTGTGTAACTTCCCTTTTCTGGCCTCAGTTGCCTCCTTGAGCAGATAACCAAACTGACATTCAATCTATAAAATGGAGAAGAAAGAGAGATTCTACTAGACATTATTGTTTTAATTATGTTGTATTGAAACAATTCAATACAAATGATTTGAAATTGTACTGATTTAACAGAAGGACAGAATAAAAACTAGCAGAGACTTGACTTGAAATGATTGTAGTTAAATTGTGGAAACTTAATATTACAATATAAATTCAGCACAAACAGTGATCCTCATCTTTATACATAAGTATACATAAGTAACTATACCATAGTACAAAATAGCCTTTTAGCCTTCACTTTGAGTGTGTTTTTTCCAGATAATCCTTTACTGGTCCATTACAGGGCACCATATACAGTCATTTGGAAGAATTACACCAGATGCCTTCCCTGAGCGAGATTTGAAGCCACTCATTTGATTTCTGTTTGTACTGAATTTATAGAACAGACATGTATGAACAGATTTCAGTTTGTAGTGTTGAAACAGATTTCTTTCCATTTATTATCCATTGTTGGCTACCTTGCAGATAAATGGCACATCAAACGTGATATTTTAAATAACAATCATCCTTGTATTGGTTGTATATTTACAGACCAAACATCAGAAGGGTGGCCTTCATTTTATGAATGATTGACACATGGCACATGGCACCACAGTGCCAGTGTAGAACTCTTAATTACTCCACAGTCTTTACACAGTCCGGTGTTATCTCAAACCTGCTGGAGGTGGTGAAGGACACTCATGGGGCACATTGTGCAGAAGCACTGATTTACATTGTGGAGAAGGTCCATGATGGTGCCCTGTGGGGTCAGACACTTCCTCTTTTTCACGTTTTTCTCTGTTGATGTTGGCGAGTCCAGATGTGAAAGTCGTAACTCTGCCTCTTTCAAAATGCTAAGTGCACCAGCCCTGAGGAAACACAACATAGGCTGTTTCTGGTAAAGGAAACATGAAAAAATGTGGACTGTTACACAAATGAACAATTTAACAGTTAGAACTAATGTTAAGTAAATACAAGAAATGCCACATGCAATGACCCTGCTATTGTATGGGACGCCTCTGACGGAATTTGGAACAATCATTTGAAATTACTGGCCCTTCCATGCTGTCAGAGCTGCGAATATGAGTGAACAGACGTGTTGTGTGATTACCGAGGTTAAGTTTGTCCTTTGTGGCCCAACAAATGCTGTAGTGCTGGAGCAGCTGCTGCAGGAGCTCCTTCTCATCAAGGAACTCCAAGCGTTCAATTCTAGGAATAAATAAACACTTCATTCATTCATTTAACAAAGAATGGACCAAGCATAATATTATGAACACCAACAGACATAAACATCCAGGGGGTGATATTGCTTCACCTGAAATGTATTTAACATATTCAGCTTGCATTTAATTCATCAAAAGTGTTTTTTTACTCAGAAAAACATGCTTTCTTATGAAGAATGGGTCACCTCTCGACAGATCTATCCTGTAATTTGGCCTGGTGGCACAACTTGCTCGTCTCCATGGAGACAAGTTTAATGTCATAGAGTAGTGATACATTCCAGTAAAGAAAAAACAGAGGCAGGCAGATCTTCAACTAGAAAAGTTACATAAAGCACCTTTAAAGACCACATCTCTTTATATGCTGTTCTGGGTCAAATATTAAAAGATGCACTTGTTGCACTAGATTTATGTGTATTCTAAGTCAGAAAGTGAGGGGCCAGTGTAGGCTCAAGCTTGGTTTCATTCATACCTCTCCACATCTTCTTGGGGGAGCATACCATACACTGTCATCATGTCCAGGGCATCCGAATGCTCCCAGCCAGCCTTCAGAAACCTCTCCTTCTGCAAACATTACACAAACAAGAACATCTAACCAATGAGGTATAAATACAAACAGAGGTATCGTAGATGTTGTTGCTGCGGTCATTGAGGCAGCCATGTTGTGACTGTAAGAATGGAAAAAAATTGCATAGAAAGTAATGTTAAAACAGGGGCAGAAATACTGATGAAACTTAAATGGTCATATAATGGAACTTTTGGAGCCCCGATAATACAGGAAACTCTTGTTGTGTTTGTCAGGACATGTTCTCACTGACTTATGAAAATGTATATTTATTTTCTCCCAAATAATACAACAGTCTACAACATGTTTTCCATATCTGTACACTGTATTTTTGTTCACTTGCACATTAGATAAAGCACAAATGCAAAAAAGTCCAAATAAGTCAGTTTCAAGAAAATTCCAGGAAAAAGTGCTCTCATCATTAGTTTGCAAGAGTCATTATTTAACATAGCAATGGGAAATGTATGTCTGTTACTCTAGAGTGTTTAATCATTCTATCTCTATAGCTGCATTTGCATTGAACAGGTAAAACTGCCCTCTAGTGGAAGAAATCTGGAAACACTCTGGTCAAAGAGAGCACTTATGGATTTACCAATTTAAGACTGTTACTCCCCGTGGACTTAATGTTGATGTTTTTTGTTAATATGGTCAGATATTTCATGTACATAATAAAAACGCATTTAATGTAAATATTTAACTGTTTTCTCTTGTTGTAGAGTGGGCTGACCTCACTCTGGGACCTCCTATTCATCTGAGGGGGATATGAGCTCCTGGGCTTGCAACCAATACGTGGACTGTGGTCCAAAGCAAGAAAAAATAAAAGAATTATCTGAGGATCGCTTTCGGCTGAAAAGTTATCTTAAAATAATTTTTTTATCCGAGTTTGCAGTGTAGTTTTTGCATTTTTAAAACTCTGGGTTACCACGGATATTCTTTGTCTAGCTTTATTATACCTCACTGATCTACATATATGAATTTACAGTATCTTATAAAGGAAATATTACAATATTACCTGAGTGTCCAGAGACTGACAGACCTCCACTCCAGCCAGAGTGCAGTGGCGATGCTGCAGGTTCTCTATCATCACCTGACCAAAGCGATCACTCATGTTCACCTGAGCATAAATGGGCATATGAGATAAAACTATTACGAAACCCAGACTTCTCCAATATAAAAGGACTTGCCTGTTCATAGTTGATGAACATAGCAGTGTGAAATGTCTCAGAGGCCCAGCGGACGAGATTTGAAGAGTGGGTGGGGGACATATACACCAGCACACATTCTGATACAAAGACTGTGGGCAATCTGTAACGGAAAAAAACAAATGCGGAAAAGATTCACGGATTGTTAAATTAGACTAGGGTTGCAAAAAATCAAAAATCTGATACTAATGGATAATAAAACTAATATCTGCACAAGATACTGATTTGAGCAGCTATTGATACTACAAAAAACACATTAACAGAACTAAATTTGAGCTTTATAAACAGTTTTAGTATGATTTTGGGTTTTATCTGAACGAATATAAGATCTTATGCTAAAATAATGAAAATAATATTATTTTGTGTAAGACAATTATTATTATTATTATTTTTTTTACTAATTCTATTATTTGAAAAAGAGCACTTTTTACCCTCATTTAGGTATTGTAACTGGTTTGTATTGAAGTATTGAGTGAATTCTGTGACAACAATATATTAGATACAATAAAACATCATAAATACATAAATACACTTACTCTGGGTTAAGCTGAAATTTCTTGAGCTTTTCATCCAGGCTAGAGATGTCCCTGAGATCTGCTCCAATGAGGCAGTAGCGATCAGAGTCAAGGCTGTTAGCATCTGAGAAAAAAGATATAATCAAAATAAAACATTCTACCTGCTGCAAGTTTTGAGAAAAAAGCATGGATATATGTTTGGACTTACCTAATAGTAGGGAGTCTGTTGAGTGAGTTTCAATGAGCGGTTTAGATAGTGGAGGTTTTGTCCTGTTCATAAAGAGATTTATATTTGAATTATATCAGTAAGCAATAAATAAAGGTTTTGCACACCAGTAAAAGAAAACTCACACAATTACAAAAATGTGAACGTGTAACACTCAAATTTGATTGCAAGAGTACTGTATGGCATAGCAATACTTGAGAGCTGTCTCCCTCTTCTGGTCAACCTACCCTAACCCACAAAACTTTGCTTTTTTTCTGCGCAGAGACGCAGTGGCTGTTTGTAATTGACACCATCTGTGCAACGTAAAAGGGTTGTCTTACTTTATATTGTGAATTTTTCTGGCCACGACTGTTGGAAAATCAACTTCAAAGTACTTCCTCGGCAAGAGGTTCTCTTCCTGTGAGACACATGTTGAGTTTATGTGACTCTGCTTTTACGTGCAAAGTAATAATGTAAATAATAACTCAAAGATAAGCTCTACCTTTAGTCTCCAGAAAGTGGTGTCCAGTCCTGCACCAAGATTGATAACTTGACAGTCGCACTCAGTTTTCCGAACGAAAGCATCGAGAAGATGGTTGACTCCTTTAACACGAGCGTAGTAACCTGTGTGGATATTAGGTATTTTAAGGTCTCATAATAATCATCACATTTCATCACATCAACATTTCAAACTCTATTTTCATTACAGAAAAGGCACAAAACTCAGTGCCTTTGATATTCACATTATTCAGAAATGTGATAGTAAAGTAAAAGACAAAAGAGAATTTACTCTTTAAATTAGGGCCATGGGGTCTCATAATATTAGTTCTGATATAGATCTCAATCTGCATAAGTACTGTGTGTGAACTAGGAAACTATTCAAACTAATTAGTTATTTTTCCAATCCAAATGTAAACACATGGGAAAAAAGCTCACAAAATAATATTTCTTATGTGTGCACAATCTTTCCTAACAAAGATCAAAACGTCATTCATTACAAACAGTTTGGTAGTAAGTGTGCAGGCTTTGTCTCACTTTCTACGTTCACTGTAGTAGCCTTGCACCAGTGATGTGCGTATATCTATACCTCTTATGAAGCAAGATCTTGTAGTAGGAGAATAAATATCTGTGACTTAAGTCTTTTGACAACCCAGTATTTAAGCTCACCTCTATTTATCTCTGGAGCTTTACGTTCTCCTACAGATCTTGCAAAATACTGGATATATAGGTCCTTCCAATATCCCTTACTGGCTGCAAACCTGTTAAACAATTAAGAAAAATATTAAAATAAGGATAGTCATATTGTAGCTGTATTATACCTGAAATTAACATTACAGTGCAAATGCAAATAACTATGAATACAGTTACAGCAATCTAATGCCAACTAACGAATCGAGAGAGGCATCAAAGAACAAAACCTATAGCTAGCGTTATACAATACTGAGTTCTATTTTTATTATTATTATTATTATTTTTTATCATAGGCTATGATTATATCATATGTGCTAGAGAAGATGAGATTCTATTATTGCCCTATTAATGAAGTTGAAGTTAGACTTTTTGTGGAAATAAGGTTTTAAAGTAGTACATTTTTCTCATACGTTATCGTAACTGGAGTGGCATGGTTATAAATGAAAGAATGATTATTATATTTTTACCGTTTGCATAAGGTAGCGTCGTCACATGTGGCCCTGACTGCTTCGTCTGCAGTGTCCGAGTCCGTAAAAGTCTGTCGTGATGCCATTTAATATCTCTAATCTTGTACACTGAACATTAGAAAGTATTGTATGATCCGATAGCTCTGCAATATCTGCTACACCAAACAGCAGCACATGCTAACAGCTAGCCCCATTTTGACAGGTGAGCTTGCCTGACAACATGACACCTTTCCAAATCACCCAGGAAGAAGTGAGCAAATATCAAGCAAAGACGATTAAAAAAAACCATGCAATTCTTTGTATTCTAATAATAACCTGCTCAATACCAAAAATGTATGAAATGTTTAGAACGGAAGCAGATTACACTTCCGGATAAGAACTTTCATATTAAAATATGTGTGCGCCACAATTTTATTTTGAAAATTAAAACACTCCGTGGCCGCGAATGGCCTGGAAAAGAAATCACATTAAAAATCTATAAAACAGAGAGTGACCTACATTGATGATGGGCGCTATATGCAGAAACAGAAGCTATCTTTAAAAGGCACAATGCTGTGTTTATATGCTTTTGTATCTTCCAGTTTGAAGTTTTACATTGTTAAACTTTACAACAACAAACCATAGTCTCACTGGATGAACTGTACTTTGTGCGAGCAATAATAGTTTGGCCAGTGCAATGACAGTCGGTGTCCGGAGGACGGCGCTCCTGCAGTGCGCTGCTCTCCCCTTTGCTCCTTTCCTCACACTTCTCTCTCATCTCATCTCTCTCTCTTCTCTCTCCACTCCCCCCCCCCCTCTCTCTCTCACGCGCTCTAGGTCCGACTCTCTCTCTCCTGCCCCCCTCTCCCTCTCTCTCCTCTCTCTCTCTCTCTCTCTCTCTCTCTCTCCTCTCTCTCTCCCTCTCTCTCTCTCCCAGGCAGAGGCAGAGGTGCTGCTCTGGCCTCTGCTGCTCTCTGCTCCGCTTTGGGAACAAGCGGCAGTGGATTAAAGCGCTTCCCTAACATTAGCTGCTCGGCTAACGGGTCTGATGGAGTTATGAGAGCGTGGAGCGGCTGAAAGTTTGTGCTGAGCAAGGACTCTGGGACTTTAATGCACGGGACACAACTCAACACAAGCTTCGGAACATGCCGTCGCCCCCAAAGGGAACTTTTCCCTAGAAACTCCACTTGGGAAAGGCTAGCTCTGCTAGCGAGGCTACAAACTATTTTTAATTGGCTTTAGGCTCAATGGCTGCTGCTTACTTTGGCCGATCATAAGGACAGCGGACAGACCGTGAGCGGGGACAAACCCCGTGCTCTTCATGACAAACCAAAGGACCGCTTGGAACACAAACTTGGTCAGACTGTGCTGGAGGAAAGGGACCCAACATGAAGAAACAGTTCAATCGAATGAAACAACTCGCCAATCAGACTGTTGGCAGGCAAGTAGTCCAACTTGAATCACATATAACTCCTAACCATGCACACGGGCACTTTGTCTTCATGAATGAAAATGCTTTAGCACAGTAGACTAGGCATGACACCGGACTGAGTTAACCTAGATCTGTGTGTAAGCAGTGCCATCTGAGCCCATCCAGATGTCCCGTTCAAAGAGTGAATCAGCTATTAAGTGACGCACACTCAATGAACGCTCTGTGACAGATTGCCTGACCACCTATGGCATAGCTACATGATTTCTATTATAGATGTTATTTGTTATAGCCTATTTATATCATATTATACTGATGCATTGTGTACTACTGCGACTCAGCACGTTGAATGTAAGTCTAGCACAGTCATTACTGGAGTTGCTTCAGACTGTTTGTGTGTACAGTGTCTGAGTATGAATCCTCATTTTGAATGCTGTGGTGTCCACTGCAGCCTTCACTTTCACTTACAGGATCATTATGTGTGTGGTTGTAAAGATCCCCTCCATTCCTGAAACTCTGCACTTCCTAATTCAGTCCATAAACTTATCTATTGTAGCCTCTGTTCTGATCTTTCATCTAACATCTATTCTTCTGTTATCCATTTTCTTCTTTTTGAAACCACATTCATATCAAATGTAAGACAAGACTGTATTGACTCATTCTGTCTTGGCTTGTGACTGGACCATAATGTTGTTAAGTCTAAAACACAATGTCCCATTGTAAGTGGATATGTGAAGTTGCAGTATCTCGACTCTAGTCATGTACACACATAACTACGTCAGTATTTAGCAGTGTGATTACTACCTGGGGCTTGCCTCTCATGTTGGGTGCCATGTTTGCCAGGGCACAAAGCTATTCTCAAGATAAAGATGAAAACACTTCCACAAACCATGAAAGTACTTTTTAAAATCAAACTTGAGCTGTATCTAGTAACAGCTGTCAAAACTGTAGAGTTGAACAAAACAAACACAAATATTGTTTGTAGATCAGTAGAGATGTGGACTATAGAAGAGCGTTTTGCAATTTGGGTGTTTTAATTTGAGATATGGGCCAAAGATATTGTCTAGATTTGCTAAAAATAAGAACATTTTAATATATTTCGTAGGTTATGGTGGACCCATGGGGAAAAAAACAACCCTAAACTGTAATAACTTGTCGACAATGTACCAAATTTTTCATGTAATAATATAAAAGTAGTACAGATATATTGTAGCATATTATAGCCCTTGTATTTTTTCAACCGCGAACCCAAAAGAAATGCTGGTGCACTGTTAGCATGCTGGTTATCATCAGCAGTAGCAGCTCCAAACTTAGCTTTAGCCCCAGAAAGCTGTGAAAAGCTCTTATAAAGTCATCAGTCATCAGGCTGACTAATTAGGATGCTAAGAAAGCATTGGGAAAGTGTGGAATAAGTTTGGACTGTTGTAACTGGTTTAAAATGAACTAAATCTCTTTTTCAAAAACTTCACAATAAAAACAAGACATCTTATAAACCTGCCCATTAAAATGATTATGCAAATTAGTTTCTTTCAATTACATAAGTATTTTCAGCTTTTGTGATTGAAATTTCAATTCATTTTGCTGCCCTGCTTTTACCTCTTAGCATTAGCCCAACATCTTGCCTGTTTTCTGCATATTTTGATTGAGACCTCGTTGTCTGGCTTATGGATATGAATGCATTGTTAAGCTTATTTGTTTGCTACACATTTAGTTCCATTATGGAGACTTTCTCTTGCAGCCAGAATTCAAGATGAGGAGAGAACAGGGCATCTGGAATACTCATTGTTGACTCTGTGCCGGTAGCTGCAGTAAATCAGAGCCAAGCATGTCAGTGATGCAGAAACCAGACTTATGTACGTGATGTGGTGAACTTGCAGTAACTCTTAAGTACAGCTAGGGGTTAATCGCTGTCTCAAACTCATCTGTCAGCAAATGTGTTACAAAGGAAAATCCATTCTTCATTTTGCCTGTTAAGATATGTTTTTTCAGAACTTTAAGAGCCCCAAAGCCGCCCCCTGGGTTCCTCCCATTGTGCGAGTGGCAGAACACAGTGTCCAGCAATGCAGCACTTTTGGAGGAAATCTCTCCTTCTTCTTTTGCAAACAGGAAGCCGTCCTCCCAGACACATGCCAGCGCTTTCTAGAGACGAGAAAGGGGAGAGTGATTTGAGGTGGAGGTGCAGGAAAAACAACACGTGATGGAGAAAGAGCGGTGCAGTAAGGAATGTTATTGTAATGGATGGAGTAGGTTGCGTCTTTGAACTTTTTGCGCTCTTAATGTTGGCAGGAGAGGGCAAGATAGCAACAGCGGGTCCGTAGGGGGTGACTTAATCCAATCATCTTCAGCAGCACAGTGGTGACCTCAAAGTCACGCAGCAGGATGAGATCACAAGTGTAAAGATGAGGCTAGATGTGTGATCACTGAGTAGATATAGTTTACTGGAAGATTTCAGAGTGACTATGATGATGAAGGAACAGTACCACTGACTTGTGTACTTTACTTCATAAATATAGAGGGAAATCATTTTCTATTTTCTGAACTCAGTTCTAAAAAACATATGCTAAGGTTGCAACATTAATCACAATTGAATCGAAATCACAATTTCACAGGACTTAATTAGCAAATTGCAAAGGCTGAAATTTTTGAAGTACCATCATTTCCTTGACAAACAACAAAATATCGCAGATATCTTTTATTAGTTTACCAGTTCATATTTCAGTCTTTTTGTCAATTCTACTGGATTTGTTTAAAAAGTGATTTTTTAAAAATGAAATCCCATTATTAAAACAATAATCACTAATCTAAATCAAAGTTGCAGTGCTTCATATCAAATTATCTATATCATAATTGCTGTTTTAAAGATATGCAAAATTAAATTAATCAATTAAAAATTCTCAAAATACTGCAAATTTAAAGGCATTTGTTAGCATTTTTCTGTATATTTTTTTTCTATTCCAGCTAAAATATCTTCTTAATATTGCTTTTTGACAGTATCACCCGCCCCCATAGAAGAGAAGCTTACTTTCCCCACATGTCAAAGTCATCCATCTTTTTTGGTCAACTAACTGGCTGTAAACTCTGGTCTATAACTTCACCTGTTGCATTCAAGAGAAGATCTTTGTGGAGATTTGATGTTTTTGTGCATGCTTGAACTGGACATTTTTGTGTAGAGTCATTGCAATTTGCCATTTGCAACTACTGAAGTAGCAATTTTGATCCAGTTGTGATAAACCTATGGCATGTGTAAAAGAGCTTTAAAAACAGAATCAAACTTTTTAGTGATGTTGTTTAACTTGACATCTAATAACATTTAATTACAAACTTCACTTGTATGGACATCCCAGTACATGTATCAGATTGTACTACCGGCTACATCAAAGCCTGTACTGGATCAGCAGGTTTCCAGTATAAATCAATCAACCTCAAGTAAGTGAAGTGAGATAAGCTGCTTTGAGTGAATGTGAGAAAAAAAACAGTAAAGCCTCCCTTAATGTCAATCGCTCAGAAGTACACAAAGTCGTCCATCGCTTTACACAATCCCACTCAACTTGACTGACACATTACGAAGCTGATGTCTTTAGTCTAGATATTGTTTTATTCAACAGGTTTCGCAGTGTGTTGGTCCCATGGGGGCTCAGAGGTGACCTGGTGGAGGAGGGTGACTGGGTGTTTCCATAGTGAACACAATGAGGTGTGTCAGCTGTCAGCGTTCCTTTGTTTCCCTTCGCCCAGCAGACACACATGACCCACAACCTTCTAGATCATTTCTGCCACGTTTGTTTTAGATACTGTACATTCTGAACAAGGGCTGAACGATTTGGGAAAAATATCTAACGGTGATTTTTCTCAGACTTTGTGATTTAGATTTTGTGATTGTACTGCCTCAAATGTTCCACAGTATAATAATACCATAACCTTACATTTATTCAATTATGGAAGGTTTGATAGCTCAAAAATCCTAGAAAAACAAGAATTCTGACAGTGAGCGGGGTCACGTCTCCACAGATCTGACCTGTAACTTGGGCTGGTTTGGTCTCCATGATGATAGAAAGGTTTAATACTATACTGACAGACCCTCCACCAAAAAAGATGCACTTTTAGTAGTAGGATTCTGTTTAAAGTTTACAGAGAATTTACTAAAAACTCAAACATGACGTGATAAACAGTCAAAATCAAAACATGCCAAAACAGGCAGGATATTTAGTTTTTTGTAGAAGAAATTATGGTTCTTTGCCATTTGTTAATTGCATCCATTGAAATTATATTGTGGTTCATCTTTCAACCCGACTCTGCACATGCTTTACATTCACCAAATATTCCTGTGACAGCGTTTTTTGTTTATTTTTTTGGGGGGGTCAGTCTTTATCATGGATTCTTTTTCTTTGTACTAGTAGGGAACTTTTTGTTATTGTACTCATTATAGATTCAAAGCAGTGTTGTATTCTGCTACTGCACATTTAGAATATTTTTGGGATAATTTTGCTTTAGTGTTGTGTCAGTGGCATAAATTAGTTTCGATATTATACTCATCTTTGTTTAGCAATAGATCACACTTCAAAATGTACCATGGCCGACCTGCTTGCATAAGAGCTACTTGAATGGGCTGACTCACTCATTTATTCTTGCTAGTCTTTCATGTGCGGCAGTATCCATTACCGTTCATCTTAAGCTGCCAACTGTTGCGAGTGGAGTGGAGCAGGGCCGCCCCTTCTCACAGCTATTGTCTCACCTCGCCATGGAAACCTGAGCATCCAAGACTGTGGGAGGAGTCGCACTTTGCCTACTGTGTCTCTAAGGTGGGCTGGGGTCAGATCTGTGTCAGCTGATCACTGCTAAAACAATTGTGGCATTTGTTGTGAGATGGTCCTTTGTGGAATTAGGAAGAGGCACGCACTATAAACAATGACTTGTGAATATTACCCTTGATTTTGAATTTCAAAAAATTTATAATATTTAGCTTGAAATGAGAAGCAATATGTGGAAAAATCAACAACTAGTCAGCATGAATTCAAGCCTTTCTAACTCATGTAGTTAAAGGGTTATACCAGATTTTTTCAAGTAATCAAGTAAAATGTACGGATAGATTGTAAAAGCAATTGCTGGTATCAAAACGAGACCCCTGTGTGCTGTCTGCATCTAATTATAAATATTTTTGTATCATTTGCAAACCAGGTTGGTGTGCCGTTTGCATGCTAGTTGATTTTAGCTTTAGCAGTGTGGCCTCTGAAAGTTGTGAAAAGCACTTTTAAACTCATTGTGGTTAATAATTAAAAATTTGGAAAGCATTCAAAAGAGGAGTAACGGGACAGCAGCTAACATTTTAACATGAACTAGCTTTGTGTTTCATGTTTTTAAGGCAGCAAAAAAGCACAGAGTTACAGCTCCGTTAAAACATTATTTCATAGTGTGATTATTTTTGGAGAAGGGTATATAAAAGAACATTACTGTCTGAACCAAGGGTGCAAATGAGTCACAGCAAGGTAACAGAGGTTAACGTGATTAACCGGGCTGGATTACTCAGCAGTGCTTGGTGTTACTGTTGGTATGGATACACTACTCGCTCTTGTTTTCATTAGTTTCAACCCATGAGACACAAATAGTACACTGTTTAAACTGTGTTGTGGGAAAACAATTTGTTAAGGCCTGTTTTGTGTAGTTGAAAGCTGTTATGTTGGCCTGTCCTATCTCCTATTAGTTCTTTTCAAGCTCTTTTCACTCATTATGCACTTATCTTATCATTTAGCCATCCAGTCTTCAATTTGTTAGATGGATCCCATAAGCAGGCAATAATGAATATGCCCCCATTCTCCCTGTGCATTGTTCTCTCACCTCTGATGCAAACAATTAACCAAAAAGACCAAAAGCCATTGCATTTTTGCATCAGGAAGGGCATCAGGCTTAAACTAAACCAAATTACCCTTTATTTTGTTTTGCTATGGTGAACTGTGCTCACCAGTGCTTTAAGTAGATTTATATTCTTGATAATAAAGGTACAATATTAAAATTTTCTGGTGAGTAGTCTGCCAACTGCTTGTCTCATAACAAGTTCTTACTCTGATCAGGGTCTTTTCTCCATAGATCTGACCTGTACTTGGGCCCTGTGGAGTCACATGCTTGTCTCCATGTAGATAGATACGCTTAACATACATACTTAACATACTGGGGAACATTAAAGGCATCTCCACGGTGACAAGCAGATGACAGACCTCCCACCAGAAAAGTTACATTGTACAGCTTTAATGCGTGGTTAATTTTCCTGGCACGTAAACACGACCACAACATGGCGTCGATTCTGTGGTTTCACTCTTTCTCATATAATGCAAACTGCACGGCTCCCATATTTTCCACTCCTTGTAGCGCTTGTGGCTTCTAGACCTATGACCTCACCAGCTCAGTAAAAATCCTTCCTCTCATCCTCTGTACATTATTTTTCTCATTTGGCACCCGCAAGTTTCCTTCTCTCCTCTCCCCCCATCTCCTTCGTATGTGAGTTTTCTTTCTCCACTAAACTCCAAACTATCGTCTTATTCGGCCTTTTCCAAGCACTCCCGGACCCTGTATTGTAATTGGAAGCAGCTGCGAAGTCACTGAAGAGGTTACTATAGTTCATAAAGACCATTTTTTGGGAAAGGATCCATTGCTAGCGCCAGTTTTATGAAAGAAAAAAAGACTAGTTCATTCTTTCGTACTGTACTTGGAAATCTTTCATATGGGTTAAAGGGATTGATCAAATGTTGGCGCAAAGAGAAGTTATGAGAGGAGCTGGGGGAGGAGAGACAGTCTGGCATGTGAAAGGGGAAAAGCAGAATTGAGACATTGCTAGAGGCCAACGTATAAAGATTTATCTGTGCGCCTGCATGTGGTAACCGTCCATTATGCAAACTAATCATATGTATTTGCCTAAATGTTATACCACCTATGGATTTTATAGCCTGTGCTGCAGGACAAGGAGGCTAGCAATAAAGTACACAAAGAATGTGGCAAAACAAAATTCGAAGTGTAGTTTTATGTTAGTTAACAGCTAGCATTAAAGCATCAAGCAAAGTATGATACTCTCAGTTACATTAAAAGACATTATCTGTATCAAAGTAAGTTTTTGTTTGTTTTTTTATACATAAATATGCATGAAAGTGTGTAAACAAAAGCACATAGCTAATTAGCATAAACAGTTTGTAGGCTATTAGTATACCTACATGTTTACTCATAGTTCTTACCAGAAACTTTGTACTAGCGTTAGCATTCGGTCGATAAAACTAAAATCTCCAAATCTCTCCAAATAAATAATGTTTGAGTGCATCACCCTTAAGTAAAGAAGAGATAACTTCACTCAAGTGAAGCTGAAAATTGACCATCCATTAGCAATAGCACCAAAGCTAGCAATTATAAATGAGCTGTCCGTCACAGTACTTTTGCCATAAAGAGACAGCTGATTGGTCTGGTATTTTTAATGACGTGTTTAATGAACCAAGAATCTAACAGAACCACAACAGACCACCATAAAATTGAGTGTTCAAAGAAGACAATGCCAACAGACCATCAAGAGCTATTGTTGAATCACACTTTGGTCTGAAAAAGTTAATTTGTCACTTTTGTCACGGACAGATGCCACAACAAAACCTATTAGCGATAGGTTATTATTTTTGGAAAGGTTGCATGACACTTAGGGAGTGTTTGGAGAACTGAAAAAGGGTTCTTCAAAATGACAATGCTTCACAGACTGCATTGTGTCATACTGGACTTTCTGATCGCAGGATGTAGTCTGTTGGTTTGTTTATTGGTCCAGATCAGACATACAGTGATAAAAGATGCTTATCAAATATACAAGGCTATGTGATGTAGTCTGTGCTCAGAGCTTTGGAATGTTTGAGACCATTTAAAAACAGGAAGTGATGTGTCCAGCCATTTCCACCTATTAAATATTGTACAAAATGTATTTCCGAAGTGTATTTTTCAACCATTCATAAACAATATTTTGAATTCTCTTGACGTATGCCAGTGTAGCTCTGTTGATAATATTGAGAAGTTGAGGTAGGCTTGTTACCTTGTATTGATTATGCCCTTCCACTATAATGTTTGAATTGCTTAAAAAAAAAGTGCTGCAAATTGAAATAATATGTTCCATTAAATCAAGACTGTACCACATTGTGTGAAATATACCATATTTAATAATTTTGAAAAAATATTGCCTGACAGATCCAGAATGATAGAGTATATCTATTTTTTTTATACAGAGGAAATATCAGTCTGGTCCCTGCACCCTCTGTCATGTCTCAAAAGCAAACGTGATGGTGCAATCAGATTTGTTTTTTTCAGTGACATGTGCAGTACGAAGGAGCTCATTGGTCATCTATATTTTTTACAAACATAATTACAGTTCTCTCACATTTCAGATGAGCAGAGTTAATCGATTCGCTCATTTATTCTGCAAAACTCTGCAATGTTTTTCAGAATCTCGTGATATTTTTTTTACTTTTTTCCTCATAAGCAACCATATTTGTTGATTGGCTAATCCACCTGTCAATCACAGCCATTTGAAAATTGAGAGATTCACCAGTGACCAGACGTCTTTGTACAGTATTGAAGAAGTGTGTATTCTGGATTCCAGGCAAGACGAGAATGGCTTGGTCATAATAAATTATAATCTAAAATAATAAATATTCCAAAGGTCTTCTTACAAAAAGCAATATCAAAAAAAGAAATGAAAATTATTGCTGAAAAACTTGTTTTCATTTCATTTTTTTCTCAGATGTATTTCCTGTTATTACTGTGTATACAATTGTTTACATTGATAAAAGCCTGAGATGTTATTCTAGGTGTGTTTTTATACCTGCCGCTCAGTGTGAAGGCGTTAGGTGTGTTGAGCTGAGCCGGCGTTTCCCAGCCTTCTCCTTTTAAGTGAATCTAATCTGTCTGACCTCTCCCAGCACTACTATTAGCTTACTATTAATAGGCCCTGGCTAAACTGTGCTGTAAGACTGTGTACACTTTAGCTAGCACTGGCTAACACTCATCTGCTATTTTTATTATTAGGCCGAGATTTGTATGTGTCTGTCATATTTGGTGAATCATTTGGACCCACCCTTTATGCAACTTTCCCATAGCTCTAAAATGATGAATACTTGGAGTCACTAAAACCAGTTTGTCAGGAGTGGTATTGTCCTTAAGATAGTTTGAACATGACTGTGCCGTGTCATGCTCTGCAGTTACTTATCTGTGTCTCTGGCGGTCTGTCAGCACTAATCAGTGTCTTTTCTGTTGTCTTTTCTCACCCACAGAGCAGAGAAAACCGAAGTGCTCAGTGATGACCTCCTGCAGGTAAATCATTCATTAAACTCCCACTGTACACTCCAGCCCTAACCCCAGAGACCAGGCATGCATGGTACTACACAGGACTGAATGGTTGTGCAGTAAAAATATTCATGCAATACTGTGATTGTGTGGGCAAAAGATTTAAGTGAGGTCAAATGTTCACCTACCAACTAGAGAGCTGACGGTTTGAACCCTTCAGGGAGGGCCCTTCAGCAATACATTTCACCCCAAGGCCATTGCCTATGTCAAACATCTGTAGCCTTTCACCTCTACAAGCGAGACAAGCACAACAAGATGAATACTTTAATTTCCATAAAGTGAAGTTCATTATTTTAGAACACTACATATGGTATAACTAAATAACTAGATTTTATTGCAATGTATCAATGCATAATTTCTGTATGTCAGTATGAGTGTTGGAAGTATTTTGAACAATGGAAAGCTACTGAACCACACTTTTAAACTCTCTGTGTTGCAAAAACCTGCTCTGAAATCTTGTAAAAACATTTTATTGAGTTGACATTGCCTACACTGCAAGAAAAAATGTGCAGACCGTAAAAGAAAACAGTTTCAACCAATGCAGTCCTTTGATATACTAATATGTTTTTATTACTTTATTACTTATTATTCTTACTTGAGTTCTGATAAGGTAATAAAGAGAAAGTATTTAGCTGAAAACAGGATGGCAATTCAACCATTCACATGCAGACTGCCTTCCTGAAACTGCACTTCCATTAATCTTATGAACTCTGTGCTAACATGACCCTGCTAGCCTGGGTTGGCTAAGTGCTCTCTGGGCTTCCTCCTGAGACATCCGTGCTGGGTCTTCAAGCAGCGTGAATTGCAGGTGGGGTCAGGGTTGATGGTCTAGCTGCTCAGCAAAGAAATTCCATCGATGAAGATTATTATTTTTTTGGTTCAAATAGGAGGCGTCGCGGAGGTTAAAACAAGTGGCTCTGCGTCACTACAGCCACAATGTCTGGCACCCTCCACCCTCTTTGTGAAGACGGCACATAAACAAGCAGCTCCCAAAGACTTAAAATACCTCCAGGATTGATGTGTGAAGGGCATAGCTAAGTGACAGCTAAATTGCTAATGCAAAGAGACTTGTGAACAGAGGATGCCCCTGTGTAAAGTATAGCCAGACAGTGGACTCAAAGAAGTGATTGTGCTTGAGGCCTGGACAGAGCACTGTTCCTCACCACACAGGAACTCAGTGTGTGATAAAGAGAGGGGAGTGTGGGACTAAGGCCAGAAATAGCGTGACCTCTCAATTCCATCAGCGCTCTTGTCACTCTAAACTGCAAAACATAACATCTTGTCTGCAATGTTGAAAAAGTTAAGTACAGTTTTGATAAGTTTTGTCCCAATATTGCTGTGAAAGTTGAGCAGATGGAAGAAATTTGTCAATCAACCCTAGTCCAAATTGGGTAGTTTGTAGTAATGGATACGGTATCAGAAAGTAACAATTCTCATGCAAAAAATATCTCTACTTAAAATTTCTCAAAATGTGCTGTTTTAAAAATATAGTCAGTTTTTTATATACTTTGTTAATATTTTAGTTTATCTGCACATACTAAATATAATCAGTGCATTTTAAAACAAAACTTCAGTATCGGTTTTAGTATTAGATCAATATCATGGTACTTGCCATAGTTTTATTTGACACCAGATTAAAACAAAACTCTGTGGTATCACCCATCAAGTCAAGCTAGTATTCTCCAAAAAATTATCATATTTTTATACATTTCTTTTTGCTTATCTTGTCATTTTTTTTGTTAGAGGTTGACACTGCAAATCAGTTGCTCTGTGATTTGGCAGCTTATGTAACAGATAACCTTCCTGTTGATACAAGCCATATACTGTGACTTAGGTAGACAATTTGGGTGTGTGTCTTGCTCAAGGACATGATGACAGTATGTTCCAGCCAGGTTTCAACTGACATCTTATAAAAATCCGATGTTCCCACTTAGCTTGATCATTATCTTTCCATTCTCCATAATCAACATCCCTAAATTGTAGTCCTATTTCAAAGTACTTTTTCTGTACCCCATATTTTAGGACTACAAGAGTTATCACAATCGTACTGAAATCTTTGAAGTTCCATAATTTCCTCCACAAACAACAAAATATTCTGTTTAAATTCTGCATAAAAACCCTGTAGTTTAGATCTCAAGATTTCAATATTTTTGTCAAGTCATCTGGACAAGTGTGAACTTTAAACAGAATACTATTATTAAAGCAAATCTAATCACAATCTCAATACTCATCAGAAAAATAGCAATGAGCTATTTTACCCAAATCGTTTAGACCTATTATCCTGACCCATCTGCAAGTCTTCCCATCTCCCTCTTTTTGACATTCTTTCATTGGTGTCTGTTAACGTAGCAGGTGGGAGTTAGCTCTCTCTGTATTTGGCCTCCTCTTCTCCTCCGCTCTTTCATCTCGTGCCTGCCTTTTTTGTATGCGGTTGTTCGAAGAGGCAAACAGCCAGACAGCATTTTTCTGCCAGCTGTCCAGTTCTCCCTGCTCCTCCTGACTTCAGAGCTTCCATGGAAATAATCTGTGAATACCAGCGCATCCTTAAGTTACACGCACTAACCATAACACAGTTGGCACTTGTAGCAATGCAAACAGCCTGGCGTAAACCCCAGGCTTTTGTTTGTAGAAGTTTATAGTTGAAAGAGAAAGAATTTTTTTTTTTTTTCTTGGTGCAAAAACTTATCCTTGTGGCACAGCAGCAACCAAAGATGTGATTGAAATTATGTATGAAAAAAGCAGACCATATTCCAGATAAATTAATATTGGCGCCGATACTGAAAAATGTTCTGGATCGGTATATCTGTTTCTTTTATATATTCGTTGGACATATACAATAATGTAATAAGACTGTTACTGTTCATAGTGGGCCCCAAAAAGCCTTACAATATTGTAATTATGTAAAAAAAAAAAAAAAAAAAAGAGACCCTATTGCATTATGATTTTTCTATCAAATTAAGAATTATACATTGGCAACCTCAACATTTTTCTCCTATAACAATTGAAAAAAAAGATTGCGTTGGTAGTAGTGTAAGGTGGAAATGATAAAAAAAATTGTTATTACATTCAAGATCACATAAAAATCATTAAAAAAAATGTTCTATGTGTCATTCCAGTAACAGCATTTCATAAATTTAAGCTTTTTCAAAAACACAAAAAAATCTGACCCCAGCCACCCACGTCTTGGGAATCCCAGTTCTTACAGTAACTTAATCAGCATATTACTTGACCTTTTAATGCAACGATAGGTTTATTCGGTACTTGTCCAGACATGCTCACTTCCTCTCTTAGAAACCAGTAAACAAACACACGCACGCTCTACACTTGCACTTTGTGCGAATGTTCCACTGTGCTACTTAGCAGCGGGATTCCCTGGCTTCTGACGCGTCACTGAGTCGACCCAAGTGCTGACCTCATCTCGCAACCAGAGGAAAACGTACACCCTGCTCCTCTCTGCCCCCTTCCTCTCCTCCCCTCTCCTCCATAGTACTGTGATGTGTGGATGCCTTTGCTTTGTATACTGACAATAGAAGGAAGGAGACTGCACAATGTTGTCTGACAGTTTTTCCAATAGCTCAGGAACTAGTTTATTGGGAGTCCCCTACTTAAAAGGATCCAAGTGCTACAGAGGGAGTAGGCAGGGGTATTGTAAGTTGAATTTCCTGATGTTGAAGTAAAAAAACAGTCTTGCAAAAAAAAAAAAATAATAATAATAAAATAAATATGATGGAAAAATATACTTATGCAATGTATAACAAGCAATGTTGGCAATATCTGACAATATCTGACTTGGTTCAAAGCTTGAAATCGTTCGCAGATTCAGATTTCATTTCAAATTTAAAATGAATGTCCAAATTCAAAATAAATGACCAGCTTTTATAACTAACAATGATAGGCACAAGAAGAAACAGAAAAGTAAACAGTTTAACCAAAATACTTTGAGAATTCATGTAATAACTGATTTATGTGCCAAATCATATTTTCATAGAGTTAGTAAAAATAAATGACCTGTTAAAAAATTACAAGAGATAAGCACAAGAAGAAATAAAAGGAAAAGGTTACCTCATATTTTCTAGCGATTGAATTTAAACCAATAAAGTTATATTTACTGTCTAATCTTTTGCAGTTGTAGCCCAAAAAGTTGTAGCCAGAATGTACACAAATAAGCTGATAGAAATAATAGCACTAAATTCAAGTACGTAGACTGTCACAATAAAAACTACAATTTACTCCAAGTACTCAAGTTATCATAACACATCCGTATCTGTCTCTGTACCAAAAGCTGTTCCCAGGCTTGTGCATTTGCTAAGACTCATCCAGCTGTTTTGGGAATGTCGCGGGTCGGCCGTGATGACGTAAGAGCTCTAGAACATGTGGGGAGTGAATGCGGATATCTGCTGCTGTGGAATTCCCGCTCTCTCTCTGTTCTGTTTTTGGAACAATTGTGTGGAATTCAGCCTCATCCTCCCTCTCCTCTTTCTCTGCAGTTATTTTTCTGCGTAACGACCCCTATCGCCCCCTGGCCCCCGCTGTTCTTGTTTTAAATTTAGAGCGGTGTTTATCCTGATTCATGAGGGCACTTTTGTCACTTAGCACCACCCCACAGACATTAACTATCTTGTGTATTGCCAAAACGCTACCAGACCAGTTTTACTTGGAACTGATGTGGTGATTTCATACAGCCCACAGCGTTTCTCACAAGCGCTGCCAAAAGCACTCGTCAAACTGCTAACTAGCAAGTTTTGAACCATAAATAAACTGTAATTCCAGTTCCTTGTAGCTTGAAATGTTGATGCTTGTCTCACTTGAATGTGACAAAACTTGTAAATAGCCAATGTCACTCACACCAAAACAAACATGGGAAGTGCGTGCCATATAGCCTACAAACTGTACTTTTGGTCACAGATCAGTGACCGTTGCCATGGCACTACATCCGATGAGTCATGTGTTTTTAGAGCCAACATTCCAGCGTTGTTTTGCACCCGCTGAGAAGAATCAATCACCCCTGACCTTTGACCTTCGGAGTCCCTGGAGGCAGAGACAAATCAAATGGCTCTATGGAAGTGGACTTTATTATATAGAGTGTCCTGTGCTCAGAAGGCCTAGCACATATTGCAGACTTACTCTTGGGACTGGACTTCAGTGAAATATGGAACAAGGCAATAAAGACACTAAAGAGTTAATGTGCTGCCTGCATTGATTTGTTTGTGAAGCTGGAGATTGCTCAGTGCTAAAAAGTGTTCCATTATATCCATCTATACAAATGTGTAGAAGCAAACATTACAAACATCCATTTTTACAGTGAGCAAGCTCGCCTCTCCACAGATCTTGCCTGTAACTTGGCCATATCACATTATAATAACTAGAGTGGAGTGTTTTCCATCTAGCATCAGAATACAAGAATATAAACTAACCCTTATAAAAATGGAATATGATTGCTAATAGTTTACTGGTTTATAAATAATCTTATTAGCCTACTGTGTAGGGGTGTAACGATATCCAAGTCTCGTGATATGATATCGTCACAATATGAACCTGGCAGTACGATATTTATTGCGATATTTTGTGGAGGCTTAATATGCTACTTTTTCCTCTTAAAATGCCTTGACAAGACTTAATCCAAAGAACTAAGAACTGTTAGTTCTTCCTGTAGTCTACACTGAAATGGAGCAAAGGATCATGGTCTATGTAGTTCCCTCTGTCTTTTTTATTGCTGCACCATAACTCCTAATTTAAGCAAAGAGAATTCGATATATTGTCCACGATATTACTGTGAGAACTTTGACAATACGATATCACGATATTTCGGTTATTGTTACATCTCTACTACTGTGTGTTCCTTTTTTTTTAACCATTAGTCATTTAAATAAACCATTTTATTTAAGATGAGTCATGTGATGTTTTGCCTGTGATGTTGTGCTACAGATCGAGCGGCGGATGGAGCTGGTGCGAGTGGTGTCTCACAACACTCACAAGAGGATGGTGTCCTGTCTGCAGGGCCACATCGGGGCAGAGGCAGAGAAGAGACATGTGAGACTAATGATTATTTTGCCAAGTGATTCATCTAGCATTTCTACATTGGATTAATCGATTAGTTTGTTTAAATTGCAAAAGGTCAGTGAATATAAGAGTTTTATCGGAATAAACCCAGATGAGTGATGCTGATTCCTGAAAAAAGTCTTATTTTAATGTAATTTTGACAATGACCTATAAAACATCTTTTCTCAGCACATGACATGTTCTGTTTGTAATTCAGATAATTAAACCAGTGATTATCTCAATAATCGACTATTGGCAAATCATCTGTTAATTCATTTCGGCTCTACTTCAACTTAATTTACGGAGTTTAAACCGATGATGTCACAACTGTAGCTTTTAGTCCACTGGAATGCAATTTTAGCAGTTTTTTGTCCTGACTTAGGGCTTCGTAGAATGCTCTTTTAAGATATTTTGTTGTACTCTGGATATCTAATAATGAGTTTTAGATAGTTTCTGCAAAAATGATGTATATCTAGGTTTATAGGTCAAATTAAGATATAGTTCCAGATTCTGCCAATAGAGATTAGAATGGCACAACTCCCCTGACACATCAATAACTGTCACTCTAATCATTACACCTCCCATATATGTTTATTATTACTATGTAATTTAAAGGTCCTATATTATGAAAAAAAAGACTCTTGTGAGCTTTGATTTGAGTCATGTTGGAATGTTGTTACCTCATCAAAACACACCCAGAGTTGTGTTGTGTTTTGTTTCATTCACACATGTTTGAGTAATCCTGTGTTATTAGTACATTTCTAATCTGTTCCATGTTATGATTCATGTGGTGGTTTGCGGTTCGAATCCCGTTCTCAACATAATCATCTTTAGTAGAGCAGTCAGACAGACTGGAAAATGGAAAAGCGCTATATGTAAAAATGTGACTACTACTACTACTTACTACTATAGGGTGTTTTCAGATTGAGAGAAGAACACAACCTAAATACACAGGATTTATGTGTTAAACATGTGTGAATGAAACAAAACACAACTCCAGGTATGTTTTTGATGAGGAAAAATAGCTTTATATGGGCCCTTTAATGATTGTAGACTGAACTCTAACCTTATATATACTTATAGTGATGATTTCCTGTGTTTCTTTACCCCACACCTCACAGTCCGTACCCCGCCTCTATACAGGAAATGGTCAGGTAACCAAACAATATTTACCATTTTACACATCTGTCAGCTTTAGCTCACACCAATCTATTCTTTGCATGACACTTTCCCTTTGGGTCTCTTTAGTGAAAAAACAGGAAACCTAATACATTATAAAAGTACAGCTCAAAATGTCCGCTGTCAGACCTGATGGATGTTTCTCTTCCCTTGAATGCGTCTTACACTTTTCTTCCTTTAGCACGGACAGCTCTCTTCCTCTTCCTGGTTCTTCTTTGGGAAATGGAAAATCCTATCAATTTCCATTCTGTTGTAGAAACTCATGTTGCTTTTATACTTTTATATTATAATTTTCTTAACGGTTAGAGCACCGTGTAAGTTGTAATGCAATGAAATAGAGTGCAAATCTCATAAAACTGCTATTTGCTAGTATTTAAAATGATAGTTTGTAACTTTCTGGAGGTGGAAAGTCATCTGCACGATTCTGTGGAAATGGAAAGTTAAAACCATACATACCAGAACATTCTCAATGGAGATAGACAAGTATTATGACATACTGTGAAATATTATAGCCACTGAAACAACATTTCCATGGAAACAAGCAGGAGAAAGCCACCCTCCAGATCAAATGAAAGTCAGGTTTGTGGAAATGCAAGCTTGTTCACAGAAAGATTGCATGTTTTTCTATGTTTTTTCAGTTAACAAAAACATCCATACTGAAAAAACATAATTTTATTTTAGTTTAGCATAAAAGTTACATACTGGAGCTTTAAGTTGATCTTGGAATCTTCTAATTTCTTAACCCTACACTGGTTTTGGATTGCATTTGACAGCTAAATGAGTTGTATGTGTCTTGAGAAATATTTTGGACATAGCAACAAGAGGCTGGTATAATAAGTGGTACTATTTTTAAAACTATATAAACAATGTATCCTCAGCTATCTTTGGATAACTAATGTAGAAAGTTGCAAAACTGACTTTCATTTTTGTCAATGTTTTTCAAGACATTTCCCTCATAAAATTTGATCTAAACTAATTCTTTATGAAATAGTCAAACACCAGCTGTTTTTAATATATTTGGTTTTATGAGATTTGTAGATCATTGCATTCTTTTTAGTGACTTTGCACCTTTTTACAATTGAGCTGGCACTTTCACATTACAGTACTGACCTAATCTTTGTGTATTCCTTTCCTCTAGAAAAAGCTGCCCCTGACAGCGTTGTCCCAGGCGATGGTGGAGGGTGGGAGTCAGCTGGGAGAAGACTCGCTGATAGGGTGAGTTTGGGATTGATTGACAGCCCACTGGCCCCTCCCCCCGGTGACTGTTGCTATATGGAGCAGATGCACCCCAGAGACTGTGAAATATGAGGCCACAAGTTTCAGGACAAGCAGTCTGGCCCCTTTTTGTTTTGGCTTTAACTGGACTTTTGAAAAACAAAATACAGTCAGATAGTGTCAAGATCTGTGACTGTATAGAAATAAAGAGGAACTGAAAGTTGGTCTGTGAGTAGCAAAATTTTTAATGACTTTTAAAGGTGCACTATGTAACTTTTCCGCTACCATGGAGATATTATTCTGTTGCCCGACATGTTCAATAGTATTGCATTAAACATATATATGCAGCTTTTTTTTTTATCAATTTAGTTTATTTTCACACAAAATACCTAGAAAAACATTCTTTCTTTGACACCTCTCCATAGATCTGACCTGTAACTTGGCCTTGTGGTGTCCTCTGCTTTTCTCCATAGAGATAGAAAAGTTAAAGGTTGTATGGAGGATTTTTTTTTGTTTCAAATTGTCAATGATAGCATTATAGAGAGGCAGTAGCCTTGTAATTATGATGACCAAAAAAAAGAGAATAAAAATTCATCAACTCTGGACGTGGTGGGGCTAAACATTTGCCAATAGATAACGACACTGCCTCGTTATCTGTTAGCTGACAGGCTGTCAATCAATCTCCCTATGTTTCTAGCGTAACTGACTTGCCTGCGCGCCGCCAGTACGTGGTTTACGTACGCCTGTCACGCAGTCCACAGACGCAAGCCGCACAGACGCTGTTTACTCCACCAACGCAACAGTTCTTAGCGGCTTTTTTTTTTACCTATATCTTCCTCGCAGTTAGCACAAAGTTTGTTGCAATGGCAGACAAGAATCCAGGAGCAGTTAGCCGCAAAAGAAAGTCAGTTTTTGAGATTGCTGAAAGAAGAAGACAAGGGGAAAAGCAGCGAAGCCAAACTAAGGGTGATTCTTGAAGATTCATTCCAGCGATGGCGCGACTGAAGCAGACGCAGGGTCTAAAGACTGACGCATTGGTCACACAAATTACTCCTGGACAGGTCACTTCTGCTTATTATGAAAACGTACTTTATTTCCAAGAGCTAGTCAAACGTTTTTCAGGACACGAAAGCGATATCCTATGTCTGAAAACGTAATTTTCAATGCAAAGAAAGAGTCCGCTTGCTGCTGCGTGTTGTAGCTAGTTCATTCGCACTGAATCTCCGCGCAACCTTCTCTGCACCCCTTTCCTGCTCCTCTCCCCGCTGCCCGATCCGCTCTTCCCCCTGCTCCTCACTTCTCCGGGCACGGAATCTCCGCGCACCGCTCCTCTCTCCTCTCCCTGCTCCCTGCTCCCTGCTCCCTGCTCCCTCTCGCTCTTCTCCCTGCTCCTCACTTCTCGTCCGCGCACGAAATGTCCGCGCACACCCGCTCCCCCGCTCCTCACTTCTCCGCCTTGCCTAACCAACACTGTAGTTAGTTGTTTACAAGTCATGTGCAGCGCACTGGCTGTAAACAAACCTGTTTCTGGCGTAACGAGGAGGCGGGAGGAGGCGTTTCTACGTAGGGAGCTGTAGGGGAGGGGGGGTGGTTTCACGCATGCGCAACATTTGAAAAAGGACAAACAGTCGCTGGATTTCTCGTTCCTTGGAAAATCCTCTATACAACCTTTAAGTGCTATACTGTGATAACAACTCCATGGAGACAAGCAACTGGTGGTCCTCCAGAAAAGTTACAGAATGCACCTTTAAAAAACCTTTTTTTTTAAAACTGTAATGAATTTCACAAAAAGCCCTTTAAATCGCTTTATTAATCATGTATTAAATCTTATGTCGATAGTGGTCCATGGGTGTATACTAGTCTATGTGCTCTTATACTTACTTGCTTATACTTACAGAAGGATTCTAAAGTTTTTCAGAAAAGGTTCATGTCTGTCCTGTAAATGCAACAGTGAATGGAACTTTTTAGGATACCTGTGTGATATATTGCTGAAGAAAATATAAACGATAATACTGAAACAAATTTATGCCACTGACACAGTGACCCTTAGTAATTATCCCCCAAAAAACATTCTAAATGTTCGATATGGTTAAAAAACACAAACTGCAATAAAAATAGAATGAAACACTTCACTAGTTATATTCTATTTATAATGAGTCATAGAACGTTATTTAGTCAGCCATCTACGGCTCGGTTCTTTTTGTAGGACAGAAAAAAAAACTTTAAGTTCAAAAGTACAAAGAAAAGTTCCCCACAATAAATATTGCCTCCTAAAATTATAATTCCATCTAACTTATATTGAAGAATAACTCCATATAATAATTAATGTGACAGGATTAAGTTTCGTTAGCACTGATTAGTATCTGATTTTCAATATTTTTGACATTACAATCCACATTACATTGCATTAGTTCTAAATGCAATGTTTGACGGCTTTTAAATGCTTTCAGTATTTGTAAAAACATTTGTTAGTGGCATAAAAAAGAATAACTTTTAAGACATTAGAAGGGCATTAAAGAGAATTAGATTTGACTTGTCTGCACCCACCCTGAGTAAACACATGTTAGAAAAGATGATAGATTTCTGTTTATACACAAGGGAATTAAAGTCTTATTTATATAGCTCACATTGAAATGCAGTATTCCAGCCTGGCTCTCTGATCAAGGTTGGGCTCTTGGCAGTGAGGTTTGGTGACTCACAGTGACCTGGTTTAGTTTCATGTATTGACTGGAGAGAAAGCAAAGCACAGATGTCTTGATTATTTTTTATTTATTGTTTTACGTACCACCTGTTGCGTTCACAATCTTTGATAATGTCACAAATGGAGGGTTTTGAAAGAAATACCCACAAATCAATGTCATTATTTGCTTGCTGTTACCTCATAAAAAACATACCTGGAGTTGTGTTTTGTTTCATTCACACATGTTTGAGTAATCCTTTATTATCAGTCTGTCTACATCTCCAAAACTCAAAATGCTCTGTTCTACCTTGTGATGCATTGAAGTTGTAGTTTTAATGTTAACAACTACTTTTAACCTTTTGTTCAGTAGAGCTTGGCCATTACAAATGATTCCAAATAATTCTAGTTAAGGTGTATGGATTTTAAAAACACATTCCTGTCTTACCAGATGACATCACAAAGTGGAGCAGAGTGTTTTCCGTTTGAGAGAAAAACTAAATACACAGGGTTTGTGTGTGAATGGAAAAAAAATAGTTTAATATGGGGCCTTTAACCATAAACCAGGACAACAAATCTGCAATTTCTCCAAAGAAAACTGACCTGTCCTCCAGCTCCATTTGACATTATCGAAATTGTAGAATGATTGAGACCTAATGGACTAAATGTGTACTTTGTGAAATGCTACAGGAAGATGATGGAGGTGTGTGGAGATGCAGAGAACCGCTTGGCCTCGGAGCTGATGCAACACGAGCTGCAGCTGGAGAAGGACGTCCTAGACCCTTTGAGCCAACTCGCAGAGGTCAGGGAAATATGTGCAAATATCACGTTTCAATAGACTGGACTGTCATTGCATTTTTGGTTGTATGATATTTTGTTTATAGATATTGTATTGTTTCAAAGCAGTTCTGTTTAGTATTATTTATGGTTTGTTTTCTACAGACTTGCCTTGCCCTACTGCTAATGTGTTACAGTCTAGGCTGTGGTTTCAGACTTCCACTTAGACGCCCTTTATTGATTTGTGAGCGGAAAAAACAGACAAAAAGCTATTCTTAAAGCCAAAATAGAATCTGAGTAATTCGAAGAAATTTGTGCAAAATGTAAGAACGTGCTGATATACAGATTTTTATATAGACAAATATTATGTATATCTATAACATTTACTATATAAATACAAGGTTTAAAGATATACAACCTGCCTGTCTTCGTAATATTATTGCTTTGCCTAGAATGATCCACTGTAAACTTTCCCACCTTAATGGAGACAAGGAATTGAAGCCACCAGGCCATTGGGCAAAACAAACTCTTGTTTATGTTTATAATGCCCTATTGTGGAACATTCTTGGCAGAACAATATCTGCCTGGAGAAAAGCAAAAGTGATATAATGCACCTTTAAGACAATACAATGTAAAAAAAAAAAAAAAAAAAAAAAGGGAATAAGAGAGTATGATATTATTTCATAAGGGTGAGAATGACATGAATGATTGACCATATTATCCAGAAAGAAAATGTGTTTATTATTGTGGATATTTTTGTATGTCTTCTCTATTGACAACTTTCCATCTTGATTTTTAACCTTATTGATTTATTATTTTATTATTTTTATTGTATAGGTGGACATCCCTAACATCCTCAAGCAAAGGAAACAGCTGGCCAAACTAGTGTTAGACTACGATTCTGCTCGAGCGAGGTCACTTTACATATTTTTATTGCTACCGTAATATCTCTCCATACTTTCATAACTTATTCTCTAAAAGTCCCCCGCTTTTCTTTTGTATCTCAGATGGTTGCAGGCGACCAAGTCCATAATCTCAGGAACTAACACCCAAGCACTGACGGCCAAAGCGGACCTGCTGAAGGAGGAGATGGATGAAGCTATGAACAAAGTGGAGCTCTGTAAGGTACTTGAAGGCGACCATCTTTGTACATATCACCATGGTAACATGACTCCAGTCTCCTGTACCGCGGGTCAGGAGGAGGGCTCAGGGTTAACTACCACTCGTTTACTTTTAGCACTGAGAGTCAAGAACTGCCTTGGAAAATGTAGGGCTTGTTAAAGATCTGGGAATGCTGAATTGACAGGTCAGAGACCGGTGTTAGAAATTAGAAAATAGTGGTTGTTTTTAAATGATACAATGGACAAGAAATTCCTAGTACAGTGGGTTGTAGCTAAATTTGTCCTGCTCCAGTACAGATAAAATGAAATGAAATAAGTCTGCTGTGTTCTATCCGCATCTAATTAGAAAGCATTTTATTGTCTGAGAATCAGGAAGTGCACTGTTGGCATGCTAGTTGTTAGCATAACTGTGAGTGCAAAACTCTGCTCTGGTCTCTGAAAGTTAAAGTTTAATCACCAAGTCTGTCTCAGATCTCAACAAGGGTGTAAAATGGGACCAAATTATAGTATTACTAAACAACAATTTATCCAAACAGTAACAAATAATATTTACTCTTACACATAGATTCCTTAGCTACTGAATGGAGAGAGCCAGTTGGAAACATTCTGCCCCTCCCCTCACTGGTGGATGAGGAATCAAGGAGTTGAGGAGGCAAGGAAAGAATTGAAAGAATTGAGATGCAGCCACAGAGAACCACGTAAAAGAAGTCTGCAAATAATACCACATTTTGAAAACCACTGCCCTTGCACACAAATTTGACTCTAGTTTGTAACCTTTTATGTAACTGCATGACCCGAAGCCCTCCGACCCAGTAGTATGTCCACATGAGACTAAACAGCCGCGTCAGCGAATGTGTGTGTGAGCTGGTATTTAGCACATTGTGGGACTAAATTCTATATACAGACTCACATAAATCCATTATTAGATCGGTAACATGATTTAAAGGGCCCATATTACACTATTTTCTGATCTATGTTATAATGTTGTTCCCTTATCATATGTTTAACACACAAACTCTGCATATTTAGGCTGAGTTCTTCTCTCCAAATGAGAACACTCTGTCCCACCTCATTATGGATAATTTCAGACCTGGAATTGCTAATCTCTACCAAACAAACATTAAAAGGTAGCTGTTAACTTGCGTTGCAAACCACCTCTTCATGACATTACAAGGTGGAACAGAGCATTTCAAGCTTGGGAAATGTAGCAGCTTAATAAGCGACAACATTACTTAAACGTGCAAATGAAACGAAATACGACTCCAGGTATGTTTTTGAGGAGGTAACAGCATTATAACATGTCTTAAAGCTCACAAGAGTAAATTTTGTGCAATACTTGACCTTAAAGTTGCCATATGAGTAAAAACAAATGTTAAAGTTAAGGTTTGGGTTAAGGTTGGGCAAGTAGTAACAATGGTTAAGGTTAGGATCAGTCTCGAGAAAATATTTATGTCCCCAAAAGCATGGAAACCCAACATAAGTGTGTGCTTGTGTGGTCAGCTGTAAGTCCAGTTAAGTCCAGGAAGCATGGGGCCTTGTGTTTCCTCCTCTCCTCTCTTTTCCTCTCTTCTCTTAGTCCCATCCAGCACTGCCAAGAGCTCAGATTAATGACCCAGAGTGCTGTGGATTAGCCTAACCACTGGTGCTCCAACTGGTGCCATCTGAAATACTCATTAGTTGCTTTGTATTGCATCAGTAAACGTTCTGTATGTGTCATTCAGGCTTTTTGAATTACTTTGAACACCTTAGCAACCTGTAATATAACTAATATAATGTAAAAATACCTTAGCTGGCACTAGTTATCATAAAACACCAGCAGTGGAAGATAAACCAGAGTTTGTAACACGGTAAAACAGGAGTTGATTAAGGGAAGCAAAAGTGAAAATGTGTATGGACTTTAAAAACACAAAGGAGCATTTTAGATCGAGATGACCTCCAACATATTGTTCAATCTTTAATTTATTGAACCATAAGTTGACATAAATTAATTATTAGTTGACTAGTCACGGTTATTTCTATTGTACATTGAGATAAATAAAAAACAACAACAAAATTTTAAGCAAATAAAGGGTGAACTATGCTGATTTAAGGTTCCTAAATAGAGAATGTCTATAAGATCTTTTGTTGGTTTAGAGTCTGTATTGTCCAGATAACGATTTGCAAAATATTATTACAAATATTTTAATAGCTGACTATAGTAGGTTTGTCCCAAAGTATTGTAAATCAGATGCTAATCTATTCTAAAACTTATATCGAAACTAGATACTCATTTGAGCAGGTATTGATACTAAAAAAGTCATATTCACAGAATAGAAATGAACCTTTCTTCAATAGCTTTAGAATGATCTTGAGCTATAGAAGAAGTATAAGACCATATAGACTAGTGTACGCCCATGGACCACTATGGATCCTACCTGGACCACTGAGGTATTGCACAGATATAAGACCATATGGTAATATGAAAGATTTAATGTTGAAAATCACATTCTATTGTCAAAAGAAAGAGTGCTTTTTATCATTGTGGTATTGGAATCGGTATTGAATTTCGAGACCATTCTTAAGTAATGAAATCGAGTAGCCCTAGAGACATACCAAATATTTCTGGTTTACTGAATCATATGTGAATGAAACAAAACACAACTTCACGTATGTTTTGGATGATAACACTATAATATATCTCTTTTAATTTGTTTATCTGCACACAGGACCAGCTGGCAGCAGACATGTACAGTTTCTCATCCAAAGAAGGGGACTACGCGCGCTACTTTGTCACAGTAAGTCTTGTACTCTATGTGGGAACGCGTGCAGCTGTGACGGGAACACAGGGCTGGCTTGTCGTTCTTGTTTATTTAGAAGCCGTGTACTTTTTATGGTCTGTTCTAATGTGGTCACAAATACACACGCACGCATATACACACAGTTTTTACACACTGTTCTTCTCTGTTTCCTGCAGCTTTTAGAGGCTCAGGCCGACTACCACCGAAAGTCTTTGACAGTTCTGGAGACTGTTCTGCCCACCATTCAAGCTCAGCAAGGTATAACGTACACTTTGACTCCTGTGCAACCAGAGGTTATGCCCTTGAATCCTAAAGTATTTTCACAATATATGAAAAAATTAGGAGTGGGACTTGATTAAAAAAATTAATCTAATTAGTTACAGGCTTTGTAATTAATTAATCCCAGTTAAGCGCATAACAATATTTGCCTTACTCATTTACTCATTTTCTTCCTGAAGCCAGTCATTTGTTCAAGTTTGGGCTGCTGACACCTCTTGTTTGGACTCGGAACAGAACTGCTACTGCCAACATCTCCAGCAGTTTCTTTTCTCACTGTCACATGTTTTGCATTTAAATGGTATCATAGGGTTGAGGTGCTTCTCTAATATGCAAACTCTTTTCTGCACAGTTTGCAATAAACAACACCTTTGTCAATACTTTCATAGCGTAGTTTTTTGAATAATAATTTACCTTCCAGCAGACCCAGAGCGCTTTCATGCTCCATTGTTGTAGTTAGAACTGTCAGTATAATTGGCATACCACAACATGCATTTACAAACTTTCCGCATTGTTTGACATGCAAACTGCGATAAAATGGGTTAATATTTTTAATAAATAATTTTCTTTGTAATTAATTAATCATAATTAACATGTTGAATGTCCCACCCCTAGAAAAAAAATAATTAAATGGTGATTGGACCAAACTGGACCCAAAACAAGGCTGTGTTGGGACTTTTTCACTAGCAGTGAAAATATGAGTACTTTTGGCTTTGGGACTTATGTCACAGCAGGCCATAATAGAACACTCTTGTACAATATAAAAAATACAATATAAATTAATCATGAAATTCCACTGAAACACAATTTTAAAACTCATTAATGAGTTAATTAATAACTTAATTCATTAATTTGTCTTACTTTTAGATTTTAGGACAAATCAGATCAAACTGCTCCATATTTTTATTTTTGCCCATCTTCCCTTATGTTTGGAATTTTGGAATTTCAATACACAGGGATTGTATTGGGATGGTGTGCTGAAGATGGAGTGACTTGGGGCAGAGAGAAAAGGGAGGGGAGTCCAAAAAATGACAAAGACAGAAGTGAAAACGTGTAAATGCATATATATATTTTTTGTGAATATAGTACATAGCAAGGTAACACGGTGATCTAAATATGTCATGTGTTAGCAGTGAATACCCCATAGACGTAAAACACACCCTCTTTAAGCTGTCAAACACATCAATACAGAAGTGCTACTGTGGATTTTACTAGAGTTGACCTCCTGGTTTGTTTACACCTTATACTTCACCATTTTTTTCTTCTTCCTGTTTTGGTGCTGCCACTTTAAACATAGACTTTCCTGTTAGTCCCTGAAGTGTAAGCGCTAGTTCCAGGAGTTTGATTTTACTAAGCAGACTCCTGTAGTTACATCACCCTGGTTTGTTTTGGTAGGCATTGGGCTGCTGTGGTGCGGTTCATATTAAAGAATAGTCCTTTGTCTTGGCTCCAATCATTTTTTCCCTCATTTATTTGTCCTGCCATCTTCCTGCGGTATTTTGTTCGGCGAGTATTTTTTCTGCGCTAACATGTGGTCTATTGCAGTCGGGTTTGGTTTATCAGCATGTGGAGATGACTCACAAACTCCATACATGCCCCCTCCTCTCTCTCTCTCTCTCTCTCTCTCTTTCTCCCCCACCTGGCTTGTGCCCTCTCTCCCATTCACACAGTCCCTCCAGCAAATATGTTCACCCAAGATGCAACAGAAACATATGGTTAGTATTCGTTTTAGAGCTCCCAGTAGAGCAAATGATGACTAAAACCAGCCCGTGTCTTAGTTTTTGACCCAGAAATGAGCATTTAAAGATGCACAATGTAAGTTTTCTGGTGATGAGCACGCCACCTACTTAACTCCATTTGGATGTTATGGCTTTTTCTGGAATGCTCCACAGTATGGTAAACTAGACTGATCCCCATGCAGATGCCACTAAAGTAAGTAGGACTCCATGCTTTCATAGATAGATTGTGCCATGCTGTTGCCTAGATCCAGAATGCACACTTCTTCAATACTTAACAAAGAATGAGTCTGGAGTTCTACTGGAGTTCAGAATTGACAGGTGGACTAGCCAACCAGGGACATGTGTGGTGCCTCCGTATAAAAAAAACAAAAAAAAACAAGTATGGCTCCTTACAAGGAAAAAAGAAAGGAAAAATAGTACAGATATCTGCAGAAGTGAAGCACTAAACTGTTAATCTGGAAGAGGGAATTCCCTTAGCTTGTTTGCAAATGATAGATGACCAATGAGCTCCTGCATCACTGAAACAATCAATACTGGGATATATATGTATATGTTACAGAAAACAATCACATCTCCGTGGAGACAAGCAGATGGCGCACCCCCGAGCAGAAAAGGTTACAGGGCACCTTTAACCAGTTCCAAGTCTAGTTATCAGTTAACAGTTAAGGAAAAACGGAAAGAGAGTTCATAGAAGCAGCTGTTTTTCATAAAGATGTGCTGTGGCTGTGTTCAGACTCTTGGACGGAGAAGCCGGCGTTTGGCACAGGGCTGGAGGAGCACCTGAAGAGGAGCAGCAGGGAGATCGCTCTGCCCATAGAGGCCTGTGTCATGATGCTGCTGGAGACTGGCATGAAGGAGGAGGTGAGAAGAAGCACTATACTATGAACCTAATGGAACCCTCTTATTGATTACTATTTTTAGATTTTATTTGTTGTGAGACTGTATAAAATTAATACTTTTAATACTTTCAATACTAACTTCCTAAACTTAAACAATACAGACATATATGGTGGTCACATTTCTTACTGAATACTCCTCCAAACCACATGCTTTTAAGGACAAACTGTTGATTGGATGGAGATCTCTTGATTTAAAAGACAGAGCCATATCCTTGAAATTACTGAATCTTAATCTCAAATTATAAAGCAAAGAATAGAAACAGTGATGGTGTATGGAATGGTGTATTAAGACTGTTAAACAACCAGGAAACATGATTAGTTTGTTCTGGGTTATAATGTAGAAACAGAGCTATAAAATCCATTTGTGTGACCCAGTTATTATTTTAGAGTGATAAAGTAATTCTAAAATAAATAGGAAATGTAGATGTAGGTTGTTTGCTTAGTGTATCAAATCAATTTCCTAATTTGAATGGATGTAATTAGCAAATCACGAAGGCTGCAATTTTTGAGTAACCATAGTTTTCTTCACAAACTCTTGTATTTGTCAGTTCCTATTTGCATCTTTTTGTCAAATCTCCTGAATGTATTTAAACTGTGAACTTTGAACAGAATCCTATCAAAAGTTAGATGCTTTTACTGTATTTTGCACGGTCATTTCGAAATTCTTTTATAAATTCTGAACAAAAGTTATCCTAATTTCTTCCTAACACACAAACTTGGCATATTTAGGCTAAGTTTTTCTCTCAAACAGAAAACACTCGACCTTTTGATGTCATGTTGTAATACAGGAACTGCTCTACGTGTTTTTAAACTCAGTACTAGATTGATTTTGAAAATTTCAGCCCTTGGATTGCCAATCTTTGCTGCTAAAGGTAAAAGGTAGCTGTTAACTTGTAAACTACCTCTTCATGACATCACAAGGTGGAAAAGAACATTTTGAGCTTTGGAGTAGATATACTAATAATGCAGGGTTACTCAAACATGTGTAAATGAAACAAAACACTACTCCCGGTATGTTTTTGAGGAGGTAATAACATTCTAAAATAACTTAAAGCTCACAAGAGTCAATTTTGCATAATAAAGGACCTTTAACCCTTGCCTTACCCTGGCTGTGGGAAATGCTGCGGTCACCCTTTATAGTCACATGTTTCTGCTTGTGACCACAGCTCCACCGGTCAGTGACATAACTGCCTGTTGTTTATTCACATCTGAAGTCAGACCTAATGTAAACGGGAAGCACTTTTGTGTCTGTCAGCTCCTCTCAAGATTTATACTTCTGCAGTCTCGTCCCACCCTGAACACAATAGAGCAAACTTGTCTCCTGGTCATTAATCAGAGCGTGTTTGCAACATAGAACGCGCATGTGTGTGGGGAACTTGTATTCTGCATTGTGCGTCAAAGCAAAGGGTTCATTATGGGTCAAAGCAAAGGGTTCATTATGCGCAGCTGGCCTAGTTTATGTCTTAGCCATTTGATACAGTGTTTATCTGTAATGAGTACATGTGTGAGAGGGTGAGGGTACATTTGAATAGTTGTACTTTTTTGTAGTTTTTGTTGATTATTTGCTGTCTGTTGTCTGTACAGGGTCTGTTCAGAATCGCAGCTGGGGCGTCAAAGCTAAAGAAGCTAAAGGCGGCGCTGGACTGCTCCACGTCGCAACTAGAGGAGTTTTATTCAGATCCGCACGCTGTAGCTGGTACGACAACACAATATTTACCACTATGAAGTACAGTGTTTTTCTTTTATGTAAGCAAAAATAATAAGTACACTTATAATGGCCTAAATAAAGCATCAACAAAAACTTCATGAACAAATAGTTTGTCAAGAATGATTCAAGCTTAGTAATTACTTTATTACTTTATTAATTGATGCTTTGCAGCTGATGTTATCAACATTCCCTGGGTGTGTGAAGCTAACTGTAGACACTACTCTGTCTGAAGCTCTGTTGCTCAAGTTACATTTTAATCTGAAGCTACACTTTAATCTACACTTTAAAGCACCTCACATCCGTGTTGGTGTCCATCTTCACTCTTGATCAGAGTATCGTTTGGATGAAGTGTCCCAGCATACATCATCTAAAGTCCTAAGTTATCTCCAATACTGACGTTTTATTTTTAACACAATCTGACCAGTAAAAACTGACTTAGCTGGAACTACAGCAGGTGATCTGATTTGTGCTGTTAAGCAAGCCTCTCTTAAAATTACAGTCATAAACTAGCCAACAGTTTTTCAGTGAGTCACTCGCCTTTTACAATGTTTGGTAATGTGTGTGTCTCCATGAAACCATTTTACAATAAAGATACCTGTAGAACACCCCCAGCATGATGGCACTGCAAAGTATCAGTACCCCAATCATTCTTTATAAATTATTTGTACCATATCATAATGTATTTATATATTAAAAGTGCATTTGGTCTTCCATCTGCTTGTTTCATGGTGATATTATTGTTTGTGATGGTAATGGTTATGCTCCACAGTATGGCATTGTATCTTAAAAACATGCAAGGACACCTTTCCATAGATCTGTCCAGGAACCTATCCTGGTTGTGTTAACTCCTTTAGTCCATGGAGATAAGTTTAATGCCATACTGTGGAAAAGCATAGGCAATGTAATAACATCTATGTGGAGCAAACAAAAAGTGAAATACATTTGTGGAAATCACCAAAATAGAAAAATGGGGGAAGTGAGACATCTTTCAACTGCATAACATGTTTATTCAATACATTTAAATGAAGATAGAAATTTAACTGAACTGAATTTTACACCAAATCAAAATAGAAAAGGTTTCATGATGCCTCTGTGATTGAAGGAAGTATCAGAATTCCTGTTTTGGCTCCTAAAGGCTGCCTCCTTTCAGCACAAATGAACCCTTGCTTGTATTTTCCATGAAACAGTAGCGTGGCTGGAAAACGTCAAGCGCGTGTGTGTGATTCCTGTGTTTTAGGAGCACTGAAATCCTACCTGCGGGAACTGCCAGAGCCGCTAATGACATACCAGCTCTATGACGACTGGATCCAGGCGTCCAGGCAAGAAACACAGACATGCCCGGTATAACGTAGACATGTGAATAAGTGGATAAGGTACTAAAGATTTGTTATGTATTTTTTCAGTGTGTCTGATCCAGACAAAAGGCTACAGGCGCTGTGGGTTGTGTGCGACAAGCTACCAAAGAACAACAAAACCAACTTTAGGTTAGACTTGGCTTGCTTATGTATTTTTAGTAACCATGGCAACCAAAAGTGGATGGTGGTAACAGTACAGTGTGGATATATGTGTTATTCCCTCACAGGTATTTAGTGAAATTTCTTGCAAAGTTGGCCCAAGACAGTGAAGTCAACAAGATGAATGCTAGTAACATCGCTATTGTCCTGGGACCCAACCTGCTCTGGGCTAAAACAGAAGGGTAAGAATCACACAGTGTAATAAGAATCATATGATAATTATAACAGCAAGATGGATTGTAAGGCATGTTATCCAGCTACTTAATGCCACCAATTATGAATAATTAAAATAAAGGTTTATTTGGCAACTGGACAACCAATTGACTAAAAAATATCAGAGCATAGTTAGAAAACAGAAAGAGATGTATAAGCTACTTGTCTTTTTAATTAGATAGTGGTTAGCATGTATAACTAACCACCAGATATTGCAAATTATGAATACTAATTAGCATTACCACTAATAAGCAACATTACCATAATGAACAACATGGTGGTAACACCACATACTTAATCTACATCACTAGGGATGGGTATCATTAAGAAGTTACCAATTCGATATATACTTCAATACACAGGCTACTATACGATACAGAACCTGGTACAGTCGTCCCTCGCTATATATCGGTTCACTTTTTGCGGTCTCGCTGTTTCGTTGATGCCTTTTTTACATATGAATGCGCACTGTGTTCCTCCCTCTGTGCCCTGATTGGATAAAGAGACTGCAGACCACTGTCAATCAATCTCCTTCGAGCCTCCTGTACAGTACAGATGCGTTCAGCTGCCAAATTTACATAATTGTTCGATCTCTAGCAGTGTGATTCTGAAGTGCTGTATGTTTGCAAGTTTTTTCCTCGCCAAAACCCACAATGTCGACGAAACGTCCTTCAACCACAAAGGCTCCTGCGGTCGCACTCAAAAGGCAAAGGAAGATGTAACCATTTCACAAAAAGTTGGACTTTTGGATATGCTGAAGGAAGGTAGAAGTTACGCGGCTGTGGCAGAGTCCTGCACTGGGTCGGGCATCCGCAAATAGTTGTTGAAACCGGCGGGTTTAACGTTTTGGAATTTTACAGTCGGGTATGCGGGCGGGTAGTGATTACACACGGGTGGGTCAGGACTAAACCAGGACTAATCTTGGACTTAAGAGAGAGAACACCAAAGCAGGGTTATGAGCCGGTTCTTTCTCCTGCGGTCACCTCCAAGCCCATCCCGACAGTGAGTCCTGTTTCAGTTCTGGTTTACTCCTGTTTTAATCCCATTTTAGTCCTAGTTCAGTCCTGGTTTAGTCCTCCTGTTTCAGTCCTGGAATCAGTCCTGGGTTAGTCCTGGTTTAGTCTTGGTTCAATCCGTGGCATATGCAGCACAAAAGTTTGATATAATCTCGAGTTAATGCGCGGGTGCGGTTCTGTATCGCTCGGGTGCGGGTCTCTCGGGTGCAAAAAGGGTTAACTGTCCTCTCTGAGAAAAGTATGAGGGGTTTTACAACCTTAAAACAGATAGAATAATTGTAAAATATTAAGTTGACTACTTTGCGGATTTCACCAATGGCAGGTTATTTTTAGAACATAACCCCCACTATAAACAGGGAACCACTGTACAGTGCATTTTTGATTCAATACGATTCAGTAAAAAACAAAGAAATATGAAATACCAATTTTAATAATCAAAACAGTGGATATGTCAAAAGTATTGTATAAATAAGTTTTCTTCCTCTAAACAACCAACAAAATCGTAGTTGTCACAAAATAATGTATTGAAATAAGACCAAAAAATAGTCTTGACAGTAAAATCAATACAGCAGCTCATGATATGATACAGTATATTCAAATTAAACAATGTGATATTTAGATATTTTTGCACGTCCCTATACATCATTAACATCTTATAACGTTATCACATTGTTGGTTCACACAGGACCTTGGCTGAGATGGCTGCTGCTACCTCTGTGCACGTGGTGGCCATCGTGGAGCCCATCATCCTGCACGCAGACTGGTTCTTCCCAGAGGGTACGTCCCTGCTCACCTCAACAACATCCGCCTAATCTCCAAATCTTATCTCTGCTCGTCAAATCCACACCAGAAACACACAGAACTCCTCTGTGGGAAAATCCTGTAGAATGAATGGACATATGGGCTTATTTTTGAACACTGAATGAGAGCATCTGTCTAGACTTGATGTGTTGCCATCTCTTTGTTCTGGTCTCGCCAAACATGTGTAACTGCTTGTTCAGCGGTAACATCTGTCTCAATTTAGTCATCAAATCTGCTCTTTTGTTTGGGCTACACATTACGGCAACAGTTTAAATGGTTCTCTATTGGAAACACGGAATGAAAAATTGCATCGATATACATAGATTAAAGGGGACATCTTGTGCAAAATTTTTGGGGGCTTTAAAGAGAGGGTATTACACTTTGGCTATTAATTGCTAACACATAATATGCGTAGATCACAATGTTACCTTTTATTGTCTTGAAAACGATATATTCACGGAAAACAATATATTAACAAGTTTAACTATTGTATTTGATGCTCTGAGTCGTCCTTTGTTCCCCACACATGGACGACCTAGGCTTGTGGGCTGAGCATTGGACAGAATTGTACTGCTAACTGTCAAATAGGGCTCTGGAGAGATTACTCAAGCATACATAGATGACATTTAAAACCTCTTCAGGCATGTTTGTGATTAGGGAACAACATTATAACATGGTGGAAGGCTCCAAAAAGTAGTATTTGCATAATACCTTTAATCATGTTATAATGGCATTCTTTCATCATTAGCTTGCCCAAAGTTGTTTTTTGCTTGATTCATACATGTTTGTTTGTTTACATATAATCCTGAAATTTCCTGCATTTTGAGGCCTGTATGCTCAAAAAATTTCAATTTTCACGTACACCTTGTCTCCACCCACTGCTCCATACTTACTGGTAATTGTTCATGTGCAGGGTTCAAAAATGTCCATCCATCCATTTTCTTCCACTTATCTGGGGCCAGGTCACAGGGGCAGCAGTCTAACCAGAGACTCCCAGACTTCCTTCACCCTGGACACTTCCTCCCGCCCCTCCGGGAGGAGGAGGAAAAATGTCCTTTAGCCATTTTTCAACAATAAAAAGTTGTGAACAGAAAGTCACTGGACCCATTTTATCTCAATATTATGTTTTACAATGAACAAAATGTATAATAATTTACTTATGTTATAGTTTAATACCAATTACCTGAAAAAACATGATACATCTTCATTACTATTCCACATTTAAATGTTGACTGAGACTATTCTATTTGTTTCTGTGTCTCCTCTTCACAGATGTGGAGTTTAATGTATCTGGCATGTTTGCGATGCCCACCCCTGCGTCCAACCACAACAACCACTTGGAGTATGAGAGTGGAACCATCGAGAGGAAGAGGCCCGTGAGCATGGTGGGACCAGAGAATGATGCTGCACGCAAAGACAAGTGAGAGCCCCTCCCTCCTGTTGTCTAGAAACTGCTCTTTACTATTCCTATTCCTGTGCTTACTACTGATCTAGAAAACTACTGAGGTGATTTTGCTTTCAAAGGAGGCATTGGAGTATCTGGTTATAACATTAAACATTTAGATTTCACAAAATTGTTAATTTAATATTTTTGGCTCATTGTAGTTTTCATATTTTTGCTGACTAAAACTAAATTTAAAAAGTAATCATAACTAAACTAAATGTAATTAAAAGTATGATTAAAAGTAGATTTTTTATCAAATAATAAAAACTAAACCTAAATGAATGAATCCCGGTTCCACTTCTCAATCCCAGAGCCTAAAACTAGACCATAAACAAACTCACCACCCTGAGAACACGTCTGGACATGTCCCATGAAGCAATGCAATACAATTTATCATGGTTAAATAAAAATATACTTTAACATTTTTGTAGAGTTTAACAAAAAATAATTAGAATTGAACACATTTTGGGTTATTTTAGTCTTTATTAAATGACAACTAAATTAACATTTCTTGTCAAAGAATAAATTTTTTTCTTTTGCTTTGTATCCTACCTGGATGATGGATGAAAATAAATACATTTTAAGAACATGTAATTGTACAATAGCAATAGAAAAGAGCTTGCTGATAATCCCATGCCTCCTCCTGTTTGACTTGCTCTGGTGATTCTGGTGGCGGGTCTGATCACGTTCTAATCACTGCTGGTGTCCTCTGTCTCTCTGTGTGTGTCTGCTCTGCTCCTGCTGTAGCCCTCCCAAGCACTCGGAGCACACGCTGCGTAGAGCCAGTAACACCATAGGTAGAAAGCAGCACATGTCCCCTGCCTTCCAGCCCCCCCTGCCCCCTGTGGAGCCGGGGGGACAGGGTCAGGGTCAGGGACAGGGGGAGCAGCCATCCCCTCCGCACACGGGGGCCCCGGGTCCCGACTCCCAGCAAAGCCTGGCCCAGAGCCTGGCTGCTCTGGCTGCAGCTCAGCAGCTCCTTGCACAGCACACAGAGGAGCTCAGGTAAGAGGTCTGCTTATGGCTCCTGTCACTGCTCCTGTCACAGTGGTTTTGTTAGGGTTGCACAATTTTGGTAAAAAGATCTAATTATTACAGTTATTGCAATTGTGATTAAATTTGAAAATTATGTTTTAACATCAGGATTTCATTCATTAAAAACATCCATGCAAGAGCAGTGATATCCAAACTATTAATTGCTAAACTAATATAAAAAAACCCATTCTTCCCTCTAAATAGACAGGATATTTTGTTGTGTGTAGTCGACATTCTATTTGGAAATGGCACCAATTCAAATTTCCAGTTCAGTCAGATTGTGATATATTGTACAGTCCTAGTTCATGTCCCAATGAGGTTAGTGCTTCTTCCACCAGCGCCCACAGCTCACAGCTCTGTAGACCATAGACTGTATACAGAGATATATACAGTCTATGCTGTAGACGATGTGTGTCCCCTGAACAATACAGTGTTCTTCAGCTCCAGTCTGAGGCCTTTCCTCAGCTCCTTTGCCCCATCTTTTTGTTTTCAAAGTAATGTCACGCAGTGTGAAGCCTAAACTGCTTGGTTACATACCATTATGTATTCTTTTGATTGAACTGCTTTCTGAATACCACCAAATGAAAGAGTAACTACATAAATAGAATTATTCATAATGGGTTTTCTGGATTTTACTGCTATTTATTTATTTTCATTGTATTCAGTGTATTCAAGTATATACTTCCCATCAGTGTGCACATCACTGTTAGAGTCATTCTTGTGTGTAGTGCACAGACTGTATCCTCACATGAGTCACTCGAGGCCATTTCTGCTGAATCTGATCTTAACTGCACTCACACTTTCGATCTGAGGAGCACCAGGCCACATTCAGGGCAATGTTTACTTGTAAAATGTGCTGAAAGTGAAAAGGATTCTTGTTCTTCTCTTGTGTAGTAACCCCAAGCAGCGCGAGACCACACTGCAGAGGAACGGCTCTGACAGAAGCTCTGACCGAGGCTCTGACAGAGGAGGGACACCCGGGGCCGGACCCACGGGACCCAGCCCACACATGATACGCAGAGGTACGGCAGCTCAACAATCACTGCACAACATCACAAGACATTACTACAGTCATTTAGAGTTGGATTTATTATTTAGATCAGTTTTTAAAAGGCACTGTGCCAGATTTTTACTGTCAAAAAAAATTTGAAAAAAAAAAAAAAAAGCCATCTAAAAACATTCCAAGCATAGTAATTATTTGCCATGATGTGTTTATAAGCAGTCACACATCTTTCACAATAATGCTAACAACAACTAGCATGCCAACAGCGCACCAGCATTACTTCCCTGTTCATAGACAATAAAAATGTTCATAATTGGATGCAAACACCACACACCAATCTTGTTTTGGCTTTAAAGTGCTCTTTGTACAATATAGTTGCACAGTGACAAGACAAATTTTACTCAGTTACAGGGAAAAAAATTGGCTGCTGCCCATAGACTGCAGTAGAAGTAGACTAAGTGAATGTGATATGACGCATAGTGCAACCAAATGTAGCTCATCTAAGATAAGTTATAGAGACTAATCTGCAACCAGATTTGGAATTCTGAGCACAAAAACAAAGATCTAATTAGGAGGGAGGCTGTTGAAGATACATACCCACTTCCGCTCACTTAGCTGTTTGAAAGTGGGTGGGTGCTTTGCAATGAGGCTCTCAGTCAACCTGTTGCTAATGCCAGTTGGAGTGACCTTGGTTACGGACAGCGCATTACTAGGACCATTTTAAGTTTAAAATGACGAGCCTTAAAGCTGCAGTTACAGTTTGGACGGTTACAGCTAATGTGTTAGCTATGTCCCCTTACAGTCTAGTACAGCCCTTTTAAAGCATTTATAGCCAGTGAGAAGATAACATTGTGGTTTTAAACTCAAAACTCAACTCAAATTTTTCAGGTACCAAGAAGCAGGCGCCCGCTCCTCCCAAACCCACCAACCCTCCCCCCAGCCAGCCTTGTGCCTCCTCAAGCCCCGCCCCCCACCTTCAGGCCCCACCCAATCCACGAGCTCCAGCAGCCGCCCCCAATCCGGCCACTCCCCCACATCACCTAGCCCCTCCCCTTCCTCTTCCCAGCCCAACGCAACCCCGCGACGCCACTCCAACAACCAACCCCCCTCCAGGCACCCAGCCACCCTCCACCCGAACCCCCCACACAGTCCACCAGCCCCACCCTCGCCCCCGCTGCCACACCCGACCAGCCCAGCACCGAGGCTTCACCACCGGACACCCCCAGCCCTCCGGACTCCCCTCCACCACCAACATCCACCCAGGACGCCTCTGCTCCCTCCACCCCCTCAACCGGCTCCCTGCCCCGCCCCAGACCAGTGCCGAGGCCCAGGAACAGGCCCACCGTGCCCCCGCCCCCACAGCCCCAGAGCACCTCAGGAGTACCCGCCGACGCCAACGGGATCTGCGCCTCCGCCTACAAAGTCATGGGTAAGCTCCGCCCCCTCCTCCTGACCGTGTTGCATGTGACCGTTCTGATGGCGGCATGCTTTCTAACAGTAATCTAACAGTCTGTGCTTTATAACCTCCACAGATTAAAGAGGCTCTAGTCTCAGGTTTGTCCTAATCCACACTTTCTGCTTGCTCCTCCGCTTCTTACTCTATCTTTTACTGTAGTCTGCCATCATATTTAAGTTACTATTTACTTAAAAATAAGAATTTAAATGTGTACTATGTAACTTTTCTGTTGAGGAAAAGCTTGTCTCCATGCAGATGTTATTATTTGGTGGGATAGTACCTGTGGCAAATATGTGTCAAAGGTTCACATCAGTTAAGTGACAGTTTATGGAGAAAAAGTTGAAAAGAAAAGAACAAAAATACAAGAAGTAGCGATTACCTACTAGTAAAATACAACATGTGAAGTAGTTAAAGTAGTAGTAAAAGTATGCTACTGAGAAATCCCCTCACGTGTGTCCTCTATGTCTAGGACACATCAAAGAACAGGTGTATAATCCTGTTTTAAAATAATGCCTGGATGGATGTCTGAAATGATACAGTAGTGATACAGCAGTTTAGAGCTGCTCTAATGCTTCCTCTTCACATTTCCCTTTCTCTGCTGCAGCTTGAAGCTTGAGTGTTCTGTAGTGTCTGGGAAAACAGTGCCTCTTGCTGTTCATCACTGTCATAGCATTTTCATTGCTTTTTCACTTTTCAGTTGCAGTTTTTTGTTTTTTGGTTGATATTGGGAGATTTAATTTTATAGGACTGTTCCTCACTGTCATTTTTTAAAAGAAATGTAATCAAATGTGTATATATAGATAAGAAAATACCACTATAAAAGTACATTTTGTATTACATTTTGCAAAATCTACACGAAATGTATAACTTCATAAGAGGAAAGATGGGTAATTAACTTTACATCAATTCTAACAAGACAAATATAGGTGCAGTCATATGCCCGAGCAGTGCATAAAATAAGTACTTATAGTAGGTGTTTGTAATAATAAGAGTACCTCTAAAATCCTCCTTTATTCTATTCTAGACCCTGCACTGTCCTTCAAAGGCCTGAGTCGAGTCTTTGTCCCGGACTTGGGCGACCCGTCGGCTCCGCCCCCCTCGCTGTCGCTAAGAGACTGTGAACTGGACACCGAGAGCACTGTGCTTTAACCACAACGCACCTGTCTCCTCCTCCACCTGTCATCTGCCATTTTGTCCACTACCTTCTTCACACAACTCACCTCTGCTGCTCCTCTCAACTGTTCAATTTAACCACAAAATTCTAACTTGCGTATAGTCCGTAATTTCCACGAACGCATATCAAAATATTACCTACACCATACGTACATTTATTCATAGTCTAGTTACAGCTACTCAACTACACAACTTAAAGAGGGGGTATTACGCAAAAAATTGTAGCTTTTTACAATATTATTACATTGATTTTACATGTCATCCATGCTTGTTTCAGTAATTTAGCGATCTCTCCTGGGCCGTGTTTAACCCCTGCTTGCGGTTAGCTGTAAGATTCTCTGCAGTGGTCAGCCCACAAGCCTGTGTCCTTCATGCTTTCACACAATTCACCATAAATATACAAAAGCATGATACAGAACTATACACAACAACCTGACAAACCTGATGTCATGTGCAGTAGTTTCTTTAGCAGGATGCACACTGATTGTAATGGGAGAGCACTCCGAAGTGGGAGTGACTTAGTGCAGAGAGCAAAGGGAGGGGAGGAGTGAAATTTATAAAACATGTTAACATGTTGTTTTCAGCAAATATAGCATTTTCAAATGATAAAAGGTAACATGGTGATCTAAAGATGTTATGTGTTAACAGTTAATATGCCATAGAAGTAAAATACCCCCTCTTTAACTACACACTACCAACTGGACAAAAATGGCCAAGAAACAGTCCTTGACAATCATGCCGAAAATTACAAAAAAAAAAAAAAACTTGGGACATTGTGGTTGTATTTTATGTTTTTCTGCATTTTCAAAGGCCTTAAGAACAAAAAATAATTTAACTTCATAATGTGGGATAAAAGGTGAACTTGTCAAACCAAATGATTTCACGTGTCGCTGGTGACTGCAGGTATCCGGTCGTCTCCAACACTTTTCATTTTGTATGTTTAAAAAAAAATCTCTTTCTTTCTTTCTGTTGTATTTATTTATCAAAGAAAAGACATTCCCTGTGGCTTGACATAATTAAAAATGCAGTGCTTAAAGGCCTATATTGCACTATTTTCTGATCTATGTTATACTGTTGTTTCCTCATCAGTAATAGACGTGGAGGTGTGTATTGTTTCATTCACACGTTTAACATACAAACCCTGCATATTTAGGCTGGGTTCATCTCTCAAGCACAAAACACTCTGCTCCACCTTATTATGTCATGTGGTAATACAGGAATTGCTCCACTGTGTTTTTAATGTCCATACACATTCACTAGAATCATTTGGATGATTTGGATTTACCAATCTCTATTGTAGAGGGTAAAAGGTAGCTGTTAATTTGAAAACTATCACTTCATGACATCACAAAGCAGAACAGAGCATTTTGAGCTTTAGAGATGTAGACCAACTAATAATAACAAATTACTCAAACATGTATGAATGAAACAAAACACAACTGGGTATGTTTTCAATGAGGTAACAACATTATAATATGCCTTAGAGCTCACAAGAATCCATTTTGGTGTAATATAGGACCTTTAATTGTAAATCATGCCTTAATAGACTTTACTGTAAGCTCAGAAACAGTGTTGCTTATGTTTTCAGGGAAGGAGATTCATGTGTATTTAAAATGGACTTGTTCTGAGTTGCAGGGTTTATCCAGCCTAAGGAAAAATAAAGTCAGTATTTGGTCAAAGGGCCCTGTGTGAGTGAATGTAGTGATGACCTGGACACTGATGATGCACTTAAGAGCTGGTCCCACTCTGCAACACTTTTCTTTATTTAGACATTTTCAGTTGAGTCTTTCGCGCTGAGCTGAGGCCATGTCTGTGCCTCAGTAGTGACGTGCACATAGACTATGACAGGTCAATGGTGTAATTTCTTTGTAGCTTCAGATACAAGGCAGAGTTCAGGTTCCAGTACATGTCCTTATATGGTACTAATGAACTGAAATTGAAGAGAAATTGAGCATTAATTATAACTCCCTTCTTTATATGGTAGTTCCTGTACCTAGAGGCCTTATTCCCTTGTAAAGAGAGCTTGGTTTGTCGAGACTCTTCAAAATGAACAAATGCCATTAAAGTGAAATGCTGCAAGCTCTGTGCTTTTGTATGTATGCTGTATGTGAGCGCAAACAAGAATAAAACATGTCATATGGATGCTTGGTTATATTCCTTTTCCAAAGAAAATAAAGACTATACTGTATAACATTGTTCCGTGACTTCTTTCTAAAATGCAAAGGGTTTAATAAAAAAAAAAAACATAAAAAAATCCCAAAAAACAATGCATTTAATGTGTTACATTTTGAATGTTTTGAAGCTATTATTTGTAATTAAACTAGCTGACCCACCCCTGCTGTGCTCACATATCACCAGTAACTGCTGTCAGGTGAGGGGTTCTACCGTCCACTGGTGAAAAAAAATCTAACAAACGTATGGATGGTACCTTTAAGTGTTTCATTCTATAGTTTACCCAAACTCACTGCCTTCAACATACTAACAGACACATCCATTCAGTCTAGGTAATGTAGCTGAGGTGTCTTGCACAAGACACAAACAGTTTTTTGCCACTGGCGCCCCACTGTGGCACCTGATATTCCAAGCAGTGTTCCATCCAAGTACTAAACAGGGCAGACCTGCTTAGCTTCCGAGACGTGATGAGATCTGACGAGATCAGGCTTTGACAAGGAGGTCTGTTTAATAAAAAAACATTGTTAATTGAATTAAAGGGACACGCTGGATTTGTCTTACTATTTACTATAAACATTCTGTCTATTCAATGCACAATCAAAATAGATAAACTACTTAGGCACTGCTCTAACCACTGTGCCACTGCAGTGCTCGGTAAATAAGTGTGATTATTTTGACTGAGTGTGGAGAGAGAGGAGAGTGAGGAGAGTGAGCGTTCACTCCTGCTGCCTCATTAAACACAACTGCTATCTGTTATTAATTACAAGACAAAACATAATGTGCAACTGGGAGTCTGTACATTGTCTCCAGTAAAGGTTCTCCTATATTACATAGAATGGATGTGAGCTTTATGTCATGTTATAATGTTGTTTCCTCATCAGAATCATACCTGGAGTTGTGTTTTGTTTCATTCATACAAGTTTTGGTAGTATTGTGTTATTAGACAGGCATTCCAGTGTTTTTCAGAACAACGACCTGCAGTGAAGCTTGAGCTGTAGGACAATAGAGTGACCAGATTTTCTAAATCAAACAGGGTAAATAGGGACATCTGGTCACCAAGTGGACATACTCAAACCTCTGCTGCACTCCGGACACTCTGGTTTTGTCTGATGTTCTGATGTGACAGAAGCCCCCTCCTGTCAAAACTTCTCCCTGACTGTTCAGTCAGGGCACACAGGAGGGCTTGAGCAGGAGACTGAATGACTTGTGCTTGTGCATAGCTTAGTTTAGTTGGTTTATTTAATAGGCAGGGACAGTGCACAATATACATTAACCTTAAAAAAGAGAGATGCATTGTACTAGGTTGTAGCACCGGTGCTAATTTCCACCTATAGTCCCTGGGCAGGTTGATGTTATAGTTCATAAAAACAAACAAACAAAGAGAATGTCTTTATAATGTCCAGAGCATCATAACAATTCACACCCAGTTCTGTCAGCATCTTAAAAAACATTATCCTTCAATCAAAATCATCATTCAATTCATTCACTCCAGGACATCACACTCTCCCAGACACAGTCAGTGAGTTCTGTTCAGTGAGTTCTGTTCTATATAGTCTCACTGGCAGATCATTTTAAAAGTGAGTAAACAAGGTGGTTATGAAGGTGGTTAAGCATGAAATACATACATCAGTGTCAGGGTGGGGTGTAAAATCTCCAAGGATGAACAGAGAACAATCCTTTATCTCCTGAGACAGGTTCACCAATGGACAGGTACAGGTCCAGTGTTATCTTTCAGGAGGATTGCTGAGGTCCTGAGGTGGGACTGTCGAGACCCACCTTGTGTGTTGTGTGTCCAGCTCAAGAGACAAAGCATCATGGCCTGTATGCTCCATGCGCCTCCACGTCGACCTGTGTGCTGTCCACCAACCTGCACCTGTCCACCAACGCCTCTGATGTCCCCTGTATCCCCAAGCAACAGCCCAGGGACCAACACTGAAACTGTGAATCCTCACATTGCAAACGGAGCCACACACCAGTGGTCTGTTTGTATGAGAGAGAGGGTACTCAATGGTCTATGATAATAACATTATATTACATAGCCTCAGGTAGGCTAGCAAGACATGTCCCAGGTTCCACCAGCACCTTGTTTTACCGTCACTGTTGTTTATGCTCCTGGAATGCTTTGTCATGTCTGAATGTTATGTCAGAATTATCCACTGAGTTTAATAAAAGTTTAATAAAACGAGTTTTTTGTCTGCTTTTCATTTGCATCATCTTAGCGGTCAGTGGACGAACTGACAGAATTACCAAATGTGTGAACAGAAAACTTTAAAACGAATGAGCTAGCTGAATTTAACACTTTATTAGGATGTCCAACAAATTCCTGAAAATTGCAATGTAGTATTGTGGTTTTATTGAGCTATCTTAACATGAGCTATCTTAACATGAGCATGAACTTAAGGTGAAGCAGCTACAATATTTACAACTTAATTTACGTCATAATTGGCTACTGTACTGTACAGTACTGTACTAGCCTAAACGTTCTATGACTATACTGTACATAGTACAAGAAGCCAAGTTTGCTAGTTATTCAATTCAGCACTGATCAGACTGACCAGAGAGACCCTGCACCCCAATTCAGCCTTTATTCCAAAACTGGTTAACACCAGTACCTAAGTGGATGTTGACACTTTTTAGCCTCCTTCCCACACTTCTGCTGAACAGCAGCGTTCACACAGTTTGTGCTCTGTCCGAGCAGCACATGGCATCCTTTATCAACACAGTAACGCTACACAACAGTGATCACAAGGCCCTAAAGGGAAACCTGAACCATTTTCTTAAACACCAAAACGTGAGCAATGCACTGTTCTACACACAACTTATTTTTAAGTGCATTCATGGTGGACAACAAAATGTATTCTATTTATTTGTCTTCTGTTCTGTTGTCTTATGAGATTCAGGAGCAGGACCACATCTCAACACCGTGGTGAAGTTAGTTTTACGTTAGACGTTCGATATTCAGTTACGCATCAACAGCGGAGATGTTCATTGGCTGTGCCCCGCTTGCTCGATCACGGTGCGGGGAGCTGTACACCAAAGCTCCGCTGAGTCCGCGGGTTAGGGACCGTCAATAAATTACCAGTGCATTGAATGGAGTCTGCTAAAATATATATATAAAGAAATAAAAAAGGGATTTATAAAAAAAATAAAATAAAAAAGGGTTTTATGAAACTTGTTATTTTTATGTATTTTGAGAGTTAATTAGTTAATGCATTTTTTCAATATCTTCCAGGTCAATTAATCTAAAAACACCAAACCAAGTTATTATAGTAGTCTTACTCCTCCGGTATCACGCACATTTTGGTTTTCCAAATTAACCCTTTGTGGAATTTTTAGGAATTTTTTTCCTTGAAAATCTGTGATTTTTTTCAATAGCTTCTAAGGTAGATGACCTACCAACTCCAAACCAAGTTATTATAGTAGTCCTACACCTCAGGTATCACGCACACCTTTTGGTTTTCCAAATTAACCCTTTGTGGAATTTTTAGGAATTTTAATCTTGAAAATCTTGATTTTTTTCAATAGCTTCTAAGGTAGATGACCTACCAACTCCAAACCAAGTTATTATAGTAGTCCTACTCCTCAGGTATCACACACACCTTTTGGTTTTCCAAATTAACCCTTTGTGGAATTTTTAGGAATTTTTAATCTTGAAAATCTGTGATTTTTTTTCAATAACTTCTAAGGTAGATGACCTACCAACTCCAAACCAAGTTATTATAGTAGTCCTACTCCTCAGGTATCACGCACACCTTTTGGTTTTCCAAATTAACCCTTTATGGAATTTTTAGGAATTTTTTTCCTTGAAAATCTGTGATTTTTTTCAATAGCTTCTAAGGTAGATGACCTACCAACTCCAAGCCAAGTTATTATAGTAGTCCTACTCCTCAGGTATCACGCACACCATTTAGTTTTCCAATTTAACCCTGTATGGGATTTTTAGGAATTTTTTTCCTTGGAAATCTGTGATTTTTTTTCAGTAGCTTCTAAAGCAGATGACCTACCAACTCCAAACCAACTTACACCTTTTGGTTTTTCCGAATTAACGCTTTGTGAGATTTTTAGAGATTTCTTTCATAGATAAAACAGACATGTTCAAGCTTTTTTTTCTTCCTTTTTTTTACTCTGAAGAAATGATAATCATAACATCAACAAACATTCAGGTCATTTTCACACTGTCCCTACTTAGTTATCAGACGAACTGTTATGTTATGTTAACATAGCAGACACCCATTCAGCCTGCTGTTCTCTATTCTTTTGTAATTACTATAACTTGCCTTTCAAGATGAAATGTCGGTTTCTGATTTTATAGAATAAATTTCCCCCAAATAGTGCATACTTATAGTTCTGTGCGACTTATATGTTTTTTCTTCTGCATTAGGCATTTTTTGGCTGGTGCGACTTATACTCTGGAGTGACTTATAGTCCGAAAAATACGGTAAACAGAATTACATGTAGTGCCACTGGGATCGCCTCAGACAGCGCGTTAGTATGTATCAACATCTCCTCAGTCACAGACAACACATTTCCATGGGACGTCTTTTGCTCTTATTATGTCCGTCCGACACATCCCCACACACTCTCCGTGGAACCAGCAATCGCAATCATCACACTGGATCTGTCATTAGGAACAAAAAAAAAAGTAACAATGTGCTGTATTGTCCTTACTATAAGGCTTTTGTTATGTAAGCTGTAATAAATGATTCTCACCCAACCTGCAGGACACCGACCAGGACATTTTGGTGCTTTCTTTCGTGCACACATCACACAATGTGTGTTTGTATCAAAGACTAAAAAAAGATAAATTTTTATCATTAGTTCACAAACTCTACAGCTAACCAGTCCAACAAGGTTTGTTTTTCCATAAATGTATTTTATTAGATTCTTTTTTCAGACCAGGAGTTTGTTTTCATACATGACAGTTTAAATCAGCTGACTGGACATGTCACAGCAACATTACATGACCGCTCTGAAGAAGACCGCTAGTGAACAGTCTAAACTGTCAGGTATGAAAACAAACTCTTGGTCTGAATAAAGAACCCAATAAAATACATTTATGGAAAAACAAACCTTGTTGGACTACTATAATAACTTGGTTTGGAGTTGGTAGGTCATCTACCTTAGAAGCTATTGAAAAAAATCACAGATTTTCAAGATTAAAAATTCCAAAAAATTCCATAAAGGGTTAATTTGGAAAACCAAAAGGTGTGCGTGATACCTGAGGAGTAGGACTACTATAATAACTTGGTTTGGAGTTGGTAGGTCATCTGCCTTAGAAGCTATTGAAAAAAATCACAGATTTTCAAGATTAAAAATTCCAAAAAATTCCATAAAGGGTTAATTTGGAAAACCAAAAGGTGTGCGTGATACCTGAGGAGTAGGACTACTATAATAACTTGGTTTGGAGTTGGTAGGTCATCTACCTTAGAAGCTATTGAAAAAAATCACAGATTTTCAAGGGAAAAAAATCCTAAAAATTCCACAAAGGGTTAATTTGGAAAACCAAAATGTGTGCGTGATACCGGAGGAGTAAGACTACTATAATAACTTGGTTTGGTGTTTTTAGATTAATTGACCTGGAAGATATTGAAAAAAATGCATTAACTAATTAACTCTCAAAATACATAAAAATAACAAATGTTTCATAAAACCCTTTTTTTTTTTTTTTTATAAATCCCTTTTTTATTTCTTTATATATATATTTTAGCAGACTCCATTCAATGCACTGGTAATTTATTGACGGTCCCTAACCCGCGGACTCAGCGGAGCTTTGGTGTACAGCTCCCCGCACCGTGATCGAGCAAGCGGGGCACAGCCAATGAACATCTCCGCTGTTGATGCGTAACTGAATATCGAACGTCTAACGTAAAACTAACTTCACCACGGTTCTCCTCTCCAGCGAACCACAGCTTAATTAGTTAGGAGTTTTACTTTTACTTTTTACTCTTTAAGTAACAAGTCCTTTAATACTTTTACCTAGTACCTTTTTCATGTGATAAGCTACTTTTATTTTTACTTTATTTTATTTTTATTTATTTTGGTCAGGTATCTTTACTTTTACTTATGTAACAAAATTGAGCATTTCCACCACTTGATCAAAACATGACCGAGCGTATTGTAAAGGGAGGAAGGCAACTCAAAGTATTCCAACATAACATGCACTTCAGAATAAAACCATGAAACTATGCCATATTACATAACCTTAAGCAAAAGACAGAGGCCAGCTTTAACGCAAAAGTCTGCACACACGGATCTTTTTTTGTGTGTCTACAACAGGGGTCTCCAACTGGTAGCTCCCGATCTATCAGTTGGAGATTTCTGAATTAATAACTAAAATCTGATGAATTACCACTGTGTCATTTTGTTGCCTAACATGTGCACTAATAATATAATATGGATAAATGGATAATGGTTTATGTTTAACAGGTATCTAACTGTACCCCGTCAAAAGCACACCATAGCTCTTCTTGTTTCTCAGTTTCTTGCGGCCGCTAAAATGAGTAGCTCTCTGGGCGCACGCACGCTCGTGTCCCAGCGTGTATCACAGGCATTATATATATACAGTCTATGATCACACGGCTGGTTCAACTTTTAAAAACATCGTACCTGTGCGTCCACCTCACGTCAGCACGATGCTCCTCCCCGTGTATTGCGCGCTGATTAGAAGGGCTAATCCAAATGTATGTTAAAGTGCTGGCACAAAGCAGGCGTACAGCACAGAGCAGGTCTACAGCCCAGAGCAGGTCTACAGCACAGAGCAGGCCTACAGCAGAGCAGCCTACAGCACAGAGCAGGCCTACAGCACAGAGCAGGCCTACAGCACAGAGCAGGCCTACAGCACAGAGCAGGCCTACAGTGACATGTGGTTGAAGTTTGCCTAATAAAAGTGCACAAATGCCTTTGCGTTTGTCACGACGTGCGTTAATGTGCAGACTTCTAAATATCACCGCAAAACCAGTAAGATAATATAACTCCAGTTAGGAACTTGAAAAAACAGGTTTAAAAATCCCACCCACTTTATTCACAGTTTTCTATGAAGTGCTAGTGGAAGTTGGCTTAAAGAAGGGGTTCTCAAACTGTGGGTGAGGGTCCAAAAAGGTATGGAAACTCTTATTTTAATCTTAGATTAACATTTATCAGAAAAAACGAGTTGGATTTATAAAAACATTGAGATATATGCTAAAATAACTGTAAAATACAAATAAATGTCAAAAATTACAAAGATGGTCTTGATTTGGTCTCAGTGGGCTGTGATCTCCGTTTTGTCTCGTTGTCTTGGTCTTGTCCTGGCCTCAGGACCCTATGGTCTCGGACAAGCCTTGGTCTCCATTAATGCAGTCTTAACTACAACACTCAGTCTACATCACCAAAGCTGTCCTTTAGTTCAGTAGATTGGCAAGGCTGAAATCATCCAAATTATTCTGTTGAATGTATATGGAGATTAAAAACACAGTGGTGCACTTCCTGTATTACTACATCATAAGGTGGAACACTGCCTAAATATGCAGGATTTGTGTGTTAAACAAGTAACATAAATCAAACAGAACATAGGTATGTTTGTGATGAGGAAACAACAATATGAGAGAGATCAGAAAATGGCATAATATGGTCCTTTAAGATACACTGCATAAACAGAAAAAAATCATTAGCAGACATGTTAATTTTACAAGCACGTTTATAGATTCAAAACATAAATTCAGTGCATTTGACCCAAACCTGAAATAAACCAGCACAAATAAGGGAGACGTAAATAGGAAATAAACATATATAAAACAGTTATAAAAGGGGCAATAAATAAACCTAACTAGACTAACAGATTTCATTCATAACATAGGAGAAATAGAAATGCTACTAGCTGCACACGTTAACACTGTAACTTGCACCAACATGCAGAGAGTTGGACAAAATAATAGGAACACTGTAGTCACCTCACTGCCCTTGCAAGCTTCACTATAGCTGTGCAAAATGAACAATACATAATTATGTCATCCTCAAACAATGGCAAAAAAAATAATAATAATCTTGATACAATATATTACATAAACAATGAGCAGTGCATAGCCAGCTGTCAGTGTTACAGTCTTCAAATACAACACGGCTACGGAGACACTTGGAATGAGTCATGAGATCACCATGGCGACCGGAGAAGCAGGAAATATCCATGTACAGAAGTCCTATGGAGAGTACGTGCGCTCCTCACTCACCGCGGGCCGCCCACCTGCTTTAAGAACACTCGAGAAGTATTACGGGACAAAGTGCAGACTATTAACGCCTCTTTGCCAGCGACGGATAGTGTAGCCTTTAACGTGTTAGTCAACAAAGCAGGACGCTAGCTGTCACAAAGGATTCTCTATTCCTCACACCTCTCAGATTTATCTTCCTTTTCTGATGCGTCGGTGCAGTCCGATGTACTGTCAAATCAAATGAGCAAAGCTGTTTTATTATGGGATTCTGTGAAAATTAATTTGGACTATTTTCAAACAGAAGAAAAAAAGAGATGGAATTAACATAAAAATCAGTCCAGTTAACAATTGCCAGTCGAAATTAGTTTTAGAAATCAGAAATCACAGTCAATATTTTGGTCTGGTATTTGGAATTACACCAAAATTTGCAACGTAATTAACTTAGAGTAGACTTCTCTTGACATATTATAAAGCAAAAATAGCTAGCTAGATTTTCTTTTGCCAAAATCTCACCTTTGTTAATCGATTTCTGTTTCCAAAATGTTCAAATATATCTCAGCTTATTTTAAACCTATCATTTCTATCAATTCTTCACATGTTCCGATGGCAGTGACAGCACCAGTGTTACAAGCCCAATGTAAACACTAAACTACACTCCTGGCAGCATCGATTCACGTCACCATTCTTTACATAGACATAGAATTTAATAGAAAATAGAAACTTTACATAATAGTCGTATGATAATAATAACCACAGCTAATATGCTAGACTTCTTGTGTGTCGAGTTGGTTCCTGCTTCAGTTCCTGGTTCTGGCTCTGTGTGTGGTGGGTTCAGTGGTTCTGGACCGTGTTGACTGTCTCTGTGGGTTGTTGGCACTTTGGTTTTATGAGAGCAGATGTTTCTCTTCTACCAGGCCAGAGGTGAGGAGAGACGGGGGCTTCTGGGGTTTTCGGGGCTCTGGGTCTCTGTTAGCGCTCTCTGTAAATACAAGAAAATGTCACTGATGTGTCATTATTTTTGTAAAGACTTTATAGGTTTGGGCTGTGTGTGCTGTTGAATTTGGAAATGTACATAAAGAGTGTAGCCCTCAAAATAAACACATTTTGGTGGAGTTTTTTTTTCAGTGATAGGAGTTTGTTTATGATCAAAACTTTTTTTTTTTATTTCACACTCAATACACATTTTGAACTCAACATCAGATCATACCACCCCATCCACACTTTTATTTCTCAACCCTCACAATACCACATTACGCCAGTGCCGCTAACTATTTAAGAGCATAAAACCTCTGTCTGACCTCAAACTTGGAGATGAAGTCGGCGAAGATGCCAAAGAAGCTCTCGGTGCTGGTGGTCTTGCTGTCCTCTCCGAAATACGATACCACTTTGGCAAACTCCTCCATGGCTCTGCTCTGGAGGGACTCAAGGGACTGGATGGATGGATGGCTGTTCTCCAGGAAGCTCTATGGGAACACAATGGGGAGGTGAGTGAGAAGAAATTGACTCGAGTACACATTTTCAGTGCTCTTTCCATCATTAATGTACATAACTGCTGCGTTACATACGCTCATGACAGAGGAGAACTTGTCCTCGGGGGTGGGGGGCAGTTTGACACAGGCCGCTCTGATGTCCTGGACGGTGCTCTGGAGGTCACTCAGCTCTGTGGTGATTATCCTCTGGTTCACTGCAGAGGATACACACAAACACACACGAAGCTGTTAAAGAAGTGAGCAAAGTACCTTTGCAATGTATAGCAAAAGTAATATACTTTCTCATATACATGAGAAAATATAAGAAAATTTGGTAATAAATAATACATTAAGAAATGTCTAATGTTTTATTTCATTCCAAAGAATCATTCAGCCTTCTGGTGGTCAGTAGTAATTCATAGAACCAAAGATACAGTCATAACTTTCCATTTATGATATGTTAACCTAAACCAGGGGTCTCTAACTTGTAGCTCGGGAGCTACCAGTAGCTCTCCACTCCCTTACAAGTAGCTCGCCAAAGGAGTTCTGAATTATACATACAGTAATTAAAAACACAAATTTGATTATTTACCACTGTAAATGTGTTATTTTGAACTTTGTGCACAGATAAATGGATATAGTTTAATGTTTTATATCCAACTGTACAACATCTAGGGCTTGCCCTCTTATATTGACTCAATTGCAACCACTAAAATGAGTGGCTCTCTGACATTTTCATTTTGTAAACATAGCTGACCAGACGCAAAAGGTTGGAGATCCCTGGCATACACTGTATATATAAATGTTATTGCTAACATGCTAGCCGCTGTGTTCCAAATAGGGAGTTTGCATGCGGGCGCTTCTGACTCCTACTGACCCTGACTCCCATTGACTTACACTGGAATATTGTGGCCCCACTCTCTATTACTGATACTGTGAGCCTCATCATTCTGGTCTTAAAATGTTTGTAGTATCCTGCTCTACATGATCCTGGTGATTTTATTTCCTATTTTGTCCATTTAAAAAATCATATTCATAACCGCTAGCTTCATTTGAGCTTCATTTGGGTGGAGCCAAATGTTATGAGTGATGTCACACTCACTTAGTCCACTTCTTTATACAGTCTATGTATGTTAGTACCTAAAAAAAATAATTTAATCTAAATTCTAAATTTAATTAGATAAAACAAAAAACGCTGAATCCTGCCAACTGGACAAAGGGAAGGGAGGTGCTAACTACACTCAAACTAACACACCCTAGTTGTATACAATAATGACTCTTTGTTATTAGTAAGATAAATAAAAATACTTTTGGTCCATAAGACCTTTTACAATATATCTATACTGGGGCAAAACAATTGTTTTATTACCTACAATATTTAAATAATCTTGCATGCGAAAAATCTGTTTTTGTATTCTCTCTATTCTGTAGTTCATATCTGCTGCCCAGACCCTCCAGACACTCATCCACACATCCACACATACCCTTAGCAGCCAGAGGCACGGTGGTCAGGTCTCTGGAAAAGTTGAGCAGCTCAGGAAAGTGCTGGCACAAGGACTTGGCCAAAATGTGGAGGAAGGTGGATTTCCCATCCACAGTTTTGGTCGTGCTCAGCTGCCAGAGGATAAGGAGGGATTGAGACATCGTTCAAATTAAAACCAAGTCAAATGAAACTTAGAACATGGTCTTACCTCAGTTAGAAAGTTGATTTTAAAACTAGTGGTTCTGTTGCTCTTGGGCTGCCCGTTGTTTAGATAATTCCCCATGGCAAGAACAAACTGCAGAAAAAAGCATATTGTTAAAAGTAATCATTAAATGGATTCATTATTGGTTAGTGTTGAGTGAGTGTTACCTCGAGGATCTTGGCCAGTTTCTTGCTGCTCCTGAGCTCCACTGAAGCCTTGAAGACATAATCAAAAGCCACCTTCATCTCCTCCATCTTCTCCTGTAGGGTGGTCTTAAAGTGCAGACTTCTCAGACGAGTTTTGTACTCAGGGACCCTCAGCATCTGAACCACACATAATCAACATTAAGGTTAGAGTCTGAACAAGGAATTTAGGTGAAAATAATATTGTTTAAAGGTTCATGTTGTGCGTTTTTTGATCTATGATACAATTCTGTTTTCTCATCAAAACGTACAACATACCTGGAGTTTTGTTTCATTCACACATTTAACGCAAATTCTGCATATTAGGATGAGTTCCTCTCTCAGACAAACCTTGTGATGTCATGTGGTATTACAGGAAGTGCTCCATTGTGTTTTTACTCAAACATGAATGAAACAAAACACAACTCTGGGTATGTTTTGAGGAGGTAACAGTATTCTAATATGGCTTAAAGCTCACAGAAGTAAATTTTGCGTAATATAGGACTTTTAAGATTATTTAAATCTTATTAAAGGGGGCACTATGTAAGTTTTTAGATAGAGAGTCTTAAACTGTCTCCATGATGATGACGTTTAGCCTGGAATGCTTCACAAAATGGCATAAAACATCACAATATCCAAGCAGTTGTCTCCTCTAAACCACATATTTTAGACAATGAGATGCTTGAATAAACGAAAGATTAAAGTTCAGTACCATACAGTGGAACATACCAGGTAAAGCAATGACATTTTTATGAAAAAAGGAGATGATCGACCCTCCATCAGAAAAGTTACTTATCTTTATAGCTGTATAATATGAGAAAAAAATATTTGTATATGCTCCAGTCCAACTTTTTCAGTTCCAGTAGCGATAGTTTGGATTGAAGTATCTGTCAGTACCCATGTGAACCAACACAAGTGCAGAGACTAAAAGTATACATTGTTTTCCATTAGAACAAACATAACTTATAATAAATATGTTATGTAACTGTAAGTTATGCTTTTATAACTTTAAGTTCAAACTCAGAAAAAATAATTGTATTGCACTTCAGTGACCCTTTAGTAGAGGTGGAAACATTCTCCATGGAGACAGATGAGTTTTATGCCTGTGGAAGATTAAAGCCAGCCCCACTTCCATTGAAACAAGCAGGAAGAAGCCCTGCTCCAGGCCAAATATGAGTCAGGTTTATGGAGAGGCAAGCTCAAAGTAAGGACACATGTTTTTCAGCGGCATAAAAACATCCATAATGAATTTCTGATTTAGTTACCTTCTCTATCTAGACTGAGGCATCCCTAGTATAATTAGAGTGTAATATATTCTTACAACAATAATATCCAGTACTGCACACCCCTGTAGGCGTGCACACAGTACCTGGTAGATGAAGTGGTCAGGAGGGCTGAGCTTGCCAGGGTCCTGGTCGTACTGCTGGTACAGGCTGACCTCGTCCTGGTCTGGCGCATACAGCAGCAGTTGTTTGATGTGGGCAGGCTCCAGGCGATCGGTGGACATGTTCATCAGGACGTCTCTGAGCTCCTCTGGGGACAGCTTCAGGTGGGCGATCAGGATGGCTGCAGAATTTACATGTGTCAGAGCAGAACGTACAAGAGACGAAATGTTCTCCAGTGTGGGGATGTTATTACGTGATGTGATGTTTATCTGGTTTATAATTTGTGTTCAAATCAAATTTTACACTATGATTAATCATAAGTAATATATCAGAAGCTGTTGAAAATGATCGTGTGGGAACTGGAAAACTTATACCACATTTCTACATTTAGTTTTGGGTTCATCACTTCATATTGTATTTCATACTTAATTAATGAAGACATTGTGCTTGTGTCTGCTATATAGTTATTATCTCTGAGACCTGTGGATCATTATGTTATCATTTGGACATTTTCAATCATAATATTCCTCTTAAAATGACTTAATAAAAGAAACAAGTTCGCTGACTTCCACATTAGAAAACTGTAGTGCTCAATGGAAGCAGATGGCGCTGCAAATGTCATCACAACAAAGAGCTTTGTATGTGTCAGTTCTCTCCTATGGATAGCTGCAGATCATTCTAAAAAGCAACAGATTTTTTTTCCCATTTCTACCAAAATGACTTTGTGACACTGCCAAATCCTACACATATCACAGATGAAGAAAATAAAAGTGGCCTTATGGTGGCGGCGGTGAAAACTGTTGATCATGAAAATGGTGTCTTAAAAATAAGCCATTAAAAATATTGCTCAAACATGCAGAAATAGACAAAAGTTTACTGAATGCCATTGTTTTTGTAATGTGTCGAGTCATTTTTAGAGTTTGCAGAAAATCAGGCCTTTTCATAAAGTAATTCACTTTACATAGAATTTATACTCTGAGCAGAACGTACCAGAGACAAACTGTTCTGCTCTGTGGTGACTGTCCATTCGTGCCTTTTTTATTTAGCTTTCCCTTTGTGTTGGTGTTAAAACAGAATTGTACAGTATGACTAATCTTTGAGTAATATGTTGGAAGCTATTCAAAATGACCATGTGGGTACTGCTTATAAGACAAAACCTACATACACATTTGTTGTAGCTGTTTTATCATCTAAATAGCTATTGTAATCCCCCATGGTAGAAAAGGAAATAATCTTTTTAACATTGTATCTGACAAATATCTATCTATGTTTTGAAAATGGAGAGGTTTCATCTGTCATTCAGAAACTATTATCAACCTGAAAGTGCTAAGAATTTATACAGCCATTCATTTGCTTATGGACATCCATTTCAAATGTATTTCATAATGAATGCACCTCGTTTCTAATGTATATACGCCTACTTATATTTTACTGTACAAAAATACTTAACTATAACAACTACATTATCATTTCATTGTATGTAAACCTGATTTGTTATAGTTATTACCTGGTCCCCGAAGGGTTGACCAGGTTTTGTATTCATCCTCTGTGTCTGTGTGTGTGTGTCTGTCCACCTGTGATAATTCCGCCATTTATGGACCGACTGTCACCAAATTTAGTCCGTGGGTCAAGCCCCCGTGGCCGATGCCGCAAAAATTTTTTATGACGATCCGAGGTCATTTGAGGTCACATGGGTCAATTGAAAGGTCACACCATTATAAAGATAGGCAATTTGTGCAATTTCTGAACCTGTGGGCTAACAAATGTCATAAATCTAAATCTGTGCGCTAAAATATTCACCCAATCATCACACAAATTGAAACAGACATAACCGGGGTATGGGCTGGGATCCTCATAAACTGGCTTCCGTGGTGATGAACTGCCCCCACCGATGCCTCATGGGGGACCAGGTTGCTATCTCTGATGGAACTTGTTTTATTCATATTTATCAGAACCCTATTTGCCTTATACTTGTGTGTAGACTTGGTTTGATCCTGTTGTAGTCTTGGTTTAATTCTGGTCTAATCCAGGTTTAGTTCTGGATTAAGTTTTAATTTATATGTAGTGTGTGCAAATGTGAACGCACCATTAGTCTCATGAATTTCATTGTTCTTCTAAAATGGATAGAAGGAACTGTCTTCCTTTAAAACATTTTCCTTTTGTTGCTCTGCAGTACACAGACCGTAGTTCAGATACTCACATGCGTTGTAGGCTTTCTTATGGGACAGGATCTCCACCACATCTTTCTTCTTAAAGTTGTCAGGTGTGAAAGCTGGTTCTGGAGGGGAGACTGAGCATTTTAACAAGAGTTTAACATGGGCTCTCCGGGCACCAGGGAACTATCAGCTACACACACAGGCTAACAACCAGCCGTTTGGACTGTGCTGTGGTGAGGGGGTGGTGCCGTACGGAGAGAAGATGATACAGTGGACAAAGACAACTGTGAATGCATCAACAAGACAAGTCAGTATACACAAACTTCAATCTGTACTTCAGTGTACTTTGTTACAACCCGACTAACAAACTACTTAATTTATTAACTTACTTTCTATCATTATTAAAGCAGAACTAAACCCTTAATCAACTTTTTTGATAACATTTTTAGCAATGATACCTTTTGTTGTTTTCTGTTTATGATCTCTGTGAAGTACTTTGGAAACAACTTAGTTTGAGAGTTTTAAATCTCGTCTGAAGACCCACTTTTATTCTCTGGCTTTTAACACCGCGTGAGTTGTGTGGTCCTCTGTGTCTTTTATTATTTTTATGTGTTTTTATTGGTTTTACTGATTTAATTTATTTATTGGTTTATTTATTTCTATTCTATGATTTAGTTTTTATTTTTATTTTACTGGTTTTATTATTTTAAGACTAGTATTACTTTATCATCTTATTGTTGTTATTTTTTATGTATTTGTGCAGCACTTTGGAAACAGTTTGTTTGTGAAATGTGCTATAGAAATAAAGTGGATTGGATTGGATTGGATAGTTTGTAAAGTGTGCTATAAATAAAGTGGATTTGGATTTTACTTAACAGTGTATATGGTGTAAATAGTATTGTCCAAGTTTCCTGGTCCATAGTTTGTTGTCAGTTTTAGGTCAAACCAGGTAAATTTGTAGTTCTATTTGCAATGTGTGTGGGAAAGGTGTAGGTGTTTAGTCTCACTCTAATTTTCATTCTTTTGTATAATAAATATCAAGGTTACTTTACTTGTACCATCAAGTATGTTTCCAGCTAGACTTTTCTGTGGGCATCAGAACTAAAAATGTTTTTACTTGTCAACATAAAATTGCATAAATCATGGTTCCTCCAGTTATAGCAATAAAGCACTAAGTAAGAATGCAATAAATTTTAATTATTATTTTATACATTGTGGTTTAAGCTACTTTTCCCCTCCCTGTCCTATAATATAGTAAACAAATAAAAGCTTGAAATGAATTGTACATATAAATATGATGGTTGATGAAAAAGCAGCAGCAGACAAATGGAAAAAAAAAAAGAATTCACAACTTACTGCATCGCCGCTGTGTCCCGAAATGGAGATCAAGGTCCAAGTATTTCACCATATCTGTCAGCTTGTCATACTCTGAATCTTCTCCGAGCTGCATGGAAACAAAATGCACATTTATAATAAAACACATAGAAGTCTGGCTGTCTAAAACATAGTGGACTACAGTGAGTATTAGTAAAAAAAAAAAAAAATCAATATATCTCGACACCAGAAACGTGACTCATTGCCGTGGCGACATGGTGGATGAGTTGCTCTGTGGAGATGTGGGAGGAGCGTGAAAAGTCACAGTCCGGGTGGTGAGATTCACAGGTAAGGCTGCTACGCGTTCATAACTGGATGTGTGTTTTTTTTAAGTCAGATGGTACATTTACATGGCCTGTAGAAATAGGATAACGGGGTAATCAGATAACCCTAAGAAGATCTGATTTTTGGTGTGATCAGAGAAATCTGATCATAAAACACCTGGTGACATTGCCAGTTAATCGTGGATTTTCAGAGTAACGGTTGTACAGTATTTGGAAGACAAAGTACGATGAATATTAAAGATGCACTATGCAACTTTGTCAACATGGAGATGTAATTACTTGCCTGGAATCATTTACAGCATGGTGTTAAACTAATCTATCTTGCATGTATTCAGTTTAAGGTGTTTTTATTGCTCAAAAATTGCACTTAAATAAATAAAACCGACATTCTTACTGTGAGTGGAGTCACCTCTCTGTAGATCTGATCTGTAATTTGGCCTAGATAAGTTTAATACAATACTGTGGAACATTCCAGGCAAAATCATTTCTATGGAGATAAAAGAAATCTGATTATCAGGTCTAACTGTTTACATGACAAGCACATTTTTGGTGTACATATAAGAAGCCAGTGTTGCCATGGATACTCACCTGTCCCCAGATGGTGCCCTCGGAGTTCTCCACCTGCTCCCAGCGCAGCCTCTTCACGCTCATGTGGTTGGGGTCCGAGGCCTGTCCCGGAGCCGGCAGGGGTGGGGGCTCACACGGAGGGGGCAGTGGGGGAGGAGGAGGTGGAGGAGCCTGGGGGAAGATTGAAATGGGATTTGAGCAAACTTTCTAGCATGTTTATAAAATGCTTTACATAAAAAATGTATCCAGATGGTGTTCCAAGTTCCAAATGCACCTGAAAATATGTAACAAATTACTGCTATTTCAAATTTGTAGTTTTACAGATGTTAGAAGAAAAGCAAGATGTTTTTGTCAATAGCTCATTTTGGTTTACTTGAACAAACATCTTTGCTAACAGCTAAATTATCACAGCACTGAAAGCTCCGCCATTAAATTTTTTGAAAAAAAATTTATTGCAATGAAAAAAATAGACAAGCATGTATCATTACTGTGAGTGGGACTGCACTGCCACAAACCTAACTCTTACTTGGCTAATTATTCCACATTATGAAATTTAAAGCATAAAACTTGTCTATCTTCCACTTCCAGAAAGTTGCGAAGTGTTACTTTAAATATATTTTTGCAGCTATCCAAAAACATACTAATTAGCTGATCATTTGTTGAGATTTGTTATATTTTTATTGTTGCAAAGTGAGACTATAAGAGAGTAAAGTGTTAAAAAAGTGTAAAGGCTGCCACACACTACAGGATTTTTTGGTCTTAAATGATTTTTTAAAAGTGCGACATAAAATGTACACCACAGACACTTGGAGAATCTTATGAGACTTAAAATCTCCGATCGCAAAGACTGCTGTGTGATATGTCTGTGGACCACAAGCTTAAAGTTGTGAGCGCAAGTGCGTCAGTGGTTTCCTGTCTACAGTAAAACCATTCGCTTTGAGACTTGTAAATATTCAAAAAGATCAGAGAATTGCACTGCTAGTTTAGATGCAAGTCAAAACTATGTTATTATTATTTGTGAGATGTGGTGCAATACTTCAGATACATGATTTTTAAAGCACATCAGGTTGGTGATAAAGTACAAAGGAAGGAGTCACTATCGCTAATCACCCCAATCCACACGCTGTGTGGATGTAAACAGACACACATGAGGAACTACTCTCGCCTTTTTACTTTTAAAGAATACTTCCAACTGAATTACCAGCACTGTTTTGTGGACTGGGTGTTATTATTTGCGGAGGATAAATTCTATGGATAACATGAATGAAAATACTACAGTTTAATAATAATTTTTGCTATTTCCTTAGTTTATATATTGTACCTCTGTGTCTGTCACTCCGTTTGCCGCTGACACTCTGTTTTATTGGCTGTTACCGTAGAGTTGCTGATGTTTGGTGGTTATAGTTTGACAGAGCAGCTCAGATTTGCACCACACACATGAAGAAAGCAGCAGCTTTACAATCGCACACGAAGACACAAAGTTGGGTCACGCCTCCACAAACTCGGGGAGAAGCAAATCGCAGCCAAAATCAGGCAAATTCTCCTGTAGTGTGTGATGGCCTTAAAATTAGACCAACTTTTTATCTTTCTCGTTGCTAGGTTTTAAACGCCTTGGCAATGTGCACTCTTGAAGCTCTTGTCAATGCGACAGTTAAAACAGCTGTTCTATTTTTAACACTGCAAGTAATTAATTATGTATAGCCAAGTGTTTATACAAGACTTTTTATATTTGATACATCTTTTTAATGTGTTTCTTATACTATGCTAACACATAATAAGAGGGCACAATACCGGTTAGAACTAAAAGCGCTATTCTATTTCTCTGCAGTTTGCTTATTGATACTTTACAATGACAACAAAACCTTTTTCAATAAAAATGTGAGAGCGACTAACTCTACCTCACTAGCTTAAAATGATTTGAGAGGGATTTGTTTAACACTACAAATCAGTTTACCTGCAGTAGTCAGTTCTTTCTGGTCAAATTGTTTTGAAATAAAGCTCATATTAAATAAAAATAAAGTCTTAGACAGAGAATGCCCACAGCTAGCATCACCCCGCCCCACTCCCCCATGTTGATGACATGAGCAAAGTATCAACAGACTTCCAGTTACCTGTGATGATGGCTCCTGTCTGCTCTCGTAGGCCTTGCTGTGTCCAGGCAGAGTGGAGGTGGAGCAGGGCCCTGTGTTCTGACTCCCCTGTGTGGTGCAGTGGTCTTTGAGGGAGGGGGGCAGCGCGCCCTGGTAGCTGTGCTGGTGGTGGAGCTGGTGGTGCCTCTGGAGCACCACCTGACTGGGGCGGAGCACCTGTGGAGAGGGCTGTGGAGAGGTGGAGGTATGGAGCAGAGGCTGGGGTTGGCTCAGCTGACGGGGGAGGTAGCGGTTGGGGTGGGCGGTGCGGAGGGTGCCGTGTCCCTGAGAGATGCGCGTGGTGGGCTGGAGGCGGGGCTTCTTGTCAGTCTTGTGGAGTGGGGAGCGGCTGGAGAGCAGCGTACGGGGCGGCGGAGGGGGCGGTGGGATGATGATGGGATGATGAGGCTGGAAGGGCATCCGGCTGCGGGGCACGTGGTCGGGGGAGAAGCGCACGGGTGGGTGGGGGTCGGTGAACTGGACGGGAGGAGGGATGAGGGACTGGAAGGGCGGAGGGGGAGGTGGGCTCTGGGTGGGGGAGGGGGGATGGGCTCTCCCTCGTCTGAGAAGGTGGGAGAGGGTGCCTCCTCACCACCACTGCTGTGGCCCTCACTGCTCTCACTGCTCAGCTGCCGAGGCACGAAACCCCCATCCTGCTCCTCTGGGAAACTCATCTGGAACACAGACAAAACTTGTTATGACATTTGTTTGGAGCCTTAGTGCACTTTTTAAAGTGTAATATTAATCAAATGAAATGTAAACAATATCTTAAATGGCTACATCACAAAGCTGGTGTAGGCATCTTCATTTTGTGGACAATAAAAATTATTTCAACTGTATTCTTTCTTCAAGGTAACAAGTATTTTTGAATACTGCCTACCACACCTTTAATGATATTGCAAAGCATTCAAAAAATATCAAATAAAAACTTTTAAAATTAAATAAAAATTAAATTGAAATAATAATATGTAGGGCTACACAATTTATTACAAAATAAATTCTTTACCTTTATCTCTTAACTTTTTTAAATATTTTTTTTAATGACATTTGAATTTTTTCAAATTTGTTTGTCATATCCATATATTGTGCAGCCCTAGACCGTCTTTTACATCACTACAGTAGCAACAAAAATCAAAAGATACCCCAACACATGTCGATTTGCTTTTAAACCTGCCCATGCATTTACAAACCTATGTTACTCCTTATAATGATCGACCTCCATAAACACGATTTTGTTTCTTTTTTACACTATACAAACACAAAAGCACCTTGACAGTCACTAGACTCCTGTGTAGCGTTCATGCACGGCGTCTGCTCTACTCAGGCGGATGGAGGTATAAATAGTTCTATGTGTAGGTTATGATTTACTTACTGGAACACCTCTTCTTCTGAAACCATGACAACCACCTTGATAAATCTGTTCGTGTGACACAAGTGGAGCGCAGTTTAGAGCTCCTCTATTGGATCTGTCCAACACTACAACACCATATATATAATGCATCTAAACACATGTGTAAGTAAGATGTACTGCTGAACCACGCTATGTGAGCTATTCGTAGAAGTAGAGTCAGTGCTTTATCAGGATGAAAATGGAGTGAAAGAAATCTTAGCACAAGTCCACAAATTTGACAGCACAGAATGAATTATTAAGAAATCTGTAATACTACACAATTGTCCAATGTCAGCAATTTTTTTTAGTACCACTTTGCAAAATGTTCTGTTTAGAAATTTGGTTTGCAAAAAGTTAGAAATAGGCTACCCCATGGAGTAACAAATCACATAGCAAGTCAACAGCAGAGTGATCAGAGTTTTTAAAATCACTCTGCTGTCCTTCCTTTTGCCACCTGCCACATATGGTAGTTACTGCCTGTAACTAGCGCAATGTAAGTGTAGTGTCTTGCCCAATGACACAGCGTTATTCTTCACATGCTACTAAACTGGATACATGGTGTTCTAATAGCATTATCTACTGTCATGTTTTGGGAATCTTTAGTGTAAAGGTAAATTTGCAGCTTTAGTTAAAAACCACAAAAGTCTTTGCTGCCTTCAGTGGCCTCTATAAATTCCAGTAATTGGTGACATCATTTCTGATTGCAAACATTTTTGCCTGCAGGGGCGGAGTTTGAAGTGTGGATACCTGTTTGACCAATCACAATGTTCTTTATATCTCGAGACCCCGCCCTTCCTCCCCCCTCACTCTTTTATTTAGTCCTCCAGGGGCTGCCCAGCACTGGAGTGTAGGTGTTTAGTGCCACTTTGATCTCTGTGCTCTATACTAGAATTGTTCAGGCAAATAGTTACTTCTAAAGTGGTTAATGCTAAGACATAATTTGTTTAGCTTTCATATTAACAGTTAACATATTAGCATCACACATACTCCCCCCTCACCTCCTCATAGTCGTTCTCCTCCACCCCATCCACCAGCGTGACCCTGTGGCCCAGCTGCTCGCTCAGGGCATCTAGGAACTTGTCAGTGTCCCTGCTGCGGGGGGGTCTGGAGAAGGTGAAGAGTTTCTTTCTACGGTTGAGAGTGTTGGGTGCTGTGTCGCTGTCCGGGTGCGGGGGCGACGGAGGGGGGCTCTCCAGGCTCACGTACGGGTTAGAGTCCACACTGCTCTGGTGAGGCAGACCGTACACCTGAGAGGGGAGGGGCTCCTTCCATGACAGGGAGAGGCCTGACTTACGACCTGAGGAGAGGAAATTAGTTTGTTTTCAGAGCCGGTGGCACATTTTGGATTAAGAAGGCACCTGTCCCAAAAACAAATGTTGTAAATCATTTTCTTCAGCATTAATTACTATAATTAACTTACTATTCAAATACACAGAGGTGAGAGAAAATTGTACTCAAACAAGAGTAACGTTACTTCAAAATAATATTATTCACGTAGAAGGGAAAAGGGAAAGCAACTACTTAAGTAAAAGTAAAGTAAAGAGCAACTATTGGGATGTAACATCTGATTTATAATTTAAAGTTAATGTAATTTAACATTAAATAATGGAAAACATATGGTATTTTCAAAGGATTTTTTAAAACATTATATCTGAAGAGCGTAACAAACACAAATGTTCAAATCATTTCATAGACAGAAATTGGATGTGTGAGAAGAATTTTGTAAATTAAATTTAAATTTGCCAATTTCGTAAGCTTTTTACTTACTGACAGTGGGAAGAGTAAGTATGTATGTTGCAAGAAAATTACTCCGAAAAGTACAATTTCTTTAAAAAATGTAACTGAGTATTACCCACCTCTGTTTACAAAGTATTAGTAAAACTGCATGCAGTAAAGGTGCAGTGTGCAGTTTTTCTATCTACCATGGTAGTATTATTGTTGTTCAGCACTTTAAGCTTAGGCTGTGTTATTTTTTATTAGATTGAAGTTTTGTAATCTTAGTGGTTTTTTATCAATCAGTCAAACACAAATGTACTTTTTCTTTTGTAGAGTTCTTGGGCTCTTGTAGCAGATGAAAAAAGCAGGTAGTAATGGACAATTTGGAAGCTTTCAATTTTATGATGACAATAATGTCTTCCATCTGTACTGTGGTTGTGTTCTAATCTTGGCAAGCCTCTTAAAATCATAGTCCTTATTTAGTCATAAAAATACTGGTAACATTTTACACACTGCACCTCATTGCACATTTTATACTTCACTTAACAAATGTGCAAAATAGTTGTTCTACCTCTACAACACAAGTATATGAAAAGCGCGGTGGTTGGTCATACCCAGAGTACCCTTGAGTGGGGGCAGGGTGAGGGGGGAGAGAGGGCGGCTGTAGCCCTCTCCCTGGCTCTCCGGCTCTCCCGTGGAGCCGTGTAGTGGAGATGAGTCCTTCTTGACCGGGTACACGCTCTCCAGCTCAGTGTAAATACCTGTCATCTAAGGGTGGAAGCATGTGAGCTGTTAGCATAAGCGCTTATAGGCTGGTTTTGAAGGCTGCGAAGAATGACTCAAAATTCTTGCTGTTTATCTTGGAGGCGGGACTTAAAATAATTAGAAAAAATAGAGGTTCTGTGGTATTAGATTACAGATTAGGGGTAGTTTATTTCAGAAGGCATTATGACAAAGTGAATTACATATTTTGTATATTGACAAGAAAATAAAGTAACCAAAATTATGTTCCAAGTCATAACCTTAAAGTGCATATGAGACAATTCTTTAAAATGTACTTGGACAATTTTGGTGAACTTTACAGTTTTTGGTTGGACGTGTGCATCAGATACATACGTAGATGTAATCCCATGACTGATACTTAGCAACCATACTGTAAATAAGGACCAAAGCTCATCAAATTTATTATTTATCATCAAATAAATCATTGATTTTTTATTAATAGTTATTATTTGACAACTAAAGATACTAGGATAATACTGTTCTTTGTAATTTATGCACAAATATTTTTGTGTAGTGAAGATTGCTTTTTAGAACTCTCTCTTTAGACCTTCCTGCATTCCTCAGCATTTCATATTTCATCAGCTAATTGCCTCTTGGCTCTTAAATCCGTGATAAACATTTACCGCATATTTTATCACACCAAACAAAGTCATAAGTAGAAAAACATAAAAACCTCTCATATCTGCTTTAATCCCAATTAAATTTCTCGGCTGAACTTTAATCAGACAATTACACGATTAAATTTAAATGTCACAAGAACCCCAAACGTACACCAGAGAGTATCCATGGTGACATCCTCACTTAAACCCGAGACAAAACAGCAAGAATGTATTGAGCTAGGACTTAGCCTGAGCAGACCTTCAAACATTAGCACAAGAAGCATTGGCTGACCGTAGCACTTATACCTACATGATTGAGGTCAGGGGATTCTGGGAAGGAGGTCCCGTCTCCAGACTGCCTCTCCTCTGAGCTCTCCACCTCGTCCAAATGAATTCCTACAGCACAATAAGGCGTGAAGAATGACACAGCTAGGTACTGTCTTTCATCCAACTCCAAAAGAGAAGATGAAACAGCACAAAGCGATGGAGCCTCAAAAGCACTTATTTGAGTAGGATAAAAGCAAGCATTATCATATTTCTGGCCTCAAAGCATAACTGGCTAAGTCATTTTTGGGTTTTTTGAGTTGTTAAGTGTGATGTCACTTCCAGGTCCATCATCTGATTGAAAATAATCAGCAGGTTTACAATGAACTCCTTTAGAACAGCAACACATCTCCCGTTAAAAAAAGATGGCAGTCATTTAAAGCTAGCAAGGTTATAAGCATGGATCTATGCTTTTAACTGTGACAGAAAGTGTATGAGAGAGGTCGAGGCTAGATAGCACTGACAGTCAATTAGTGAGAAATATACACACTGGTAATCCTATATAATGCTAGATGATTACTACATTATTTATATATTTGAGTCAATTTGTTACAGATTTGATTCCTTCTTTTGAACAGTAATTGTCTCTTGTCTAATGAATAAGGAACAAAAACAAGTTTCTGTTTGAACCCAGAAGTAACATCATCTTTTAACAACCACCAAGACCATGCTGCATCTGTAGGTGTAACTGGCTCTGTTCTCGGCCAATCAGAAAGATTTTTACAGACTTACAACACAAACCGCCTAAATCAACATCTTGACTGAGGTAGTTTATTTTTATACTTCACCAAAAAAAAAAAAAAAAAACTTGAAAAATGACTCAGGCAATTATGCTACGAAGTTAACAATAAACAGATTCGAATATAAACGCTATTGTACCCAAGTGTGCTGACCATTGCAAAAACACAGCCTGGCAATAGCTCCTCAATGGGATATTCGAACCAAAGTTGCAATTACCATTTTTCATTTACGCCCAGAGATTTCAACCCAACAGACGGCAGCGCAATACTGGCTAACATTAAAAATTAAGGCTGTGTTTTGGTCATTTGGTCTCTTATAAAGTAGTATAAAGTATATGAGTTAATGCAGGTCCCATACCCATCCCCAGGTGAGTGCCGATGATGCAGTCGTCTGAGCTCCTCTCTCGGACACTGCCCCGGTACGATGAGCCGCTGATGCGCATAGAGCTGCTCCTCCTGTGTAGTTCAGGTCCGTCGGGATCCAAAATGGCTGCAGAGGAGAAAATATATTAGATTCATTTGGGGCTTTGTAGAAGTTTTGCAGTAAATGTTACGGGGATGTTATTGTGTTTTTATTGAGCTACTTTGTTGTGGCCTTTGGAGACTTGCTATACAGTGTGATACAAATAAAGGCGGCCTGGATGGGCTTTGTAAAACACTATTCATTTCCGTCAATTATTTAAAGGTACATTATGTAACTTTACTGATTGCTCATTGTGTGTTGCTTGTCTTAGTAGAAATGTTATTTCTTTGAATGTTCCACGGTATATTAAACCTATTATTCTTGCCTTTATTCTGTTATAATAATACATTGATAAACAAGCATAAGGAGAGCAGGCTCACATTTCCACAGATCTGACCTGTAACTTGGCTTACTAGTGTCATCTCCTTGTCTTCACAGAGATAAATATGTTAACTGCCATACTGTGAGATATTCAAAGTAAGGGTATAACATGGAGACAATTAGGTGACATATCGCAGACCCTCTACCCTGAAAAGTTACATAGAGCACGATTCATTCGTAAAAGATTTAAAAACACTGCTACAACTTTATAAAGAATATTATGATTGAGTGATGGTTCTGTGTTTTAGCCCCTTGTTTTGCAATGTTAAAGCTTTACAACTATGGTTTCTGATTCAAGTTTATTTCATTTATACAGTTGTTAGATGAGGCCAGTGCCAGTGGTAGTTTAAGCTTTAGAATTGGTTCACTAGGTTTATTTTTTGCTTAGTCCATCCATCCATCCATCCATCCATTTTCGTCCGCTTATCCGGGGCCGGGTCGCGGGGGCAGCAGCCTAAGCAAGGACTCCCAGACTTCCTTCACCCCAGACACGTCCTCCAGCTCCTCCGGGGGGACCCCGAGGCGTTCCCAGGCCAGCCGAGAGACATAGTCCCTCCAGCGTGTCCTGGGTCTTCCCCGGGGCCTCCTCCCGGTGGGACATGCCCAGAACACCTCCCGAGGGAGGCGCCCAGGAGGCATCCGGAACAGATAGTATTATTTAGTAGTAGTATTTCTTCTAATAAATCTTGTACGATTTAAAAAAGGAACAACTACTGTATGTCCTCCAGTGTCCTTCCAAATACACATGACTTCTGGCCTGGTCTTATTTCTCCTGCAACTCTCTCTTGATGATTGGTGTTTAGTGACTCACCACTGCTCTTGAAACCTAGGAAGCGAGACAGCTTGGTCTGGCAGCGGCCCTGTTCCTCATAGGTCAGGAGCTGATAAATGAACTGCCAGATGAGCTGCTTGGCCGGAGTATCCAGCACCGGAAACACGTCTACTATCAAGGTGTCCACATTCCTGCAAGCAAATAGATGTAGTGTTACTGGTGGTGTCACAATACTAAAATTTCAAACTCGATTTCGATACTAACAAATACACTGGATACTCAATACTGATTCACATACCATGATAATAATAAAAAACATCCTCACTCACTTTATTTAGAGAATGTAACTTTCAACATTAAATCATTGTACTTTCTGAGAATATGACTTTTTTTAGTATCAATACTTCATCAAAATAATATCTAGTTCCGATAGTAGTTTTAGTATCGATTAGTATCTGATTTTCAACACTTCAAAGAACTCTAACTGTTACTCCTTTGGTCTTGTTCAATTATAGGCAAGCAGCAGTTTGTTGTACAGAGCTATTTTATATTCATTAAATGCAGCAAAACAACATATTTATTCTGCCACTTGTTTACCCTGGGAACACAATTTAATCAATGCTTAGTGGTGACGCCTACATAACCAGTTCATCTGTATTTCATGTTGCCATTCCCTATGCTTTCCTCTGCAGTGGAACAACTCCCTACTGCGGCCCTCCTCTGTACGCAGTATACTGTAAAAGTACAGTTTCCACGGCAACGGTTAATTCCTTCTTAAACTTTTTACTTGTCAACTTTGGAGGAAGAAGAAGAGGGCAGATACTGTGGCTATTAAGTAATTGGCTTGTTATAGCAGCATCATGCCGTAATTTGTTCACAGTTAGGAGTGATTAAAAGTTATAGTGTTTAGTATTGTAGTTTTAACTTACCTGTGCTGGAAGAAGGTCTCCAGAGCTTTGCAGACGTTGTATCGTTCTTGAATGGTCAGAAGATGTTCGAGTTGTTGGCTAAAGGTGCGGCCGTGGACTTTGATGCTCGGAGGGAGGATCTCTGCCACCCACTGTAAGGAGCTGAGAGCAGGAGATCTATGGAGCAGATGGAAGATGGTTACATTGACTAGTTACATAACAATTAAGTACCAGTAATATGAAACCACTCAAGATTTTTTTTAATCAACTTATTAACTATTTATTTGTCAATAAGGGTATGTGTATTTTTGTGTTTTCTAAACCATGTACACATTTGACTTCATAATTTGAAACGATAACTATAAGTCATCTGAAAATTATAAATAGTAGCTTTATTATTATTTATTATTTATAATAACTCCCTATTTACAGCCTTAATAGAGCATAAAGAAAGACTTAATTCACAAAGAAAAAAAAAGTATCAACAATGATTCAGGGGTTAGGAGGAGGATTAAGTAGTTACTAAGCCTGAATTATACCTAATACACTATTTCTTTCAAATTAAGGCTTTGTTCATACTTTATTAAGTGTTACAAATAGTTTTTTAAAAAGTAAAGTAAAAAAGCTGTATAACCTTCTCGGACCCAGGCTATAATGCATGAATCTCAAAAATGTCCCAAAAAGCTAGGGTTATGTAAACAAAAATCTGCTGATCAATGTGTATCTGATTCCTTTCCACCAGAGAATATGGCATCACAAAAGATCTGCAGCTGACACAGCGACTTTTGGGGACTTTGTGATCTATCAGTGTTACGAGAACAATGGTGCAGTGGAAAGAATACAATTACAGATACTCGCACCATATATCTTACCTGTAGTTGAATGAATCCTTTTGTCAGACGCTCACTTAAAACAGAGATACTATGCCCTAATTCTTCACATTGGTGGTACAAACCTGGATCGTGGCAGGGTGCTAGTGGCCACAGGGCTGGGTGTGTCCTCTGTCTCCATGTGCTCAGGTGAATAGTCTATAGACCCCTCCTCTACGACCAGGGTGGGAGCTGCTCCACTGCCCTGAAGCATGGACACCACCTTCTCATGAGAGCAGTTCCTACAACCACAACAATACAGAATTGTCATGAGTTAAATAAAGCAAAAGCATAAGTTCAACCAGGAAAAGAAAATTTCCTATTTTCTTACCACCCCATGTCTCCTGTCTGCCATTACTGGACAAATTATAGCTTGTGATTTAATTTGTGTCACATTTTTAATTAATTTTTTTGTCCAACTAAGGTTATTTATTGAAAGTTTATCTAATGTTGTAATACTACCCTTTGTACTTTACCTTACAATGTTCTATGTTGTGGGACAATTAAAGCCGCAGATTTTCAAACAGTGTAATGAAGTAAACATAGTTAAATCTACTCAAATTGCCCCGAGTTCTCACAAACCTTTTAGCGCATTGTTAATATTCACACAGCAGTCTGATTTTGTCACAAAGAGCTGCTTACACAATACACTCTAAGGGGAGAAACACAACATGTACTCATTAGCAAGAAAAAAGTCAGTAACCTATCTTAGAGGTTTCTTGCATTGCTACCAGCCTGTTTATCCTTTCATATTTAAATACACTGTCTTTTCTTCCATGTGTGACACAGCAGCAGAATCATCAGCCACTGCAGCCTCTCCATCTTCACAGCTATCAAAAAAGCTATCATTCTTTCCTTTCTTTCCTTTTTGTTGACATTGCTACCAATCAGAATCCAACCAAAGTATAACCCATCTATCCAAATATACATAATGCCTCATTTTGTCTCTCCTGGTTGAAAACATATACAGTACATTACATAACGGACACATTTTTAACCTTGGTATTAATCTGATATATGTTTCGCTAATTTCCTCCAACTGCCCTGACACTGTGAGCCCAGGGAAATTATGCAGCGCCAATCACATAATAAATTACATCATATGGCTATCAAGGTGAGGCATGAGTAATACTATTTGTTCTCACAGTATTTGCTACACCGGATGGAACGAATTATGTAATATATTTGATTTTATAAGCACAGTTCAGTTTCATCCACGATGCTCCTACATCTTTTAAAATCGTGAAAGGTCGGAAAGTTGAGAAGTCAGTGACTGAAGTTACAAAGTTTTTCTTATGCAATTGTTGTCAAATAAGAAGGCTAAACTTATCCATTTCATCTTTAAAGGTGCATTGTGTAACTTTTCTGATGGAGAGTCCGTCAAGTGCTTTTCTCCAAGAAGATATTATTGCCTTGTCTGGAATGTTTCACAGTATGATTCTATCTTCATGGAGACCAAATCAGACCAAGTTACAGATCAGATCTGTGGAGAGGCGACCCTGTTCACAGTCAGAATGCCTCTTTTTCTAGGTATATTTGAGCTTTAAATCCACCTATAATTGAACAAATGTAAGGTAGAGCTGTTTAATATCATACTGTGGAACATTCCAGGCAGAGCAATGGCATATCCATAAAAACAAGCAGGTAACGGACTCTCCACCAGAAAAGTTTAAAATCAACCAAATTCAACCACTTATTACTTCAATTTGATAAATTTTGTTGTTTTAGGTAAGCCCCAAATGTCTGGAAAAGTTGATAATCAATGAGAGGGTAGCTATTTGAAATCGGGTCAATATTATAGTCACCGGAAGCGCATCCAGTGTAAAATTTGCAGAATCTCAAAATGTATCTTTTCCTTAATGACGCTTAAGAGTACAGGAAATTCTTAAAATTTAAGTGCAGGAAACATAGACAGTTATGATGTGTTAATGCATTTTTAAACAGACAGTTTTAGTTTTTAGTCACAGATCACACATTTCTTCTCCCAAGTGACAAGATGCACCAAGTAAAAAAAATAATCTTTTGTTTCGATGGATTAAGTGCTTCAGTCGCTGCTATTTTTCAACCTAAATGTGATGAAGTGTCTCTGCCCACACAGCCTTTTAAGTACTGGCTTTATTTCCTCATATTAGTGTATTATTTGTCATTATCCAACAGGAACACACCTCATGTCGAGCCCATTGAGAAACAAGATTTTGTCGCCAGGTTTCAGTCCACACTCTTCGGCAGGACTATCTGAAAGACAAAGGTGACAAATAAGCTGTTACATCACGCTGAGGGGTTTTGCATGTATATCTACGACAGAATAGACACATTAGTAAACACAGCATGATAGCATAAGTTTAGATCATGAAAAAATACAAGATGGATTTAAACAACACATTTTTATCAACCTTCGTTAGTTCAGAATGATTGATTCATTGTTTTTTTAATGGAGTTTGTGCCAAGGGAGAAACAATAATCATACACATACTACATATAAATTGTAAACAACAGAAAAGCACATTTCTCGAAAAAGAAGTGGGAAGAAGAAAAACTTAAATTAACCCACCCCTGTTCTTACTGAAGCCTAACGTGCATAACAAAGCTTCAGACAGGGCAGTGCCTCCAATTAGCATCACTCCCCAGGCAATGCAGATGATCACGTATCATATTCATGTTGTCACTATACAAACATTTCAAACTTGATTTCAATACTAAGGAATAGACTTGATACTCAATGCCAATTCTGATAGCACAATGATAATAAAAAAAAAAACACTCTTTCTTGAGACAACAGAATGTGATTTTCAATATTTGATCATAGTACTTTTCTTTATATTACCACATGGCCTTATACTTGTTCTGATACAGCTCAAGATTATTCTAACTAAATACTTGTTTTAATATTGATCAGTATATGCTTTCCATATTTTTGACAACATTAATACAAATAACAAAAAGTCTGGTGAGGTAAAAATGTGTAAACAGACACAGAGAGATATGCAAAGGCAGATGTTGGTAATAAGATGCTGTCAATCTGTTTGTGGCACTGAAGGAGCCAACAGCAGCATAGATGAGCAGGACACTAAAGCCTGTTGCGTAACACAGCCCTGTCAAAACACTCCCTGGTGGAATCCTGGTGACTGCAGAGAGCCTGTCCACCAGCCTCCGTATCTGTCAACCACTTTGAATTCAGCATTGTTTTCGCCCAAAGATGTGGCATAATAAACTGGTTACAGACAATAAGGCAGACTTTCTATCTAAGCGGGATATTGCACTAGCTGTTTCTAGCTTATCCTTAAAAAACCTGTCTTTCAGTTGATTTTTCCATCGTGATTTTTGCTGTCAAGTTAAGGGACATTTTTAATAACTATCATTAAAGGGTCTATATTATGCTATTTTATGATTTGTTATAATGCTGTTTCCTCATCAAAAATATACCTGGAATTGTGTTTTGTTTCATTAACACATTTAACACACAAATCCTCCATATTTAGGCTGAGTTCTTCTCTCAAACACGAAACACTCTACCTTGTGATGTCATGCGGTAATACAGAAAGTGCTCCACTGTGTTTTTAAAGTCCATACACATTCACTAGTATAATTTTTTGTCCTGGAATAGCCGATCTCTACTGAACAAAACAGAATTCCAGTTATGTTTTTATTTTATTTGTATATAAAATGTTATCTTATTGCTTTGCTTGTATTGTCCAACGGTATGGTGTTACTTCTATCTCTATGGAGACAAGCAGATGACCCAACCAAGGCCAGGTAACAGGTCTGATCTGCGGAGAGGTAACATCATTTACAGTAAGAATGCTGTTGTTTTTAAATGCCTGCAATGGAATAAATTCAAAATACATAATTGTAAAAATGGTATATTTTAAGGAAGGATAACCAACTGTATACCGTTTCATACATGCTTTACTGTACAGACATGACAAAATACATGGTTTTGTGGTTGGCTAATTTGGGGGTTTTATAGAGCCAGTTTGCCACACTCTTACTAGAAGTCCTTTTTCCTTGACTAATTGAACAACATTTTACATTTTGCTGAAGGGTTGAACGTTTTGGGAAAAATATCAAATGAATTTAAATTTTCAGACAAGCATTGCGGTTGCAATTATGTTTGTGATTTATGTTTTAATAAAGGGATTCTGTTCAAAGTTCAGCTTTTAAACGCGCCCAGAAGACAGACAAAAGCATGAACTGAAAATGAATACAAAAACATTTCAAAACATGTCTATTCAGATCTAAACTAAAGGATTAGCAGTTTTTATGTAGAGGAAGACAGGGTATTTAGTTGTTTCTGGAGGAAATTATAGAACTTCCAAAATGTCATCATTCACTCTGCGATTTCGATTGCAATTACTCTTGAAACCCTAGTGCACATCTCTGCCCTCTCTCCGCAGTTAAACCCTCTCAGAGCAGATCACGACGCGAGACATGCCAGCCGCCCCCCGCTTCTCCATCACAGCCTCCATCACAGCCTCCATACGGCCCACTGAGTCAGGCAGCGGCCGGGGAGAGTGGGAGAGGGAGGGGGCGGGCACCATGGCGTCATCCTCCGACACAAACATAACACGCACCTAAAAAAACTGCTAATTCTCTCAACTTCACTAGATTACCCTGAAATAATTAATCCAACCTTTATTACGTTTATTTAATGGCAGAACGCTTTAAAGTTTACAGCCCACACCAAAATTAAGCTGTAATCATTTCTACACAATGCAATTAGTTCAATCAATTCCTTATTTCATATCTAGATGAAAATCAAACGTTATAAGGACTACCATAATGTCAATACATAATTAATGTACTTTACAAATAGCACTACTGGTGGAAAAAAGTCATATAAACATAGTCAGTGAAGTGGAACACAGATAGCTAGAAGCGCACTAGGCGGTTGACAGCTAATATTGTAGTCATGAGCAAAAATCTGTTCAGAATTCAGTAGTGATTAATTTGCCAATGAAAACATGTGATTTCTCATTCGTAGCCAAACTGGGCATCAACGAAAGAAAAAAAAGAAAGAAAAAATAGACATGCTCTGTTCTGTTAAACTCACAGTACAAACAACTCCAAAAGTATCAAAAATCAGATCCTTTTGATACTAAAGCTAGTATCGAAACTAGATACTTATTTGATCAAGTATCAATACAAAAAAAGTTACATTACATGACAATCTTTCCTGAATAGCTTTAGAATGATCTTGAGCTGTATCAGAACAAGTATAAGAGCACATAGACTAGTACACAAACGTGGATCACTATAGAACTTAGAACGGAAGAATTACATAGATATAAAGCCACATGTAAGATAAAAGAAAGTATACTGTGATTTAATGTTGAAAATGACATTCTATAGTCTAAACAAAGAGTAAATTATCATCGATACGAATTTCTTAGTATCCAAATTTCCAAGACAGTCAAAATGTCTTTGAATTTTTTTTTTAAATAAACAGACTGGAAATGTGAATACAAAATAATAGTACCTCTTTCTTAATTATTACTATGTGGTGTCATCAAGATTATGCTAAAACAGGGGTCTCCATCCTGTAGTTCGGGAGCTACGGGTAGCTTCCCTTCCAAGTAGCTCGCCAAGGTATTTCTGAATTATATGTATTGTGCTGAGTAAGTCAAATTTGATTTATTAAATGCCTTTTACTTTTGTACATATATCATTTTGATGCCTAACTTTTTGCAGTAATAAAATAATGATAATGGTTTATGTTTTATAGGCATCTAACTGTACCTCAGGACATGGCTCTTATATTTACTAAATTTCTTGTGACTGCTAAAACTAGTAGCTCTCTGGCATTTTTATTTTGTAAAAGTAGCTCACCAGAGGAAAAAGGCTGGAGACTCCTGTTCTAAAACTATTCAGAACCCAATTTGCCCGATACTTGTTCCAGTGAGTATCTCGATTCAGTACTTTTGTTTTTAGTATCCATTAATACCTTAACAATCATAACATCAACACAACAAGAATGGCACATTTCACATCAATGTGACCAAGATGTTCTATTTGGATCTGGAACAACATGCTAAGGCTACCACAGCAACTACTACATATGGCCTTGAGGTCGATTTTCTAGAAAAATCCAGTACATGTAACTGTTCATTCACACTCATTCACGGCGGGACCCTAATTAACCTTTATATATATATATATCTTTGGACTCTGAGAGGAAGCTTGGATGTGTCGACAGGGCATGTGGATTAAATGGACGACCTCCTTGCTGTGTGTGCTCCCAATTAAAAAAGAACCAAAAAAATGTTCTATAATATTGAATACTTATCCAGTTGCGTCATCTGTTTTCTTTACATTGTCCTGCCTGTCACTACAGCTAACAAAGAGAAGAATTGACTCATAGCTATTGTACCATTGTTGCCCTGTCATTGAACGGAATGTACCAAAACAAGAATATTTTATGTAACACTTGTACAAAGGGTCTACATTTTAAAGCAGATCTATTGACTGAAAGTGTCTCTCCTGAGCTTGCCGTGTTGAGTGGTCCCCTTATAACTGGTGAGTCAGACACATCCATATTAGTACATTTTGCAGATTTTACCGCATTTCCCACAATGAACCTGTGCGCCGACAAAAGACCATTTTTGGGTCAGACGGTATTGAGGTGGGCAGACGGGACGGCGACAGTACCTGGGATGACAGAATCGATGGAAACAGGAGCGTGGCCTCGAAGTGTGAATCCGAATGTCTTCTTTCCCCGGTAGACACGGACAATTCTGCACGAGAGATAAGATTATTCATTATTATTATAAATTTGTGTAATATAAGACCTTTAAATGTAAAGGGTAAAGGTATAATGCCTTCTTTCTCTAGATGTTATTAGTTTGCCTGAAATGTTCCACAGTTTCCAGTTAAACTTAACTATCCATGGAACCAAGCAGTTGACATCACTAGGCTAAGTTACAAGTTAGATCTGTGTCAAGGCAATCCCACAAACAGTAAGAATGTGTGTCTTTCAATATTCTTTTTAAAATAAATAAACCCTGTAATTGAATAAATGCAGATAGTAAAGTATACCTAGCTAACATTCCAGGCAAAGAAATAACATCTAAATAGAGAAAAGCAGGTGTCAGACTACCCACCACAAAAGTTACACCTTTAGTACAAATTTAAAGAACAAACATAAAATAAAATGAATGTTAGAAATGCCAATCATTATTTGGCAATTGCTTGTGTTGTGATGTCTGCTCTCAAATTTCCTGAAAATTATTAGAGGAGCAAAACACTCAAACAGATCTCAAAATTTGCATAGTGTCCGATAAATCATTTCAGTGAATAGTTTTCTTGGCTTTCTTTTACCCATTGACACTGTCGCTGCATAATTAAACTGGCTGCTCATTCTGAAAAGCATCATTGTCATTGCATTCATTAACACTCATTTCTGAATTGGACACCCTCGATTACAATGGAAGCCAAGCAGATCAGAAAATTTGAGCTTTTATTTGAGCGAGTGTCCGAGTGGAGCGTGTGACAGGGACAGTGCTGGTGTATGGGCAGCTGGCTCAAAGGCCTGTTGAATCGTCTGTTCTGTTGTTTTCACACGTCACTTCCTGTCCGTGGGAGTCTCACCCAGAGGAGATGTGACGCTCGCCAGTCCTCCTGCTGTCAGTGCCATCATGGGCTGTTTGTGAGCTCCGTAACTAATTACGCACAGATAACTACTACTACTAAGTCTGTTTTGATAAAGTTAAGGAAGTATACTGTACATGAGACAGATCTGGAACCTTGTTTCTATCTCAAAAGAAAATTACAGGGGCACTATGTTGCTTTTTAGGTGGGAGGTTACCTTGTTTTCTCCTAGAAGATGTTATTCCTTTGTCTGGAATGTTCAGTAGCATGGCCTTAAACTTAATATTGCATTTGATCAACTGCAAATAATTTTATTGCACTAAAACACCTTGAAAACACGCATTCTTATTGTAAGCAGGGTCTCTAAACAGATTCGAACTGTAATTTGGCCTGGTGGCATTGCCTGCTTGTTTTTAAGGAAGGTGGACAAGTTTAAAGCCATACTGTGAAACATTCTAGGCAAAACAATAACAAAACAAGAGGCAGACCCATCAAAAACAAATAATAAATAAAGTATAATATTCATGGAAAAAGTGCAAAATGCAATACAGTATTCATGGAAACAAAATAGACAGGGTTTAAGGTTCTGATTTTGGTCTTTTTTTTGTTGTTGTTTCTTTTATTTTTTTAGACATAGTTCATGGTGAATTAAGTCATTTGCCCTTTTGTTTTTATGTATTTTCATGTGTTGAAATGTATCACATCATTTATATATATATATATGTATATATTTTTTTTTGCAATATTTATACATTTAAAAAGTATTTGACCAGACAGATGAATCCATTTAGTCCAAATGGATACCCTCGACATTTTAGAGATAAGTGGACTCTCCGCTAAGATCAAACCTTCACACCGTCTATCCACGGGAGGTTGCCATAGCAATGACTCAAGGCAGTGCTGCTTCGTATGTAAACAGGCTGAGACTAAAAAAGATGAAGCGGTTGCAAAAACAAAAAAAACAAAAAACAAAAACAGACGAGTCAATTTGGTGATAGGGTCTTATGTAATGAAAGTCAAACAAATGGGTGGATGGGGTGTTCTGAGCAGAGATAGCTCATGTGAGGGAGTTTCACCACAGCATTTGCCTTAAGCACATTTGAATAAGCATCAAAGCCATACATTATATTTTAAGACACATTACATAACAGCAAATAATCTGTCAGTTACTACACAGCAATCTTTACATTGGGAGCGTCAATACAAGGTTTAAGTGATTAAGACACATTTATAGAATTCAATAACTACAGATACAATTGTGTGAACAGCAAATGAATGCATTTAACATCTTATTTATAGGTTTACTCAACTATTACTAGACCTATAAGCCCTTTTGGAAGCTTTGGAAATCTTGCTAATACGGGTATCTGTTTTTTGTTTTCTATGTTACTTGCCATTGAATTTGCACCTGGGATCTGGACTTGTTGTACTGAACGAGACTGATCATTTGAAGAAGCTGTGTGGGAGTGCAGTACCACCAGAGTGATCCCAGAATAAGCCCTAGTGACGTGTCATTAATTGGCCAGTATGTAGGAGGAAAAGGGCCGTGTACAGACAAATAATGGGCTACCACGTCTGACCAATAATATGTGTTCTATGTTGTTTTTAGCCCACAGTGGACTGTTTCAAAGGGCTTCCTAACTCTTTTTTTAATTTGTTATATGTGCTTTCATTTGTAATGAACAAATCAGATAATTGTGTTGTTTTGTTAACTCTTTAGAAACTTTTTAGTTAAAAAATATACAAAATAACAACAAATGCCTGCTATTGTCATTTTATGAACCACAAAAAAAAAAAAAACACATAATATTGGTGCTTTGCTAAGATTGTAAAATGACTCATTCATGAGAAATTGCTTTGTACTATAAAGTATGTCTGATGTTTGAACATGATAACATCTACCATAGTAACTTGCTTCATGTAACCTTTCTGGTGGAGAGACTGCCTAGTTTCCAGGGAGATTGTTTTGCTTTGTCTGGAATGTTCCACAGTATAGCAATAAAAATATCTATCTCCAGAGAAAAAACTGCAAATGCCACCAGACCAAGATCTGTGGAGAGGAGACCCCACTCATAGAATGTTTTTAAAGGTATTTTTGACCAATAAAATCAAACGGAAACTTCATGAAAAACTACATGTTACATTAAGTTTAATAGCACACTGTGGAACATTCCAGGCCCTGGAAAAGTTACAAAATGCACAATAAGCATCATTTCATCTTCCCTTATACCATATCACAATCCCACTTGTTGCTTACTTTTCGCCACTATATAAACTCACCTCTGATTGGGTCCCACTGGAGGATGTGTGGGTATTCCTGGCACAGACTTCCGGTGCCTCCTGTCCCGGTCCCTTTCTCTCTCCCTGTCTGGGCCCCTCTCCCCGGCCTCCCCTCCCTCACGGGGCAAGGAGCTGGCCCGTTTGGAGCCATGGTGGCGATCGGAGTGATCCTCGCTCCTGCTGCGGCGGAGTCGTCCCTGTGGCTCGCTGATGCTCTTACTGCGGCACAGCTTGTTGATAACGTTCTGGTTCACGGCGTCGTCAAAGCGCTGCCGGTGCTTCTTGGGAATGAAGATTCTTGCAAGCATTATTGAAGAAAACAAACAAAAGCGTATTTATGTAAAGTGGAGGTGAGTCGCAGTCCAATTAGATGAAGAGAGGAAAAGTGAGGGGACAGACTTTACAGATCCCCATCGCGACAAAGCAACAAGTTAGACATCCAGCATTAGTTTAGAGAGAGCATGTTATCACCGTTCAACTGATTTCTCGATGAAAAAAAGTATAGTCAGGTAAGTGCTGTCCAAGAGAAGAAAAGAATATGAAGCCAGTTACAGATAGAGAGAAGAAACAACAGTGAGTAGATATTGCAGTGAGTGTGTGGCTTCTGCTGCAGTGTAGGGCATCAGAGCCAGAATACAGCAAAAGGTGTGGGAGTGAGCGTGCATGGGATTTCTCCTCTCTCTTTCCTCTCTCTCTCTCTATTGCTCTCTCTTTCTGTATCTTCATCTAGAGCGTTCTATTCTCACTCTCTCTGCTCGCTCCCACACTTCCGTCGACGCGTCATCTTCCGTGCTGCTTTACTGATCTGAACATGGATGGGGAGCTGTCATCTTTACACCCAAGACATTTTGTAACCGCTGAATTTTGTCAAAAGCACTCAGCAAAGGCTCTTGTTTTTATACAAAAAGAGCTAGACTGTTGTCATTTAGCTTGGTACATTGGAGCACTGAAATTTGGTGAAATGTCCTTCACCCTCACCTGCTTGTCATTCATGGAGGTGCTGCTTTGCCTGGAATATTCCACAGCATAGCATTAAACCTATTTAACTCCACTGAGACAAGCAGCTGATTAAAATAAATTCCAAGTCAGACTGCGGAGAGGAGACCCCACTCAGACTGCATGTTTTCAAGGTATATTATAGCAATAAATACACCTGTAATAGAATAAAAAGCAAGGTAGATTTGTTTTGAGGCCATACTCTGGAACATTCCAGTCAAAACAATAACATCGCCATGGAAACCAGCATGAGGCAGGAAAGTTACACTACCAGCACCAATTACTTAACCACCCAAATGATTCCTGCTTCCAGTATAGTAGTATAGAAGTATAGTCGTATATATTCTTTCTGTTCCTATTCAAATAAAATAAGACACAGCCATACAGCCTATAGTATAAACAGCATCTTACTCATTCCTGGCAGTCTGTTATGCACTGCCCTTTGTGCGTGTCACATCTTAGCCTTGTACATGCTGTGCAGTATGGGAACATGTATGTGTAGTGGTGCTTGTACACAAAAATAAGCTATTGAGTTGTCAAGCCCCCCTAGTACACAACAGATAAGTACTATTCGTTTAACTAAGCATCACTGCCAAGTAAACAAGACAACCTCCCACACACATTTGTACACTTCTGAGGAGATATTAACACAAAAACAACACATTTTTAAGGATCATTCTACATGACACGAACTTTAAAGGTGCAGTATGTAAAATTCCAGTGGAGAGTCAGTCATCTGCTTGTCTCTATGGAAATGTTATTGCTTTGCCTGGAATGTTACACAGTATGGCATTAAAGTTATCTATTTCCACTGACAGATATAGGTGTTAGACAGGACACAAAACCAAGTATTTCATTAACAATCAAATCATTAAATAAATCCAAGATATGTCAGTTGAATGCCATACTGTGGAACATTTCGAGTGAAACAATAACATCTCAAGTGAAACAATAACATGGCAGACGCTCCATCAGTTGCATACTGCATCTTTAAGACCAAGTTGGCTCAAATTTGTTCTTTCATGGGAGCTAGCTCACATCACAAAGTTACAATGACAACATAGTGCAACAAATATGAGCTTTCTATAAAATTCCTTGATGACAGCAGCAGAAAGCAAAACTCCATGTTTGGTGAAACGCGACAGCACCGCGTGAGAACTGACTGAAACATGGTCCAGCTACATTTTGTACAAACAGCTATTTTGTTTGCCACCTACACCAGTCTGTTGGATCTTGGGTGTCTCAAACGCTGCTGATCAGATGAATCAGCTTGGAGCAGACAGAGACGGAGGTGAGCTCTGTGTGAAAAACAACAAGTGTCAAGCAATTTTACTGTTTACCTTTAGCTGTTTACCAACAGCTTACGAACTTTCTCCAAATGAACAACTCTTTGATGTTTTCCAGTCAGGTTTTAGAGCCCACCACAGCACTGAACTGCTCTTATCAAGGTGACATGAATCCGCCTGAACACTGATGCAGGCAAAGTCTCAGTCTTGATCTGTTAATCTGAGTGCTGCTTTTGACACTGTGATCATGGATCCTCTTACAGAGACTAGAGGACTGGGTGGGCATCTCTGGTAGCTAAACTGGTTCAAGTCCTATCTAGAAGACAGGAAGTATTTTGTTGAAATTGGAAACTGTGTCTCAATGACATGGCCCTGACCTGTGGGGTGCCTCAGGGGTCAATCCTGGGCCCCCTGTGTTCAAACATGCTGCCCAAGTTATAAGCAGCAATAACTGTCGTCAATTATGCAGATGACACTCAATCTACGTCTCTTGGCAGCAGGAGACTATGACATGAGCACTTGGTCACTGCATCCACAGATCAGTGGGTGGATGCAAAACAACTTTCTCCAGCTAAACTGACAAGACTGAAGTCAGTGTTTGGTCCACAGAAACAAAGGGACAGTGTCAGCAGTCACCTCCAGTCTCTCGCTCTAAAACCTTCAAATCAGGCAAGAAATCTAGGGGTAATAATGGACTCAGACTTGAACTTTAACAGTCACATAAAATCAATAACATCTGCAGCCTTTTACCATCTAAAAAACATAGCAAAAATCAAAGGTTTACTGTCTAAAGCAGACTTGGAGAAACTTATCCATGCGTTTGTCTCCAGTAGGTTAGACTACTGTAATGGTCTGCTCACTGGTCTCTCCAAACGAGCTGTGAGACAGCTGCAGAACATCCAGAACGCTGCAGCTCGGGTCCTTACTCGAACTAGGAAGTACGAGCACATAAGTCCTGTGCTCAGGTCTCTGCACTGGCTTCCTGTGCCTCAGAGAATAGACTTTAAAGCAGCTCTACTTGTGTACAAGTCTCTCCATGGCCGAGCACCAAAGTACATCTGTGACATGTTAGTGTCATATGAACCATCTCGCACTCTGAGGACCTCAAGGACCGGCCTCCTGCTGGTGCAGAGTCAGAACTAAAACAAGGGGAGTCAGCGTTTCAGGTTCATGCAGCTAAAACCTGGAACAGTCTTCCTGAACATGTGAGACAGACCTCTTCTGTGACGCTGTTTAAATCCAGCTCAAAACATTTCTGTTTAACTGTGCATATAACTGAGGTTTTCATTGCACTCTTCTCTCCAATTTAGTCTCTCTTTTTTAATTTTAATCTCATGATTATTTATGTTTTGATTTGTTTTTATTATGATTTTAATGTATTTCTGTAAAACTTTGAATTACTTTGTGTACAATTGTGCTATACAAATAAACTTGCCTAAACTTGCCAATTAGCTCAAAACATGCTCCACACGGGACATACACTGGAGATGTCAACACAGGCTCATTAAGGAGCCGGATAAGGACGTGTCGTAGCTAAATACAGCAACTGGGCCACTTTTATTTGACAGGTGAACAAAGCGCACCTGTCGTCACTTTCCTAGCTCATTTATTATTACTGTTCTTTTCTCTCATGCAAAACAGCACTTGGGAGCATTTACAGTCACTTAGCAAAGTAGCGTAGCATCACCTGGCTGCTTTAATTGGGTTAAGGCTTACAAGAATATTACATAAACGTTGATAGTAGTTACAGTAGTCATGAGTAATAATGCAAGAGTTAGCCTAAGAGCGGATATTACATTTCTAGCAAATAAAACTACTGCACATCACATTAGGTTTGTGAATTTGTAGTATACTGTTTTGTATCCTGCTTTTGTAAACTAACATGCAGGAGCATGGGTGACATCTGAGTCTAGGACAGGATTGTACTGCTACTTATAAGGAGGGTTCAAATATCTCAAACATGCATGGATGACCTCCTCAGGCATGGTTTTGGTGAAGGAACAACATTATAACATGGTAGAAAGCTCCAAAAAGTCCAAAAAGTTGCATTGCATAATACCCCCTGTGTCAGAAAACACTGATATGATTTGAAAACTCCCGAAACTCGTCTGAAATAAATACATTGTTTGGAATCATTTTGACCTATGTTTTTGTGGGAGCTGCAGTTTTGGAGTGGGGGTGGACTGTCAAAAATTCATTTATTGCAGTATAGCTTATTTGAAATTGCCATTTTTGTGTTTTTGAACTTTCAGTGATGTTCATGCAATAATTTACATACAAATTTACATTGTTCAAACAACCTAGCTTTCTTGTATGCTATTTGTACACTCTCCCTAGATCAAGAGTGCACTGTCACATAAGGGAGAAAGTCTGACTAAAGTCTTTCATTTTCCGATGTAGGCCGAGTATTATTAGCTTCCTGTCACAGTCTCAGCTGATTTTGAGGTGGCCCTGGCTCGACAAAACTGTCTAAAAACACTGCGTTGTGTAGAAGAAACTGCTTCTGTGATATAAATAAACATTCTTTGGGGATGTGGCAGTAGCACCCACACAACTCCTCTTCTGTTTGCCATCTGCACCTCTCTGCTTAACACTATTAACCATATATTCTCAGCTGCACCTCAGCATTTGTCTGTTAAACACACACTTGTAATTTTAATTTGAATGTGCCAAGTAGGACAGATTGCTCTCCGCAACTATCTCATCATTAAAACTTTTCCACGTCAACTCTTTTAAACTCACCAAGCTTCAATCTGACCTGCTTTCTGAAGAACACAGATCTATAATTATCTGAAAGGAATGGGAGCCAGCGAGAAGGGGACAGATTTCTCTAAAGGGAGCGATGACAAGACGAAACCAGACTCTCCTCTCTGCGCAGGAGTGAGAGGACAACTTACTGCAATGTCTCAATAAATGTGTTGCTTTAAAAAAAAAAATCTCTACTAGCACTATACTGTACAACACTAGCAATAGGTCATTTGGGGACAGAGATAGTGAGAATACTTGAGAGTGTGA